TATAAGCTAAATATTTTGATAGAATATGAAGACTTCAGAAATTAATATGCTACTAGTTTGCCTTTATTTAATGCCTATTATTTATGAAGCTGGAGTTCTAAATAAAGTTGAATTTAGTTAAAACTTAAAAACTGAGAATATGTGAATTAGGACTACTTCAGCTCAATAACTTAATCTCTTCTTCTTTTTTGTGGCTACACTTGGTGATGATCAGTGATTACTCCTGACTCTTTGCTCAATGAGGCTACTACTGGTGGGGCTCAGGGGACCATATAGGGTACTGGGGATCAAACTCAGCTGCATACAAGGCAAGTGCCTTACATGTTATACTATCTTTCTGGCTCTAGCTTCACTTCTTAGGGAAATAATTACAGATGAGGTAAATTTCATGTGTAAGAACATTTGTTTCAGAATTATGAAAAAAACCTAAAATACCAAATAGTAATAGAAAAAAATAAAAAAATTAAGTACTGGAGGTGAACAGCCCCTGTGTTTCCTGTGCCCATGTGCTGCTGCTGAGCACATGTGATACCTTTACCTGCATCTCCTCTCTTAAGACATGGACTTTCATACTTTCAGGTCTAATGCTGGAATGTGTACGGGGACTCCCTCTCCAATCTGGAGAAGCCCACATTCTCTCTCTCTTTTGTTTCTGCTTTTTAGGTCACACCTGGCCGTGCACAGGGGTTACTCCTGGCTCTGCACTCAGGAATTACCCCTGGCGGTGCTCAGGGGACCATATGGGATGCTGGGAATCAAACCCGGGTAGGCCGCGTGCAAGGCAAATGCCCTACCCAATCTGCTATCACTCCAACCCCACCACATTCTCTTAAATGCTTTATTTTCTCTCTCTCTTTCTCTCCCTCCCTCCTCTTCCTAAAAATCTCCAAATAAAACCTGCTTTTTTACTTAAAAAAAAAAAAAGCACTGGAGGGCCAGAAGGACTGTATAGGGGTTAAAGCACTTGTCTTGGATGTGACAGACCCCAGTTTAATTTCTGGCATCACATGGTCCCTGAGTACAGACCTGGGAGTAGCCAGGTATAGCTCTGACCACACCCCTCCCCTAAATTAAGTACTTAAATATTATGAGTAGCTATTAAAAGCTGTGCTCTCAAGAATTCTAATAGGGGCTGGAGCAATAGCACAGCGGGTAGGGCGTTTGCCTTGCACGCGGCCGATCTGGGTTCAATTTCCAGCATCCCATATGGTCCACTGAGTACCACCAGGAGTGATTCCTGAGCGCAAAGCCAGGAGTAACACCTGAGCATCGCCAGGTGTGACCCAAAAAGAAAAAAAAATCTTTTAATAAAATTATATTCTGAACACTTAAATTTTACTGTAAAGAATATAAAGTCTGTACTTTCTTCAATGTAGGTATATATATATGGTTTTATAACAAAAAAGTAAAAGTGATTATTTTTAGGAAGTATAATTAAAGGTAAAGGTAAAGGCCCTCCCGTTGATCATCGATTTGCTCGAGCGGGCCCAGTAACGTCTCCATTGGAGACTTTGTTGTTACTGTGTCTGGCATATCGAATACTCTGGGTAGCTTGCCGGGCTCTCCGAGAGGGGCGGAGGAATTGAACTCGGGTCGGCCATGTTGGCTGCGTGCAAGGCAAACGCCCTACCCACTGTGCTATCGCTCCAGCCCAGGAAGTATAATTAGGATATTTTAATTTTATTGCTCATAATTTTATGCATTTCTCCAATTTTTAGCAATAAGTATAGTGCAATTTTATAATCAGAAAGAAACCTTGAAATGCTGCTTAAAGAAAATCCCACAGGGGCCCAAATAATGGTTCTGTGGCTTATAGTGTCCTCTGACAAGCACAAGGCTGTGAGCTCAAACCCTGACACTGCGTTATGCAGTACAGCTATCCTGATCACCCCACTGGCCCCTGGTGAGGAGGGGAAATTCAATGCTCTTAAATAAGCAGTACATTTTACGCATTTAAATGAATTCCTTGAGCCTGAAGGGAAACAACTAAACTTATATAAACATTAGTCTTTTCTCAGTACAGAAATAGTCAGTTTAGGCAAATATCTGCTTATAAACACTATAGAAACTATGTGGGGCAAACCTGTTACTTAAGTCCACATTTGAGTCTGTGTAAGTACTGAAATTTTAAGATCAAGCCCACAAAAAGGAGAAAAAAAACAAGCTTATCGTTTACCAAGTGCAACCACCAGGTGCCACTGTTGCTTCACAGAAGGATAGGCTCTGTCAGGGATTTTTATTAAGGGTACATGCTTTTACCCACCCTTGGATACTAATGAAGTATTCTCAGAGGCATAACAGTTATTCTGATAATTATAGGCATACATGCTAAAAGGTACAGAAAAAGACAGGAAAGTTTTATTCCCATTTGTAGTATTGAGAATAGAGTATACACTGTTTTGGGCAATAGATTTGGTCATAAAAGTAGGCTTTATGTTTTAAAATACTTCATCAATACAAGGATTTTAATATTATTTACATACCACTGTTTTTGTGAGAAAATGAATTTTTTTCAGGGGTAGTTTGGGGCAACACCTGGAAGTGTTCTGGGGCTATTCTTGGCTCTTTGCTCAGGGATCTCTCCTAACAGTGCTTAGCAGCCCATTTGTGGTGCTCGGGATTAAACGAGATGGTTGTGTGCAAGACAAATTCTTTAACATGTGAGGCAAGAGTCCCCTGTACTATCTCTCCGGCCCTTAGAAAATGCATCAACTTCAACTCTGCATAACAGAGAATCACCTCACTCTATCTGGCTCTGCTTTTTTAATTAAGAAAAGCTTTAAGGGGGCTGCAGTGATAGTACAGCGGGTAGGGTGTTTGCATCCCATATGGTCCCCCAAGTATCACAAGGAGTAATTCCTGAGTGCAAAGCCAGGAGTAACCCCTGTGCATCACCGGGTTGACCCAAAATACAAAAAAAAGTTTTAAAAAAAGAAAGAAAAGAAAAGCTTTACGCTAGAATGTTTTCGCAGGTTTTTTGTTTTTTAAAACTTATTCATGTACCAAACAGTAATACCAACTTCATTTGGAAAAAGATTGAATTGCATGTACATAATCAAAGTAAGACATTTCTAGCCTCTTTGCAGGGTAAGAAACTTCCAAGACTGGGAGAGGGAAGATGGTTTAAAGGGATGGAGCATATGCTTGGTATGCAGAGGGGCCCAGGTTCAATTCCTGGCATTACAGGGACTCACAAATACCAAAATACCCTCATGGCTCTCTAGCACTGCTGGAGTGGAAGGGAGTGGAGATTTAAAAAAAACACACCCAGGTTGCCTTAGTTTGTGAGATCACATCCACTTAACACAGTCACATGCTGCTCCAATGCTGAACAGTGGCTCAGGATACAGGTCTTTCTCTAAATCTAGAAGCAGTGGATCACGACAGTCACTGCATACATTGGACTGTCAGGGAATTGGGCTCCAAGTTGCTCAGTGTCAAGTCCCTCCAGTCAAGAATTCTATGGTTCTCTAAACCCCATATCATAGAAGATATCATGATTTAATTTTTTTTGCATGATTTAATTTTGCTGTTGTGGTGGTGTGGAGCTAGGGACTAAGTTCTGCACTGTTAATGAGTGCCAGGGATCAAACTCGGAGCCTTACACAATTCCAGGTTCTACCCCTAGAGTCACATCCCTAACCTCATAATAGATTTTTTGTTTTTGGACCACATCTGGCTACACTCCAGGCTTATTCCTGGCTCTGTGCTCAGGGCTGACTCCTGACCATGCTGCTCAGGGGACCATGCTGCTGGGGATTGAAACCGGCCACATGCCAGCCACATGCCTTGCAGCCACATGCAAGGCAAACATCTTACCTGCTGTACTATCTCTCCAGCCTCATAATATTTTTTTTTGATGTAACATTTGGCAGTATTAAAGTTGGGAGTCAGAGGGTGGTGGTCCACATGCATGCTATTAGCTAATCACTCAGCATTTATTGTGCTGCTTCTCTCTACTAAGCACTGTACATAAAATGACAGATAAAAATGGGATACTACATAATTTCCAGGGATATAAAAATGCTAATTTGACAGGTTGGGGGGAGGGGTGCAAAGAAAAAAAAAAGAAAGAAAATGGTACTTCCTATTCCAAATAGTTTACAGTCAAATGTAAAAACAGATACAGATAAACAACTAAAAAACAACAGGGTGAAGATGCAGGCCAAGTTCTATTTAAGGAGCTGCCTTTTATATTTAAATGGCAATTCATGATGAGGCCTTCAACAAACTAATCATTAATTAGTTTCATAAAATTCAGAAGAATTCTAAGCCTCTTTTTGGTTTTTATAGTTTTGGGAGGTTTTTTTTTTTTTTAACCACAACTGGCAGTACTCAGGGTTCACTTCACTCCTGGCTGTGCTCAGGGATCACTCCAGGCAAGCTCAGGGGACCATGTTGGATGCCAAAGATTGAATCTGAGTCAGCCATGTGCAAGGCAAGCGCTCTACCTGCTGTACTGTCCCAGCCCCTATCACGGTCTTTTTGGATATGCGTAGGACTTTTTCCAGGATAAGGAACTTTCTGGGTCATCCTTTTGTGGCTCCACTGACTTTTACCTGAGAGAGCCCTAGGTCAGGTATTTTCTGAAGTAAAAACTCCTGGGTTTTCTAACCTACACACAAATGAGATAGATGTGAGTTGCCTGGAGCCCAGAAAGATGACAGATGATTGTTCAGGCTAGGCCAGAAAAGATTCTCCTGCTTTGCAGCACAGATGTTCACACTCTACTGCAGCCCCATCACTATTCTAAATTTCTTCTCCTTAATGTTTTTCATTGACCCTTTTCTCTGCAAAACACTCTGCTCAGCTTTTCCAAATCTTTCTCAACTGGGTCAGCAGCTCTGAAGCTCTCCTGCCTCTGTGCTCTTGCCAATATTCCTTTATTGAGCTGAGACTCCCAAACCAGGGTATCATAAGGCTAGAGAAGAAGCAGAAGAACAAGTGAGAGTCTTTGACACCTGGCAATTTCAAAGATGACCAAATCCCCATCTGCTTACCAGACTCTCTGTAGTCAGCTCTGGCAAATCCTGGATGGTACAGCCAGGGTAATCCAGGACTGAGATGCTGGGAGAGGCAGAGAGAACAGGCTGGAGGTTAATGGCAAAGGCAGGAAATGACTGTATCTAAAAGGGTGGGTATTTTTTTCCCTGTGGCCGGTACCACGTAATTCTCAAATTGTTCAGTGACCTCAGATGAAATTGGGGGTCAGGCAACTCCAGGTCATCTCCTCTCCTCAATGGTTAACAGAAGAACCATCAGAGTTCTTTTACCTATTAGCAACAGCAGCAGCAGCAGCAGCAGCAAGCCACTCTTCTAATGGCCATCTTTCTCCTTCCTTAAAAGGAATTTGTAAATTGGTCATTTGTTTTTCTGCATTTAAGGGTATGCTTTTGGGTCTGTGTGAATAGCACGGTGCTCCCACAGATGCTGTCCAACCTTACTCTACTCAATTTATGGCTATCAGGATGAAGTGAAAACCTCACCTGTGTCTCTCATCAGATGGGGTTCCCCCCCTTTTTTCTTTTCCTTTTTTCCTCTTTCTTTCTTTCTTTCTTTCTTTCTTTCTTTCTTTCTTTCTTTCTTTTTTTTTGCAGGAGAATAAAGAAGTTTATACTCACTGGTGGGCTGAAACTAGACAAAAATATCTGAACTCATCAGCCCCAACCAAGGGTCTCAAGAACACTTAGAGAGGGTATTAGTGCAAGCTCATCTGTCCTTAGCAGAGATCACACCAAGGCATCTTATTAGGCATCACCACTTAAAAGACTTTGGTTTGGGTTTTAGCCTATACACAGCTGTGCTCAGGATTTACTCCTGGCTCTGTGCTCAGGAATCAATCCTGATGAAGCTTGGGGACCATATGCGGTGGCACATATATGACCTGGGGCCAGCCATTACTATTTTTCTAGCCCCTTACCAGAAGTTTTTAAAGGCAGATGTGGGGAATGATCACAGAGGCATTCCTAAAGGAAACTTGAGACTGGGGCAGCTTCCTGCTATAAGATAGGGCAACCCAGCAGCTCCTCAAACCAAGCGGGCAACTGCAAGGGAGCAAGAGGCTCTGCTATGAGCCCAGGAAACAGACCTGAATCAATAGGAAAATTAGACACTGCATGACAGGATTATAGTGACCAAACAAATAATAGTTCTTTTTCTTCTGGTTCTCCCTTCTTCACTGGTACAGTGCAGAATTTGGATGAACTCAACTCTGATTCCAACATTTCATGGGGGTTTAAATAACAATTTATATGAATGAATGCAGCTAAAAAAGGATACAGTATGTTGTTGACCAAAGCTAAAGAAGAGTATGGAATTCCTTGGACCTGATGATAGATTTAAAAATCAAAACCGAGTGGCAGAGAGCTAGTACAGCATATGATCTGGGTTTGAGTCCCAGCACCCTACATGGATCCCCAAGCCTGCGAGGAGTAATCTCTGAGCACAGAGCCAGGAGTAAGCCCTGAGCACAGCTGGATGTAGCCCAAAACAAAAACACAAAATCAGATAATATAATAAAAATCAATAAAAGTCAAAACTGAGAGAGAGGGAGGGAGGGAGAGAGAGAGTGTATGAAAGTATAGGGGTTAAGGCATTTGCCTTGCACTCAATCTCCGGCATCCCATATGGTTCCCCTGAGAACTGCCAGGAATGATCTCTGAGTATAGAGCCAGGAGTAAGATGAGTACCACCGGGTGTGGCTTAAAAACAAAAATAAGAATAGGAATCAAAACTTCTTTAATTTGGGGGGAGCAATACCTGGTAATGCTCAGGAACTACTTTCAGCTTGTAGCTTAGGGTGGGGAGGTCTCTTCTGGGGGTCTCTCCGGGCATTGCTCCAGAGATCATAAATCACCAGGGATGGGTCCTGGGTCTCCTGCATGCAAAACATATGCTCCAGCCTTCAGGACTAGCTCCCCTGCCTTCAAAATCAAAACTTCTAGTTCTGTCACCCAAACAAACAAGAGACCTGTGATTTAAGCAAAAGACAATTAATTTGGATAAAAATGTTTTCCTTAGGGAGCTTGGGGAGATAATGCCTGGATAAGGCACTTAACTTGCACCTCACTGACCTCAGTTTTAATCATTGGGAAAACATGTTCCCCAAAGCACTGTCGGAGGTCACTCATAAGCACTGAGCCAGGAATAGTCCCTGGGTAACACTGGGTATGACCTCAACCCCAAAAGCAAAACCAAAAACAAAACAGAAAAAAGAAATATTTACCCTTATTCAAGAAATCAACAAAGATAACCAGAGCAAGGAGCACAGTAGATGTATCTTTAAAGCTGCCTATCATCTTGATTCACTCTCCTGGATTCTCTCCATCTGCCAGTGCTGCCCATTTAGGATAAGCTCTGGGCTGCTTATCCACTTTTCTACCCATTTCCCACTCACAAAATCTCATAGCAAAGGAGGTGTTGGTGGCCAAAAAACGAGGGTGGGTGGGAAATTCAAGATGGATTTGTTTCCACCTCAGTGAACTGAATTCTAGCTCAAAGAGGCATGAAATAAAGTTGCAAGAATCTAGATTGTCTAGATCGAAAGCGCCAAGAGGGAATAGCAGTGATAAGATAGATCTCTGGTGGGCTGTTTCAACAGGTATAACCTACAGGTGGCACACAAGAGTTCCACAACATCCAGATCAACCTTACAAACTGTAGTCTGACACTACCACCCTTCCAACACCAAATAAGATCCCATGGATATTTTTGGGTTGTTAGTCTCCCCGCTTCTTGGTCTATGGGTGCAAGAGGGGCATTCAGTTCTTATACTTCATTTCCCCAGTCAGAGCTGACTACTCACGGTGGACATGTCACTGTGGGAACATGAACCAGGAACTGAGAGCAAGTCCAATCTCTCAAGTGACATCAGGACATACGGGGTTTATGTGGTATCTCTTAACAAGTGACCTGAGCATCAGGCAAAGCTATATGTCAGTGAAAGAGGATACTGGACTGGAGGACCAGAAATATGGTATCCAAAGAAAAGGGAAAGTTTCTGGGCTCTCTATCCCTGATGGTGAAGAGGTATATTTCTGGCCTAGGTTAGCTTAACATTTCCTTCTAACAAGTTTTCCATTCTGTGAGGGCAAGTCCAACTGGCTGCACTTTTTTCCAAGTGGGCTGACATATACATAAAGGTGCCCTCATGGAGTTGTGGCCTTCACTCAGATAAACCTCTGGTTTCCTTTTCTCTAATAGTTCCGTTATTTTGTTTTTGAGTTACACCCAGTGGTGCTCAGGCTACTCTTCCTGGCTCTGAATTCAGGGATCACTCCTGGTGGGGGTGGGGGGGCCATGTGGGGTGCCAGAGATTGAAACTTGGTTGGCTGTGTGCAATATAAATGCCCTATTCACTGTACTATCACTCTGGCCCCTAGCCCTATTATTTTTTGGTTTGTTTACTCTAGGGTTTTTTTTTTGAGGGGGGGCACACCCAGTGGTACTCAGGACTTACTCCTGGCTCTGAGCTTGGTGATCACTCATGGTGGTGCTTAGGGGACTATATGGGATACAAGGAATAGAACCTGGGTCAGTTGCATACAAGGCTAACCCTATCTGCTGTACTATGGCTCTGATCCCAAGTCCCACCATTTTTGTTGTTTCTTTACTTTTAGGTCACACCCAGCAGTGCTTAGGACTTATTTCTGGATCTGTACTCAGGGATCACTCCTCAAAGATTCAGGGGGCCATGTAGGATTCCAGGGAACATAACCCAGATTGGTTGTATGCAAAGTAACCCTACCTGCTGTATGTACTATGTGTGGTTCCAGCCCCAGGCCCCACTATTATTTAAGGGTCTCAGTGCCAAGAACTCTACATAGTTAGAAAAAATCCAATTCTCTAATGTTTCCCCCAAACAGAAAGTGTTTACAGACCTCTGATTGTGTTTTTATTTTTGGTTTTGGGCCACACTGGCAGTGTTCAAGGGTCATTCCTGGCAATGCTCAGGGGATATGATCAAACTGGGGATCAAATTAGAGTTGGCCACAAATGAATCTCAGAAGAGAGCAACATATTGCAGCACTGCAGAGATGTCTGCCCATTATGCGCCAGGCTGATTTCATCCAGGCACCTCAGAGGGGGCAGGTGTGTTCCTCTACCCACCCCAAAAGAACCCCAGCAGCCACAAACCTCCAGAACCCAATTGCTGCCACGCTCATGGCTGACCTTCACAGGCTCGCCCCAAACCCCCCCCACATGAGATTGAATCTGCTGAAAAACGCAGGTAAGTGGAACTGGTGACTGAACTCTCCAGGCCTGCGGAGTTGGGGAACGGGCCCCATCTCCCTGTGCTTCCAGTTTCCTGGCAGTCATGCCCACGAACCACCTCTGGAGGCCATTTAATCGCATTAATGACCATGATCCAGAGACTCACAAATGAATCTCAGAAGAGAGAAACATGGGGCTGGAGCGATAGCACAGTGGGTAGGACACTAATACCTTGCATGTGACCAACCCGGGTTCAATTCCCAGCATCCTTTATGGTCCCCCAGCACTGCCAGGAGTAATTCCTGAGTGCAGGGCCAGGAGTAACCCCTGTACATCACTGGGTGAAACCCAAAAAGAAAAAAAAAAAAAGAAGAGAGCAACATGTTGCATAGGTGCCTCTGGACCCCAAAATCACCATCCAACATGTTAGTGGTCTCTAATACAGCAGTTTAATGGCTCCAAGATGAGACACAACAATTTTCACACACTTTCCTCTAAGGAAACATTTTTGAATAATTTTTAGTCAATTATTCATAACAAGCACTGTAGCACTGTCCTCCCATTGTTCATTGATTTGCTCGAGTGAGCACCAGTAGCGTTCACGACAAATTGTGAGAGTTGTTGTTACTGTTTTTGGCATATCAAATATGTCATGGGTAGCTTGCCAGGCTTTGCCATGTGGGCAAGATACAATCAGTAGCTTGCCAGGCTCTCTGAGAGGGGAGGAGGAATCGAACCAGTGTCGGCCATGTGCAAGGCAAACGCCCTACCTGCTGTGCTATTGCTCCAGCCGCTCATAACAAGCAATACAAAAAAATTATTTATCATCTGCCTTTGGGGCAGGCTTGGGTGGTGATGGGAAAACTTGAAATAAAGGTGGTGGGCAGGTGTAATGGTGGTGGGATTGGTGTTGAAATATTGAATGTAATCAATTACTGTGAACAACTCCATGAAAAAAAATTTTAAAAATCTTAAAAAAAATGGAGTTGGCTACATGCAAAGAATAGTCTTAATCCTTATACTGTGCTACCTTCCTAGCCCTGTTTATCTTACAATTACTTATAAAAGCACTATGGAGAGGCTGAAGAGACAGTACAGGGGTAAAGCACTTGATTTGCATGTGCCCAACCCTGGTTTGATCCCCAGCATTGTCCAATTCCCCTTACCCCCAATCTGCTCCATGAAACTTTATGATACAGGAAGGATTAGTCTCATTTAACAGTAGAAATATGTAATGCAAAGAAACAGTGTATTGCTTAGATTACACAGTAAATGGCAAATCCAGGTCAGGAATCCAGGTCTCACGGATGGAGGTTCTAATGGGGGCGTATGTATTTTAAATTACATGGAAGTAGGCTGCCTCTCCATGCTGGAATTTCAGGCAATGCTGATAGGCTGGTAAAGCAACATCTTCTAGTCCCTCTCCACTCACTGCAAGTATCAGAGCAGTGATACTTTAGGAAATTTGCCTCTGGTAACCTCTGATTAACCTGATTCCAGTTCAAGTGAAGTAGCAAACTAAGGATACACACTACTGCCTCATTCCCCAAATCCCCAACTGGCTAGAGGCATAAAAAGCTATTTGTGTAAATGAAGAAGCTTGTGTTCTAATCCTACTTCTGGGGCTTACTAAAAGGGGAGTCACTAGTATCTTCTTTTTTTTTTTTTCTTGAGTCACACCAGCAGTGCTGATGGCTTACTTCTGACTCTGTGCTCAGGAAAACTCTTGATGGTACTTGGGAGACCATATGCGGTACTGGGGATCAAACCCAGGTCAGTTATGTGTAAGGCAAGTGTGACCCCCATCTTAATTATTTTTATTTTTGTGATTCTGGGGATTGAAACCAGGACCTCACACATGCAGGAAATATTATCATACTGCTGACACACATCCCTGGTCCTACAATAATGATAATCTAGAGCAACTTAATTAAACTCTCTAAATTTGTTTCCTAACTGGTAAAATGAGAATAAACTTGCAATACCTCTTAGCATTTCTCAGAAAATTAAATGGAAATGAAAAACATTTAACATTTTTCTAAAAACTACAAATAGAGAGGCAGGAGAGGTACTGCCTTGCACACAACCAACCTGGGTTTGATCCCTGGCACCACATATGGACCCCTGAGGCCACCAGAAGTAAATCCCTGGTACAGAGCTAGAAGTCCTAATTACCACTGGGTGTGGACCCCCCAAAAAAATACAAAGCAAACCAAAACAGACAAAAACTACATATAGATCTAAAAAAGGGTCTGCTATTCACTTTCAATTATAAATTTTGTATAGCATTTCATTGAAGAACAAAGTAGTTCAATTGATCCAGCTTATGAGTTATATTAAGATCATAGCTGGTGAGACAAGCAGGCTGTTGGAGAAAAAATATTTCTGGATCAGTCACAGGACTGAGATTTCACTGTTACACTTTCATATCTGACTCATTTTTCAAAATTAAGAAGATAGTGTACTTCTATGGAGAGGCCAAGCTTGTCCCTCAGCAGCTAACACTTTAAAGAAATAAAATTTAACCATGACAGTTATAATACAGAAGAGACTGGGGAGATCAGAAGAACAGAAAGTCTCATAGATGATGTGATTTTCTCAACCATCTCCAAACACCCTTTGAACTAAAACTGTCTAGGGCACATACCTGTTCTTGGCTGTGATGTAGGACAAGATATTTTGATTGAAGAACTTCAAGATCAATGGAATGCAGTTGGCAAATACTAGATGTTGTGACACATATTCAAACTGAAATAAAAGATTACAGCAGAAAGTGCTGCTTATTTGTGGGGAGAATAGAAGGTATACATGAGGGGAAAAGAGGTAAGTACAAATCTAATGGCCACTCCTAAGAATATTCACTGGATTTGTGTGTTTGGCTGCCTATCTAGGAAGTGAGAAATTATTAGGCAGACCTCCCAACATGGAGCCGGTAATCTGCTATGAGACTGTGCTGCAAAGTACTGACCTAAAAGCACTAAACTTAAGCCAGAAAGAAAACCCAACTTCAAATCAAGTGAATTGCTGTGTGATCTGTTCCTAACCTCAACAGGAAAAGGAAGGTTCCTTAAGGGAAATGTTTTCCAGACTGAAGCTCTGGCCCAGTGTTTCAACTGTGACTGACAGTGCAGGGACAGGGCAGCTGACTCTCTGCAACTGCTGGCATCACTCAGTCTGCCTGGAGGATGCTCACATCACTGGGATGTGGGTGCCAGTAAAGGTCTGGTGGGGTTGCTGTAGTATTCCCTGTACTTAGAATATCAGTATCTTACTTCATGAAGTAACAACAGCCCTTCACTCCAAGATTTCTTTGATAGAACAAAGGGGTGTCACTTTGTTCTGTTGAATCTGGAGAAGACTTGTGTCCAGGGAGACTTAACAGGGCAACATCATTGAGTGACTCAAATGGATTTTGTTCCTGATACACTAAGGAGCATCAGACACACACCTTGTCTCCAGATTTAGAACTTTGATTTTCAAGTCTGGGCTGAAAAACATCAAAAAAGTGATAGAAACCCTTTTTTCAGTTTGAGGAGGGTCTGTGGCCTCACCAGGATTCACTGGTAATGATGCACACTGCTAAGGCTCATGGAGCCACCCACCTGTCTGTCTTTCCACATGCTTCCCACCAAGAGAAACAGTCAGAAAACGTACATCCCTTGTTCTCTGTTCTCACTGAGAATGCTAACTCCCACCCACCCCTCCTCTTCCCAGCTCTACTGCTGCTTAGCAAACACTGCAGAAGTGGGAGTATCCAGAACACCCAGACACATTTCGAGATGTCTTTGAAGTTACTCAAACAGAAAGTCTCCTGCTTATAACAAATGTGCCATGAACATACAGCCTGAAGAAGCTTCCCTGAACTCTGAGGATTCACTCTTCCTTCCTCAAGCTAGATTCTGACTTCTTAGGAGGAAAATGAAATAATCTCTGTAGGAATGAGAATCCACCCTCTCCTCGTGGGCTCAATGAAGAGTCATCCATTCACGGCACCTATTTTCCGCATCTCAGTAATGCCCATGGGATCAAATTCAAACTTGTTGGGATGTCAAGGAATGGGGATGCAGGTTACCACTTCTTGGCCTCAGTTTCCTCAACTAGATAAGGGAGTAAATATGAGTCAGCTCATAGGGTTAGAATTGAATGAGACCACATGGGCATCTCAGAGAGGCTTCATACAGAGGGCCGGAGGTAGGCCCACAACACTGTATCTAATCACAGGCTTTCTGATCTGCATCTGGCTGAGAGCTAGGTCACCTCCTCCTCCAGCCCCAGAGTTAACTCCTCCCCAAAGATATCTGCTCTGTCCCCTCTGGACCTACACAAATATAGGGCTTTCCTCTTTCAAATGTGTCCTATTCTTCCTCGACACTCCTGTATGCTGGTGGTTTCTCCTGGAACATGTTCCCTTAGGGCTCGGGTTAGCAAGTCAGGTTGGAGTATGTGTTTGCACAGCAGCCAATGCTTTATTGCATCACACCACTTATGATCCTTAACTGGCTATTTTTATATAATTTTCTTTACATCAAACCCCTTAAGAGCCAGAACTGTGCCCTCTTCAGAATTATATCACTAATATTTTTTAAAAAGTGCTTCCCAGATAGAAAACAATGCTCAACCTACTCTCTCCTGCTATTTCTAAGTAAAATGTTTGAATCTGATCTTTCACTACTTTTAATAACTGGCTAGGTATATTAATTCCAAAGAGCTGATTCTGACCCACAATCTAGGGACAATGCTCCAAGGATCTTTCTAGAAAAGTTCACCATCTCCCACCTATCCCTTAGCCCCAAGTTTGAGCAGCAGGTCTCTAGATTCCCTGAATGAGACCATGATAAACTGGAAAGATGCTCTGCAGGATTGTAAAGGCCTTTTGGAGGATTCTGGGGCCTGGGAAGAGATTTCTGGTGGCTCACCTGGTAAATGTGGTTCAGTTTGAAGTGTTTGAGGAGTAGCAGGAGCAGGGCAGAAATACTCTTTACAATGATTTCCTTGTGCCTGTTCACATCGATGCCAAGCTTCATGCTCTGGAGAACAGTGATCCTACAACAGGGAGAAGAGAAGGGGCAGAGGGAGTGTCTCATGTAGAGGTGTTTGGGTAGGAAACTATCTACATAAGAAGCCAGATTTAGGACATGAGACTCTCTGTGCTAGGGAAACCTCCGAAGTTCCCACTTATGTCTGGAGAAAGTTCCTCTCTTTCTCTCAGTTTCTCTCTTTCTCCTTTGGCAAGCTCACCCCTTGGCAATGTGCACCCACATACCCGAGTAACTAGCCACTGGCACAGATGTTGCCCTCCAGACCCTCAGTTCTGAGCTGAAAAGAGCATAGCAGAGAGAACTGCATGATGGGCTGCTGGTGTGGGGAGGAAGACCTCTTTGGAGACGATCCTTCTGTGTGTTAACAAGGTGGGCTAGGGGTTGGAGCCCCCATGGAGAAGACAGCCAGCGTCCAGCAGCTGTCCGCTGAAGCACTCACGGCATCTCCTCCGGCAGGACATCCGCCAGGATGTTGATAGAGTCTGTCTTAGCCTTGGAGGTGGGGGCTGCAGCCAGCAGGATCTTAAGCAGGGCAATCTGGGAAGCAGAGAACGAAAACCCCATTCCTGTCCATCCCATTCGGCCAAGCTCTTCTCTAAGTTCTTCAGCGATCAAGTGCCCAGTCTCTAGAAGGGCAAGCAGGTGCCTTATCATGAGAGACAAAGGAGAGGGCCAGGAAGGAGCTCACTGCCTGTTCTGCTGCTTTAAGACTTCTTTTTTCCAAAGAGGAGTGTGCAAGGCACAGAGGGGTGATGCCTACCAGGGCTAAGCAAGAGTTCTTTTGCCTCACTCTTTCACTTGTTTGTTCATTTTTGTTCTTTGAGCCACCACTGGCATTGCTCAGGGCTTACTCCTGGTTCTGCATGCAGGAACCACTCCTGGCAGGCCTGGGGTCTATATGGAGTGCTGAGGATTGAACCTGGGTTGGCCACGTGCAAGGTAAATGCTCTAATCACTGTAGTATCTCTCCAGTCCACCTCAATCTTTTTTTCCCTCTGACCTTAACCATTAGCTTCCTTACCATGACCAGCCTAAGGCTATCTCGGACTTAGATTCTTACATCATGCTACTAAACATGGGAGTCATGGAAAATTTGTTTTAAGGTAAGTTTATGGGGGCTGGAACAATACTGTACAGCAGGTAGGGCATCTGCCTTGCACATAGCAATCTGGGTTTGATCCTCAGCATCTCTTATGCTCTCCTGAGCACTACTAGGAGTAATTCCTGAGTGCAGAACTAGGAGTAACCCCTAAGTATCACTGGGTGTGGCCCCAAAATGAAACAAATGAATTTATAGAAAATTAATTTATGATTTCTTTTAAGAAAATGTTTGATCTGTATAGCAATTTTTTATATACTGGGTTTTGCATGAAAATATCTTAATTATGAGATGATTATGGGAAATTTTAAAGAAACCCCATTAGGGTACAACAGACCATAGTAAACTTCCAATACATCACAGAGACGCCACCTTATTCTCCACCCTGCCAGAGGGCCTGGAGAATTTTGGAGGAAGGTCCGGATTCTAATCTGTTAGAGAACCTTGCCCAAAGGGTGAGACACTCTAGGGGTAGACACTCAGCTCAAATGACTATGGACTAGCTAGTTGTCTGTTCTTTGCAGCAGAGTGGGGCAGCTTAGCCCAGGGGCATTCTTACCATGTACTGGGGGAGGCTGTACAGCATACCCTGGTAGAGGATCTCACATGGTGTCTCTGGTACCACTTCCTCCCCCTAAGGGAGAAAAGACAGTTAGCTTGGGCCATGTCCAGGTGACCAAAGGCTTCATCTTAGTTGTGAAAAGTGGTATGAAAAGAGAACTGAGCTGAGAGTCAGGCTTAGCTTCTTATCCTAGCTATGTTAATGATTCACCTTATAACATTGGGTACTTCCCCTCCCCAACCCCACCTTCCTAGTTTCTTCTCTAGGATTAGTGGGCCAGTCTGAGCCACCTCTGCCAGCCCTGAAGCTATGATATCCAGTTTTCTCATTATCTGGAATCAATGCAGAATTTTTTCCACATCCCCTGCTAAATCAGAAGTCAGAAATTCCACCTAGGAGCTGGGTCAGAACCTAGCCAGGATTGGGGCCTCACAGAGCAGAATTTTGGGGCTTAGTCCTGGTTTTGAGCTTGGGAGTTATTCCTGCTGTTGCTGAGGACCAGAATACGCTGAGTGCCTATTCCTAGACAAGTACCCTAACTCCTCTACTATCTCTATAGCCCACTGGATGGATACTAGTCCTAAGTGGGCATTCAGTAAATCCTGGCACTGCCTGCACATCCACTTACCTGATTTCTGAAAAACTTACTTCATCTCATTTCCTCTCTAAACAGAAACTAACCCCTTTGTCCCACAATCCAAGTCTCTCCACATGCTGCTGACCTTTTCTTACATGACAAAAAAAAGAAGCAGCTAGACCCGGGCAACATCATCTTCTCAACATAAATCTACCAGAGTCTCTAGTTTCCTTCTACATTGCCCATGTTCTATCAGAAGCCAATTTCCCACATGTGCTGGGGTTCTTGTACGTATTCACTCTGCTGAAGTCATCAGTTCTGAATTACATCTTCTCTTGCTGATCTTTGAAGGCACATTCATACCTATGAAACACCCCCCTTGAGCTGGAATCCTTCCTTGACTGCCATCCTATTTCCAGGCTTCTCATCACTATAAAGCTTCCATGCAATCTACTTCCAATAGAAGAAGAAGTTCCAACACATTCCACCTAAGCACACTACTGAGGTTCTCTTTTCTGAATTACTAGTTATCTTCAGGGTATCAATCTAAGGGGAAACTGATTTATTCAACACCATTAATTTACAGCATCTGACACAGCTGATCATGACCTTCTGAAAAACTTTTCCTGGTGTTTATGGCCTTACATTCTCCAGGTTTTCCCCCCATCTCATTGAGTGTTTTTCTTTGCTGTTGCTTTCCTGAATCTCTCACCTTCAATATTCTAGGGTTTTGTCCTGAGCTCCAACCTGTTCTCTCTCTCTACTCCCCCCTTGGATTACCTCAGCGAGAACCCTGTCTTTTAACACTATGCATAAGTTAACTGTCCCCATATCTATTTCTCTAAGTAATTCCTCTCTCGAGAACTCTATAATTTTATAAACAATTGCTTGACTACATATGTGTTTAATGGGTTAGAGACTAATAAAAAAGGACTCTTGATAAAACACAATTTGCTATCTTGGCAAATGGTATTTATTCTTACCTTGTCCCTACATGTCTAAATAGAGACCAAATTCATACATTTCCCACTCTCTGCACAATTATCACTCCCTTCCAGGTCAACATCATCTTTTATTTAAACTTTTACTCCCTTCCTTTTGTTGCTATTGTCATAATGAAAAGAGATTGTATAGACTTCCTTGCGATGCTTTTTTAGGGATGTGGGGCATCTCACAGAATCAGACTTATTCATTTGTGCTGGTCACAAACATTCTGTTGTGATCTCTGGGGATGCTGTGGTACTCACAAATGTGCTAGCTATGGGTCATACTGCTGGCTGCGGTTTACACATCATTAGCTGCAGTGTTGACCAGGGGTCAGACACTGTTGTGCAGCCAGAGACCCAGACAAGAGAGCAGGAATCACACAGCACACGTGGGTGGCACTGAGGAATCAAACTCATGACTCTAGTCTTTTTTTTTTCTTTTTGGGTCACACCTGATGGTTCTTAGGGGTTACTCCTGGCTCTTCACTCAGGAATCACTTCTGGCTGTACTCAGGGGACCATATGGGATGCTGGAAATCGAACTCAGGTTGGCCACGTGCAAGGCAAATGCCTTACCTGCTGTGCTATCGCTCCAACCCCTCTACTCTTGTAAGACAGCTTTTAGCTACTGAGCCATCTCTTGAACCTTCTTTTTGACTCTTTGAAGAGTTTCCCAACCGATCTCCCTGTTTCCACTCTTTCTTGGTCAGTCATTACAGAGAAGCCTATTGTTAAAAATCAGATAATGTCATTTACAGTCTCCAGTGGCTTCCCTTTGCATCGTGAATCAACCTTAAGCTCCCTAGCTTTACTCATGCATTATGAATAAAGAGACCTTAAGCCACTTCCCTGTCTTCATCTTTTACACACTCACACTTTGTGCCTGTGTTCGTCACACTGGCCTACCTGCCTTCTCTCTCTTACACTGTGAACTTGCTCTCACCTTGCTAAGGAAGGCTGCTTGCTCTGCTTAGAATCTTTATGTGGTTGGGGCCTTCTGATTCTTTATGTGGTTGGGGCCTTCTGATTCTTCTGATATTATTTAATCATCACCTTCTCAGAGGTGACCTATTTTGATGATCAGTTTATGTGTAGATACTTCTATCTTGCCATTCTATTATCCACTGCATTTCAATCCTCTGACAGCCTCCCAGAGTTTTCCTCTATCTTGACTATATTAGGAATGTGGGGATCTTGTCTTGCCTAGAACACAGTAAGAGACCACAGCAGGCCCACATGCTCTCTGACAGCACTGCAGACAGATTTCTTCCACCCTCCTGCTGTGCAGGACCCCCTGACTCACCAGAGACATGGGGCATTTCTCCAGCTCCTCCTCGTTCTTGATCTGAACATCTGCGATGGAGATGTACTTGTGCTGGGGAACATAAGACACCAAGAGGCTGAGGACCTCAGTCACACATGTGCCTGCCTCCTGAATAACTTCCCCAGGGACAAGAAAACGCCTGTTTATGGGTCTGTCACCCTGAACAGATCACAAACTCTAAGGCAGAAATCTTATTCACCTTCACAGCAATTACACTGAACAGTGTTTCACAGTATTCCTGTTTATCCCATGTTTCTGTATTTGTCAAAGAGCAGCAAGTACTGGAGTATTCACCCTCAGTAAAAGTGCCAGGGCAGGGTACAAGAACAGGTGCTCATCCCTGGACCACTGTCCTGCATTTTGTTAGCAATAAAACACACAAATAAAGAGTATGGGTGAGGAGGTATGGAAGGAGGAGGAAGAAGAGGAGGAGGAGGAGGAGGAAGAGAAGAAAGAAAGAAAGAAAGAAAGAAAGAAAGAAAGAAAGAGAAGAGGAAAGAACTCTTTATCTAGTTAAATGTAGGAAACTGGGTAAGTGGCATGTGAGCAGATATGTCCTCTTTGGTCAGACTGCCCGCAGTGGAAATGTAGAGTAACAGCCTCAGTATGTGTCTGGTTGAAAAGTCATACCCAGCACCCAGGACCCTGGTAATTCAGCTTGCCTTGACAGCTCCCTGCAGACCAAGAGCCCACCCTGTTCACCTGCTTTAGGGTCTTTACACTCTCGTGGATAGGCCTGGGTAGTCCAACCAAGGTATCCGTGTCCCTGTGAAATGCAAAAGCAGAGCAGATCAGAAGCTTCACAAGAAGAGAGAGCTATCAGTGCCTCCAGGAGTCACATGGACTATATCACTTTCAGCCTCTGGTCTTCCTCTGAAAGCTTCCAAACCTCCCATCATTGCCTCAGGAACAAAAAGAACAATAATATGGCATTTTCAATATTCTCCCCAAATTAGAAAATTATGGGGTGGAGGTCTCCCAAGAGTGCTCAGGGAGTCTAGGTATCACGATTGGCTATACTTGGCCCAACTGTGAGGACCTGGAGGATCAAAGCTCAATCTAGTGATGCAGTGCTGCTCAGGCCCTATAGTGTTGAACTGGGGGGGGGGGGAGGGGCAAGCGGTTGTTGAGGATTGAATTTAGGGTCTCTGCATGCAAATCATTTTCTCCAACTGCTTGATCTATCTGCTTCCTGAAAATTAGTTTTTGTTTTTTTGGTCACAGCTAACTGTGCTCAAGGCTTACTCCTATCTCTGCAGACAAGGATCACTCCTGGTGGGAATCAGGGGATCTGATGGGGGTACCAGGGATAGAAACTGGACCAGTCATGTGCAAGGCAAGGTGTACTATCACTCTGGTCCCTGAAAAATAGTACTTTTGTGGAGTCTTTTGGGGACTTTCTCCAAAAATGGTAAGTTACCACTTAAAAGGGCACACAGCCCAAAGGCAGGTTTGACAGTGAAACATAAGTAGTGACAACTCTCAGCTTTTGTAGAGGCAATGGGAAGAACTGGTGAGGGGAGGAAAATTAGATCTGCTGAACCTGTTATGACCACGTCTTCTACAAATAAGACTAGCCCACCATGCATGAAGGACCCCTAGCAACCATGCAAGCCAATTACACGAGGAAAGTAAAATTCATAAGGTAGACCCACAACTTGCTGCTATAGGTCCTATACAGCAAGAACATTAAGTTAAGAACGTTAAAGTTGCAGGAAACTGAGAGGGAAAAAAATCCTTTGAAAGATCTCAAGGATGTTTTCTCATTTTCTCTCTCCCTTCTTCATGCTCCCTCCCTGCTCACTGCCTTTCCCCCCTCACTCACATAAACACCTATTCCCTCTGTTTTCTCACCCTTTTCATTCTTAAAAAAAGGAATAAAATATCCCCACGCTGTTACTGGAAGTTGCCGATTGCCTAATAGTTCTACCAGGCCACATTTATCATTCCAACCCTCCTTCTCTGCAGGTCTCTAACACCCACTCTGTGGCTAGCCCAGACCATCTGGCTACTTACTGTCCCAGAGTGAATCCAATGAACTTGTTTCTGCTGATCTCCAAGAAGTGTTCAATGTCCTTCTGTCTGAGAGGACAGTGGAGAGGTGAATTTCAGAAAAAAAGAAGATATACAAACTTTGTAAGTGAGAAACTTTCTGGGCTACCACACCTCCAGTCAGGACTGGAGCAACAGGGAATACTGCAGCCAGAAGCAGACATTTCAGACCCAGTTCTGACTACCAGCCTAATTTATTTTATTTATTTATTGGTTTGGGGGCTAAGTCCAGCAGTGCTTAGAGCCCTCTTGTGGCTCAGGGCTCAGAGGCCACTCCTGACGGTGCATTGCTCTCATTTGTTCAATATCTCTCTGACTCCCAGCCCTGCTTACTAGACTGGACTACACGGTGCACTGAAGCACTTGGGCTGTGAGTGAACCCCAAAGTTCAAGCTCCCTGGTATTATAAAACCTACCTGACTTTTGGAGCCCAGGGTAGGCCTTTGGGAAAGGCCACCCGCTCAGCAGAAAGGGGACCCTGTGACTGTGGAGGGGGGACTAGTGGGTCCTGCTCCAGCAGGTCTAACTCTCCATCCAAGGTTCTTTCTCCATCACCAGCAGACTCCTCTTCCTCCTCTGAGGCTGGTTCCTCTGCTTTAAAGAGATCTCTTTCATTGTAGATATCCAGGCTGTCCTGCTTAGTGAGGAGTTGCTGGAGGGGAGGGAAGGTGTACAGAGATTGCACCCTATGCACCCTTGTCTGTGGCCACCCACTTCCCCATGGGTGGCTATACTTCAAGGACCATGGGGTAACAACCCAAAAGTTGTGACAATTACCCCCTTTCCCACTTCAACCCTTAGGTCCAATCCCAAGACAAGTAGTTCTCAGGCAGCCAAGCCATTGGCCAGAGAATAAAGCAGAACTAAGCCTAAAGTTATAGTTATTTAGCTTTAGAGAGCAATAATGCCTATTCTTTTCACTAGTACTTTCCTTCCTAATTATGCTCTGCTTAGGTGAACATCTAATTAATGTGCCTTCTATGAGCATACACCAGCTGGTTGGCTGAGGAAGCGGAGGACAGAAGCTGACTGCTAAGACAGAGGGAAGTCAGTTTGGAATTTTCAATCCTGTAGCAGAAAGAAAAAAAATTGGACAGAAATAGGCCAAAAAGTTAACAGTGACTGCCTCTGGTTGTCAAGCTTGTGGGTGAGTTTTTTCTTCCTTCTTCACATTTTTATATTTGTTCCAAATTTTCTACAGTGAGTAAGCATCACTTTATACAAAAAAAAAGGTTTAAAAAAATCAAATTGCAGATGCTGTAGATGAAATTACTGAGCGCAACTGTTCAGTCTCATCTTAGATGGGGAAAGCAGGTAGACCAGACAGGTGAGTTGGGGGAGTCTGTTGGGAGCTCAGATTAACTTGTCATTCTGACCTTTCCTGAGATACAGACTATACTTAGAACCCTAAGCAGTTATCTTATAAAGCCAGTCTCTGGTTCCAGAACCAAAGAGGACCATGGCTGGCTCGGGGCAAGCCTTTGTAGCTGCTGTGAAAATGATAAAGTGCTTTACCCCAGGTACATAGTCTTGCTAGGAACCCAATTTGGGTGCCCCAGATCTCTACTCCCAAGATTGTACTGTAATTGTTGAGTAGGACACCAGGGAATTCCAGGTGCTGAGTATAAGCCAGTGACCTCTGAACAAGAGATGGCTGTAGGATGTGTATCAGTGTTTTATCATGCCAGCCAGGAGCTCAAGGCTGAGAGACTTAGATTCCTCCAAGGCCTCAGGCTGGTCTCTCAGGACTGACTAGGGGAACCATGAGCTGTTCAATTACTATCCTGCCTACCACATACAGATTAGCTTAGCATCTCAGTCAATCTCAAAACTCCATAGTCTACTTCAGTTCGTACCCTTCGAGAACCACGGCGGCCTCGAAGCTTGGAGGGGGGTGGTGGTGCCAGTTGAGATTCCCCAAGGTCAAGTGTGTAAGAAGGCGGGGAGGCGGCTCGCATGCTCTTCACCACCTGGATACTGTCCTCAGCCAGAGGAGGCAGGCCCAGTTCTTCCCGTTTCTTCACTTTTAGAGACTGCAGATGCTCGAAACCCCCAAGGGTAAACTAAGGGGAAGAGAAGAGAAAGAATGAGAGGAAAGTCAGGAACACATGGATGGAGAGGAAGAACCACAGCTTCTAATGCCCTCAGACTCCTTTCTATTAGGGAATAAGGAAAGAAGGAGCAAAGGCGAACACTATCCCCAGCGTGCGGAGCTCAGAGTCATTACTTACTAACCTAGCACTTAGCAACATCACTAGAAGTAAGGAAAGGGACTCCTGAGGTTCTCCACTGAAAATCAGGAAACTGGGTATCCAGTTTTATTTGGGGGCCATACCTGATGGTGCTCAGGGGACCATGTGGTGCTGGGAATCAAAGGTGGGTCCCCTGCATGAAAAAAACATTGAACTATCTCTTCAGATTTGGATCTTTTTAAGGAGCATATTTAAATGCTAAAAACTTCTCATCATTCATTTTTCTTGGTAATCAGGAGGTATGTCTCCCTGGAAGGCCTACCCTGGAGGAGATATTTTTACCTCATGTAGTGGGAACCAGAAATCAAGGATCAGTTTGAATATAAGGAACAGAGCTGCAACCATACATTTAGAAGGACTTCATTTTATCTTTAATTTTTATTTAAAATTGAGATTCTGTGGTTTATACTATAAATAATAGTTTCTCATGCAAATAATACCAACACCACATCCATCACCAGTGTACACACGTCCCTCCTCCAAAGGACCCAATGCTCTCCCTTCCAACGCCTCCTCAAATTTAATTGTGCTCATTAGTTCTCCCCTATGTTGCCTTTGACTCTTTATTGCTACTTCACTATGTATCTTTAAGTTCCACACATAAATGAGGTCATTCTGTATCTATCCCTTTCCTTATGACTGATTTCACTCAATGTGATATCCTCTAGCTCCATTCATGTTGCAGCAAATTGATGATTTTGTTCTTTCTTGGAGCTGCATAGTATTCTAAATACCACATATATGTTTGTCTAAATACCTGCATAGTATGTCTAAATACCACAACTTCTTGATCCATTCATTTGTAGTTGTAAATTGTCTTAGTTTTCTGGATAGGGAGAGGGTATAATCCCCCATTTTAAAGCTAGAGAAATTGAGGATAGAGAGTTGCTTGAGGTTTATCAGTATCAGCAGATGTTAGGTCTCCCTACTCAGCGTGCTTTTTCTGCAATGTCAGCTTTCAGTGTGAGGTGCAGTGAGACTCTCATCAATTCAATAGAAGCAGGTAAATTGCTCTGACCTGGAATCTCTGCCTTCTCTAGGATATCCTTGTTGTTAACTGCTGCCTTATTTCTCTGCCCAGCTCCATACTCTTAGAATCAGACTAGAAAAAACTGAAATGGAAGAGGGCACCACTGACCTGAGAAGGGAGTGGGAAGAAACAGTTACTCACCATGACCACTTTCCAGAGAAGAAGGAGAACCTTCTTTATGGGGAAGTGGGGGGCCAGGCCACTGCAGAACTTTGTTACCATGGAGAAGAGAAGAAGGGCAAAAGGCTCCTCATGATGCATAGAGAAACCTGGGGGTATGGAGAGAGGCAAGCAAGTAAGGAAGTGGTCACTGAAAGCCTACCCTGGTAACCCCAATTCTGAACACTGAGAAAAGTTCTCATTTCCCTTGTAGAATTGAGTATTCAGTCTGGAGAAGGAGATGGAGAGGTCAAAGAGATAGGACAGGAGTTAAGACATTTGTGTTTGCTTTGGAAGTACATATACTAACATTGGAACAATACAGAGATCAGTATGGCCCCGGCACAAGAATGAAATGCAAATTCATGAAGGGTTCCATATTAAAAAAAAAAAGACATTTGCCTCGCATGCAGCTGATGCTGATGTAGACCAAAAATACCGCCTTCTCTCCCAAAAACAAGGAGATATAACGGAAGTCCCAAAGGGAAGTCTCTCAAGGGGAGAAACAGAGTCCATAGAGATTAAATGGAGGAGTCCCAAATTTGGGGGTGGGTGGCAGTCTAGAAGTACCATTAATAAATATTATGTTTTCTGGCTGAAGAACTCAGACCTCACTTTCTCACATCAATGACTCTCTGAAATATCTTATAGAGTTTTATACCTGTCTGGTGAAACTGCATTTGAAAAGAGTTTCTCTCTGTTTTTATGGAGATTCAAGTAATTTTTTGTTTGTATTTTTTTGGGGGGGCAGAGTTAGAGACACAGAGGGTAGTGCTCAGTGACTAGTCCTGGCTCTGTACTCAGAAGTGACCCCTAGAGGTGTTTTGGGAACCGTATCTGGTGCTGAGATCAAAAAGGTATGTTGCATACAAGACAAGTGTCTTACCAATAATGGAATGAGAGAGGGATGTTAACTCCCACTTTTGACAAGAAAAACTAAACACATAACTGTGAGATCAGAGACAGGGAACAACTGAGTCAGCCATTAGTGCTTGAGACTCACAACACCAGTCCTCTAAAAAAGAGGATGTGAATTTTCTTTTGGTATTTGGACCACACCTGGAAGTGCTTGGGGGTTACTCCCAGTGGATGCTTAGGGAACCATGGTACGAGGGATTGAACTCACGCCTCCTGCATACAAGCAAACAAGCATGCGCTCAGCCCTTTGAGCTATCTCCCTGGTACTAAGGATGTAAATTTTTAAAAGGAGATGGGAGGCTGTCTGCTCCCTGGAAGCAGATACATATTTTCTCTCCTCTATCAGAGAGGAAGCACCCTAGCTCCATTTAAGTGCCATCTCTTACTCAGTTCAGTGCGGAAGGTCTCCCGGGCTGTCCTCCATGTGCAGGAGTCAGTCTCTCGCTCCAGGCGAATATTTTCCACCATGAGGTACATGACACTCAGCAGTACCCTGGAGTTATAGAAGAGGTCATAAGGAGTTCCAAGGGAGCTTCCAGCCCATAGCCATGGACTTCATTCTGAGATAGTCTCTGTAGGATCCCGACCCAGGAGAACAAATAACTTCCAGTGGTCTGGGGAGGACTGTGAACTGGGGAAATGGTGGACCAGTGCTACCCAACCTGTTTCATGCCCATGGACTTACCGGAGCTCTGTGCTATCAGCAATGGAGATGGCCGGCTTCCGAACAGCACTACTACAAGCCTGGCTGTTGCTACCATGGGGGAAGAAGGAGAGATGGAGAACCCACAAGGCCTTAACAACAGTGTTGTTCCTTCTTATCTAACACACAAACATGAGTACTTGCCATTACCTGTCTCCATAGCTACTGAAGAAATTAGTCAAAGGTAAAAGAGCCTATAGAACCCTGCTGTCTTGGTAAATCCTGACTGGTGGTAATGATATGGGGCAGGTAATAATGTGGCAAAAATGTGGGATACTTTTGTAGATATGGCTTTACATCCCCACTATGCCTAGTACTGTGTGGGACATAAAATAGATGCTAAAAAACACTTGACCAATTATGTACTGCTTTCAATTAACCTTGGGTATATACAGGAGATAAATTAAGGGGTCATAATAGTGGCAGCTGCAGATAAATTCACTTCTAGAGCAATAGTTATGAGACACAACCATGGTAATTAGTCCTGTCCCTTTGGGGCCATGTTCTATGATAGAATAGTTCCCCTTTTAGATTCAAGATTTAGGCTGAGTTGGAGAGGTGTCTGAATAAAAAGAGAACCTGCCCATGTTAGGCCCTGAAGACTGGGATTGAAGCTCTAAGTGGGGCAGGCACTCCTGATGAACCCAACCTCAGTTGAGGGAGACAGAATCACGGAAAGCACAGTTGGATGGATAGAAATTGCTAATATCTCTGGTTTGAGTTGAGAACAGATTCAGCTTCTTACAAGGTCTCAATGAGGAATGAGGGGACCAGCACAGGGCATGAGGTACATGGAAGGGAAACAGTTTTCTAGGCCAGCCCTCCCCTTAGGCTTCTCACTCGATTTCCATGTGGAGTAGCTCCAGGAAGGTCGAGAAGGTTCCCATCTGATAGAGCAGGAAGCAGTTGTACCTGGACCAGTGCAGCACGTCAACCTCTGAATCACATTCCCCAAAAGTGCCTAAATTACCAGACAGCACCATAAGGATTGAGGAAGAGGTATATTAGTTCTTTCTACCCTACCACATGGTCCTTTTTTGATGTTTTGTTTTGTTTTTTGGGCCACAACCACCTATGCTCAGGGCTTACTTCTCGCTATGCACTCAGGGATCACTCCTGGAAGACTCATAGTACCATATGAGGTGCCAGGGATGGAACCTGAGTTGGTTGTGTGCAAGGCAAGTACCCTACCAGTGTACTAATTATTCCACCCCCCACCTTTTTGTTTTCGTTTTTGGGCCACACTCGGCAATGTTTAGGGGTTGTTCCTGGCTCAGCACTTGGGGATTACACCTGGCAGTGTTTGAGGGACCATATGGGAGGCCATGGATTGGACCTGGGTTGGCTATGTGTAAGGCAAGTCACCTACCCACTGTACTATCTCTCTGGCCTCCTAGTTCATGATTTTAAGACTATCTCCCACCATCCTAATCTAATAATTGGGCTGACAAAGGTAGGGAAAGGGTCCTTCAGAGATTCCTGGAATGAGTTGGCAAGGAATCACTAGGTTAGCTCCAATGCAATCATCGATGACCTCTTAAGTCTGCTCTCTGTGACTGGTCCTACATTGTTAGCTTGGGAACACTAACCTTCTAATCTCAACATACAGGATAGTCACAGATAAAGGAAAAGGCCCTCTCAGAGAAGTTCTGGCATAACTGGTAAGAAAAAAACTGTTTCCCGGGATTACATCTTCCTCCTAAGTAGCAGGTTACTCCTAGCACATGGTGGCTGCCTGAGAGGTAGGGACTTGCTTTTCCAGTGTGGCTTGTCTCCTGCTATGTCTCCTAGTCTCCATTCTTCTCCCATTACCTCACCTTGTGCTAGATAGAGAACGGCGCGGGCCATCTTCAGTCGCCTTTCTCTACTGATCACCTCCAGCCGGTCGAGGAGTCCCATCACATAGGCCTTCTGAGCATCCTCCTCCAATTCCAGCCATTCTTTGCCCTGCACTGGGAAGAGAAGATCGGAGATATCTAGGGTCAGCTGTTGCCGCCCCTTTCTGGAAAGTCTCCTGAGAGTACACCCCTCTAACAGAACAGTCCCCAACAACTTCCCTTCAAAAGTGGTCCTAGTTTAGCTTGGCTGAGAAATATTACAAGGTGGCAAGAGCAAAGGACTTCAGGGTCTGACCTGACCCCACACTGCACCTCATTTTCTTCCACATCTTTTCTGTTCTCCACATGCAGCTTATACTTGCTGTACTCTGCCTTTCTCCTAGAGTTCTCTGGTCTCTACATAGTCAATTCCTATTTCTCCTTAGAGGTCCAAAATGACCTCTATCCCATCTTAGAGGAAACAAAAAATTCTGTCCTGCAGATGCTCCAGCCAGAGGCTCTATCCCCCAATATGTCCTTTTACTTCTCTTATGATACTGTCTCTTGGCCTTAGCCAGTGTTCTGATGCACATCCCTCCCCTCTGCTACTGCACTGTTAGCTCTTTGAAGCTACTGCAAATCCACCTTCTTCTCTACCCTCCATGTCACAGGGTATTTGCTATACATCTATTAAGCTGAAAAAAGAATTATCATTGACCAAGTAAGGAAAAGGTCTCAGAAGCTCAAAGTATCAGTACATGAAATTACTATTACATGCTACTGAGAGGGAGGCAGGGGTTGAACAGTAAGTCAAGGGCTGGGATAGGCATGGCACAGCCCCTTCTCACAATCCCACTATTCCCTTGCTATATGAGAGAAAGGGACTCATGATCTTCTGTTTCTCTTGCTTCCATTTCACAGTTTCTCCATTTGAGGTATAGGAACTCTGTATTCTATATACAAGCATGGATGGAGAAGTTACATGGGTATGGAGATGATGATGATGGATCACACTATGCTTTGCAAAAGATCTTTCTAGAATAGACTGGAAAATCATGAAGGAATAAGGCAGGTCTACAGAAATAAAAATTGACAATCACCTTGAGTCCTAAAATCTTCTTCAAAGCACCTCCTGTTAGTGGTGAATTCCAGGTTCTCCGTGTAGCTATACAACTCTGTGGTAGGAAAGATAGGACAGTCAAACTCTTAGAGAAGGGGCCTGGTGTGGAGAGGGTAGCATGAAAGAGCTAAGGTTTCCAACACATTCCTGTGTCTGATTCGATCCAGAGCCAGCTTCCTCCCTTTTAAGAGCAGTTAAAAATAGCCACTTGTGTCCCTGGGTGATTAAACTATCAAACCTGTCCTCCTCTTGCCAGCTGGCTGTTATGGCAAAAAAGGCAGCCATTGACATCTGATGAGGGCCAAGAGGGCTGAAGCAGAAAGGTTTTGATGTCATTACTCCTGTTACCTAGGGCTTCAATCCTGTCTGTCAACTTACTCTGGGGCTATCCTGTCTCTAGGGAAGAAGACAGTACAATTCCTGAAGTTTAGAGGCAGGATCCTAGTGTTATTTACAGAGCGAGGGCATTAACTGGAGAGTAGATACTAGATGCTACTCAGCATTGGAGCCAGTTCATTCTTTCTCTGCTGGGTTTCCTCGAAGGGTATAGAAATTTAAGTTCCTGCCCACGGCCACCCAGGGGACTCAACAGCAAACTACACAGACAGCAGCGATGGCTGCCAAAGGGCTGCTTATGCCCAGAAAAATATAACTTCATAACAGCAACTTCTCAATACAAACTCAGAGAGCTTGTGAAAATAATAGCCTTCCCTACATACACAAACCACAATATTATACCAATACCCTTATCTTAAAAAGGATAAAGAACTTAAGTAGAGAAATTAATAGGTTATAGATCAGATTTCCTTGAAACACAAGTTTCTCAACTTCGACCTTACTAGAAATTTATTTAGGTGAACAACCAATTCACAAAGCAAGAGAAATTCCCTTATTCAGCCAGTTAGCTGAGAGTTTAGAAACTCCTGGTCTGGAAACCAAGGCTTTTGAGTTCCAGAATCCTAGACTACAAAAAAGCAAATCTCATCCCTGAATATTAAATTCTTTAGTCATGAAGAGATAGTGGTTGGAGAGATTTACCTTGCGACCAAATGATTTGGGTTTGATCTCTGGCACCTCAAATGTTGCAGACCAGAGAATGGTCCCCTGTGCCTTGCAAGGAGTGACCCCTGAGGGCAGTCCTGAGCACAGTCATATCTGACCCAAAACCAAAATAAAATTAAAAATATTTAATCTGAGTTTGGAAAGCTATCCCATTGGAAAAAACTGGGGAGATAACATTTGATAACATTTGCTTTTAAGTTAGTGTCAATTCATACATATTAATTCCTTAAACAGATAAGAAAATGCAAAGGCATTTCCCCCTGGATCATAAGCATCCGTTAGAATTAAGAATCAAGAACTATGAGAATGTGAGTTTCAAAAGCCTCTGTATCTGCAATGTTTAGAGATGTCTCTTGCTAATTCAATTTTTTTTTTGCTTTTTGGGTCACACCTGGTGATGCACAGGGGTTACTCCTGGCTCTGTGCTCAAAAGTTAATCCTGGCAGTGCTCAGGGGACGATATGGGATGCTGGGAATTGAACCCGGTCGACCGCGTGCAAGGCAAACGCCCTACCCGCTGTGTTATCTCTCCAGCCCCGCTAATTCAATTTTAATAAAATTACTTTTAAATCACAAATGAAAAAGTTTCATCCAAGCAGTAATCACATTGTTTATGTTACTACTTCTTTCCCCTCTTGATAGTATTTTTGGAGATGGGTAGCACACCTGGTGGTGCTCAGGGTTTGCGGGGGGCACTGTGGTACTAGGAATCAAGGCTGGGGATCCTGCAAGTATAACATGTGCTCTAGTTCTCTGAGTCATCTTCTCTGGTCTGCAACATTATATTTTAAATATTTACTGATACTGGAGCAAACTATATAGGTCAGCTATTTTAATGTAACTTACTACATTGATATACTACTACAATTTATCTGTTCCTCTCAATTGTTTCTTATTTTTCACTATGGGTAAAGTAACTATCTTTGTATAAGTTTTCTTTTCTTCCTCACTCCTTTTTTTCTTTTATTAAAACTTTTTAATGTTTTAGTGTACATGTTTTCTTATGCCCAATGGTTTCCATGGTGTGCACATCTCTAGAACTGCTGGCTCATGATATATTGCTTGACTTTGCTAGCTATAACCAAACTGTTTCAGTTCTATAATCTGCTCCCCCATGACTGGCAGTGTATGACAGTATTCATTTCTTTGTACCCTCTCCAACCTCAGGTTCTTATATTTTTTTCTTATTTTTTAGGTGTAATGAATGTGTAACAATAGCTCACCATTTTAATTTGCTTTCTACCATTTACTAATGTACTTGATTATCTTTTCATATATTTACTGCCATTTGGTTTTCTACTCTTTGAATTACTAACTGATCTTGTTCTTTGACCACTTCTCTTCCTCTCTTTCGCTCTCCCCCTCCCTCCCTTCCTCCCTCCCTCCCTTGCTCCATTCTTTCTCTCCCCCTTCCTCCGCCTCTCTCCCTCCCCCTACATATACTCATACTCTGCTTCTGGTTAAAATCCTTTGATGGATATTAAACTTAGCTCTCTATTTCTGTCACTCACCAGAAAATCTATTCCCTGTGCTTATTCACAAGATATTCTTTTAAAAATGCGTGTCTCCTTTGTCTGAAAAAGCATGTCTCAAAGTGCCTCTCCCATGTGACAGAATATTTAACTTTCACACCATCTCCACCCAAAGCTCATTTATTAATAACTGGCATTCACAGCACGTGTAATGTGGTATCCCTTAATGTGAGGAGATCACATTATACAGCTAAAAATCCAGACCAGCAGAAGTTGCTCAGCACTGGAAGAATGAGACCTTTAACCAGCACTCAATCTGGGCAGAGCTCCACTCTGATGGGTGCAGGTGACATGTCCAACCTTTCTAGCTGCCCTGTTGTCACAGACATTTTCCTCAGACACTGTTGAGATTTTAATAAGGCCAGGTATATTGGGGAGGGTGGAGTTATATAAGAGAGAGAGATGAAATAAGAAAAAGAAGAAGGCAGCTGAAGAGGGCCTGTGAAGGGCCTGTGAAGGGGTAGATAGGAGATAAAGAGGTAAAGAGATAAGAATTGGGGAGAAGACGGAGAGAAAACAGACTTGAGGGTGCACCCAAAGTTACTTAAGGGTAAGCAGGAAAGAATGACTGAATGGAAGACTGGAGAAGATCATATTAAAGAGGAATTCAAAGAAGTTTGGGAAAGCAAAGAGGTATTTACCACTGGAGAGTAGGGAGAGGAGAGAATGTGGAGGACAGGTTTTGTTCAGTGCAACTCAAGGAGAACAGAATTGCTGCCAGAGAGCCTCTCAGGCCCTTGCATTCTCCTCCCAGCCATATTTCCATCCCTTGTAGGTCCCTCATACCTGATAACTCTGCTGCGTGCCCATCTGCATCTCCATATTCAAATTCCAGAGTGGGGCAGTCCACAGAGCCCTGTAGGGAGGAAATTTTTGTGGTAACTTGGGCAGAGGGGTTGACAAAAGGAGACTATGTCCTCATTTTATCTCCCTCTCTTGGAGGACAAGCTTAGGTTGGAGAGGTGGCATAGAGTTGACCTTTTGGCCAAGAGGTCTTCAAGCCAAAATTTGAGGCTCAGTGTAAAGAGGGATTGGAGATTCCTATAATCAAAAACTTTGGGTGAAGTGCCAGAATGGTGGACAAATGTGGAAACTATACCCTGCCCATATCTAATCTATATGAACACAGGCCAGAAGTGTAGCTGGAGGATCGCTAGAAAACTGGGACAAAAACAAAACAAGAATTGGATTCTACTTCAGCTCTGCCATTAACCCATGGTATGATTTTGGACAGGTTTAATTTATGGTTCAAAGTCCCTGGCCTTTAGTTCTAGTGTTCTAAAAATTGAGAGTGGTCAAAAAAAGCAGCTCTCCTACTCTAAATTATAGTGAAAGTTAGATTTCCTATGTTATACATATATGTTAGCAATCCTACTAGAAAAAAAATTAGTATATAGATTTGAAACTGGAGATCAAGCAGAAAGCTTCAGACATGCAAAGTACACAACCAATAACTGGGTTACATTCCTGGGTTTCTAGAAAAGCTCTTGCTTTTTCCTTTTTGGGTCACCTACCCAGTGATGCTCAGGGGTTACTCCTGGCTCTGCACTTAGGAATTACTCCTGGTGGTAATCAGGGGACCATATGAGATGTCGGGGATTGAACTCAGGCTAGCCATGTGCAAGGCGAGTGCCCAAACAGCTGTAGTATTTCTCTAGCCCCTAGAAAAGTATTTTTACTATAATCACACCCTCCCCAATGTTTTTAGTATCTTGAAGTATTTTGTATAAGTACATATTTATACATATGCATTTAAAAATATTTAAATCTAAAAGGTCACATAGTATGTGACCTTTGAGCAACCTCTCTATGCCTCAGTGTATATAAAAAATATTTGGAAGAAAGGAGGGGGAGATAGGTCAAAGGGCTGGAGCACATGCTTTGCATGCAGGAACTCTAGCACCGAATGGTCTTCAGAGCACTGCCTGGAGTAGACTCTTGAATATTGCACCAGAAGAAGCCCCTTGAATATCTCCTGGTATGGTCTAAAGTCAAAAGTTATTTCTGGTCTTTGTCCTAGGTTCCTGGCACAGAGCTCCTAAACTCCTTGGAATTTTAAGTGACAGGGTGTCTGTTATTCATAAAAAGTCCCTGTCAACCATACTTGAGTTTACGCTAACGAGATGACTCAAAGCGAGCCTTTAATACTGTACTGTAAAAAATATGAGTTCTTAAAGATTTCAGAGGGGTTCGCCCATCTTCAGAGGAATAGAAGGGAGACTGAGTCTTGTGACCTCGCCAATGATTTAATCAACCATGCTGAGTCCATATGAAAAGATGTGAAGGGAGATGGTTGAAAGGCCTGGAAGGCATGTTTTGCATGCGGGAGCCCTGGTTCACATGATCCCCTGAGCACTGCCAGATGTGGCCCCAAAAGCAAACAAAAAAGAGGTTTGGGCACCCCTATGTGAAGGATGATCCTGGAAAGAACATGGTAGTTCTACACCATACCCTCAACAACTCATATTACGCCTCTCTTTAATTGACTGAGTTGTGTCCTTTATAATGTTTTAACCATAGTGTTTTTCTGAGTTCTGTCAGCCATTCTAGCAAATTATCAAATGTCATAACCCCTAAATTTGTGGTTAGTCAGGAAGGGACTAGTTGAAAGTGGCATATTAAGTGGGGGCAGTTTTGGGGACTGAGCACCTAATTTGTGTTATCTGAGCTAACTACATGTAGTTAGAAATGATAGGTTTAGGAATTGTTGAAAAATTATGATTATCTGTAAAACTGTGATAATTCACAGGGCCACTATAAAGGCTAAATGGAATAATAAAGGAAAGGCATTTAGCATAGTTCTCAGTACTTGGTAGTATGTAGATTACTACTCAGAATTTTACTTTATTTAAAATTCACTATTATAAGTGTATTTTCCTCTATAATAAAGTGATATGATTATCACTTTAAACAACTAAGTGGTTTATTTAACCAATTTGCTATACTTGAGCATTTAAAGTTGGTTTTAATTTGCTTTTATATGCAAAAATCTGTAATACGCTTATAGAATTTTGCAAATTTAGAATATTTCCTGCAGATAAGTCTTATAAAGGAATTAACACATGAAACCTAACGAATATTTGTATGGTTTTTGTATATGGTTTGTTATTTTCTACTTTATCAAGTCACACTATCAACAAAGCAATTTATGTGGGATACATTATATCTTTACACATATATACACATATAACTGAATAAAAGTTTAACATAATAACATGATTACAATATTTAATGCAATTTTTCCTAGTATTTTATTCTTTTTTTTTTTTCCTTTTTGGGTCACACCCAGCAATGCACAGGGGTTACTCCTGGCTCTGCACTCAGGAATTACTCCTGGTGGTGCTCAGGGAACCATATGGAATGCTGGGAATCGAACCCGGGATGGCCATGTGCAAGGCAAACACCCTATTCGCTGTGCTATCGTTCCAGCCCTTTATTCTTAAAAAATGTTGATTCCAATTCATAGATTACCCACTATAGAAAAATGATAATTTAAATCATGTGCATCCTTGAATTTTAATATAGTGGCTATATTTTATAAAACCCTCATCTGAATATTCTGGATTTTTCTGATTTTGCCCCAAACCTGTTAAAGTTTTGTCAAGGACTCTGGGAACCAATAAATAAGGGATTTGGCTGAGAGTGACCTGAGAAGAATCTTTTGGTTAAGAATATTTTTACTGGGGGGCCAGAGCGATAGCACAGCAGTCAGGGCGTTTGCCTTGCACGCAGCCAACCAAAGTTCAATCCCCGGCATCCCATATGATCCTCCAAGCACCACCAGGAGTAATTCCTGAGTGCAAAGCCAGGAGTAACCCCTGAGCATCGCTGGGTGTGACCCAAAAAGCAAAATAATAATAATAATAATAATATTTTTATTAGCAAATAATTATTCTTTAGCTTTCCTTTCTTCTTATTCTTTTTTATTTTTTGGCGGGGGCCCACATCAGGCAGTGCTGAAGGATCTACTCCTGGTGGGGCTCAGAGAACCATATTGTATACCAGGAAATGAACCCCTTTCAGCCATGCTGGGCAAGCCCCTAACTGCGGTACTATCCCTCCCACCCATCTAGATTCCTTTTTAGGTTGGGAAATTCACACACTACATTTTTTTCAAGAGGATAGGCCAACTTGGCCCTATAAATGTGATGGATGAGAGGGCTCTCTTGCATTGTGTCAACAGGAATTCTCTAGAAGCCTGGGAGAGAAAATAAAACTATCTCTCGAGGACTCTCTTCCCCAGGAAAGGAAAAGGAAGACATGAAAAGGAAGCAAATAGTTCTTGAGTCTGGCATCTGGGTGTGCGGAGACCGGGGAGCTGAATTAGATGAAGGCAACTTTCCTGCTGCAGAGGAAGGTGAGGAAAGCTAAATCTCCAGCCAGCCTTTTTGCAGGCAATGAGCCCAGAGAGAATCGCTGCAGTTGTTCATCTCCCAGCATGAAAAGTACAGCTGCAGACAATCAGGAGGTAAACTGTAACACAGCCCTGGGTCTCTTGGCACTAAACTCACTGGCAAAAGTGAAGTATTACCAACGGAGCCTTTACCTGCAGAAAGATTTGATAGGTAAAAAAAGACCTCCTACATGAGGAGATCCATAAAGCACAGCATTCTAAAGTTACTGTATTCACTTCATTAGTGTTTGCCTCTCCACCTCCGTTGAAATATAAGCTCTACAGCAAGGGCAAAGACCTTGTCTTGTTTGTGACTGAATCTCTAACACCTAAAACTGCACTGAGCACACAGAGAAGATTCAATAGTTCAATTAATGAATGACTCACCACCAGCCTTTAAAAACTGAACAGGAACAATGTCTCAGGTGGGAGGAGGGGTAACTGGGGGAAAACAGAGGCACTGAGGGGTGAGGGAGGGATGGTTTGGTAGATAGAACCCTCAGCGAGCAAAGCAAGGAAGATTGAACTCTGACTCTGGTAGGGTGTGACTGGAGGACAGTCCTTTACCTAGTTCATTTCTCTTTGAAAAAAGGGATGTACAGCTGGGGAGATGGTTCAAAGTGCTGGAGGACATGCAGTGCGTGCAGGGGGCCTGTGCTCAATCCCTGCACTTCAGAGTTCCCCAGCACTACTGGGAGTGATGCAGAAGCACTGAGCCATGAATAGTCCCCAAGCACCACCAGGTATGACTCCAAACAAACACTAAAAACAAAGATGCAGGCCAGGGCTGTGGTTCAGCGACAGAGTACATGCTTTGCATGTAGAAAGTCTGGGTTCAGTCACAGGAATGATGCATTCCTATTCATCCTTATTGAAATGAAAAGCATACATGAAATCTCTTTGGAAATGGTGCAATGCCACTCAAATAGCAAAACTTGCTCAAACCCTGGCTTCTCCTACCAGCTCTGCCACTTGATGATGAAGATGATGGTCAAAAAAAGGGAGGGCTGAGAATTGCGCTTGCCCCAAACTGTTTAAACGCAATGATCTCATTTTGCCTTTATCACAACCTTCCCAGCTAAGTAGCCGTTAACCTCATTTTACAGATAAATTGGAGCTCCGAGAGGTTTGGTGATTTGCCAAAAGTCACACGGGCAATGGTGGTAGGGCCGGGATTCCAACACCGGTTCCCTGCAATCACTGCTGCTCTGCAGGTTTGACCTCTGGTTAAGTTACTTGTCTCTTCCATGTCTATGAAGGAATTCAAGACACTTGAGTGTCCCTGGACTTTTCCACATCAGCTATTTTTTTGTGGTCTTACTCTCCTTCTTAATAGACATTGGGTGGGGTGCAGGTAGGTGTGTTGGGGCAGGGTGTGTGTGTGTGTGTGTGTGTGTGTGTGTGTGTGTGTGTGTGTGTGATCAAAGGACCCCTTTGGGACCTCCGCATTTCTTTGCAGAAGAGAAAATAAAAACAAAACTCCTTTCTCGGGGTTGGGATTGCTGGTCACTGGGTGGGGTGCAGGTAGGTGTGCTGGGGCAGAGTGTGTGTGTGTGTGTGTGTGTGTGTGTGTGTGTGTGTGAGCTCGAAGGACCCCTTCGGGACCTCTGGATTTCTTTGCAGAAGAGAAAATAAAAACAAAATCTCTCTGGGGGTTGGGATCCCTGGTCAGTCTCTCTCCACACCCCACTCCGGTACTGCCCCTGCTTCCACCGCGTCTCCTTAGCCCCGACAGGGAGGGGTCCCGTGTCAGAGGAGGGCACCCTCCCTCTGGCAAAAGTGGGACGACCGCTCCCGAGAGGCTCCGGGGACCCTGGAGCGGGACGGCGTGTGCGTGTGTGTGTGGGGGGGGGGGGCGGCTGCCCTGCGCCGACCCCCCCCCTTCCCCGTTTACTGCGGCTGAGCTCGGGCCTCCCCGCTCTCAGGCCGTCCGCCGAGTGTCCCCGACCCCCGTGTTGGCAGGTACGACCCCCCCTCCCCAACACACACCTCTAGGGGCCGCGGCGAGGAAGTGGGGGGCAGAGCCGCCAAGTCTCGGCGCTCTCCACCTCAGCGCGCCCCCTGAGGGGCGGCCCGAGGGTGGGACCCCCAAAGCAGAGGCGGCAGCGGCAGATGCCAGAGTCCAGACGGAGTGCGAGGGGCGGGCCGCGAGGGCACCGGGCGCCGGGGAGGAGGACGGGGTCGGACACCCCCCACTACCCCCCAGCCCCCCGCCGCCGGCGTCTCCCGGCGCCAATCCCGCTGTCTGGGCGCCTCACCTCCGACTCCCGCCGCTGGTTTCGGAACGCGTCCCTGCCCTTGGGCGCCGCCTGCTTCCCTTTGCCGTTGCCGTTGCCGTTGCCGTTGCCATTGCCGTTGCCGTTGCCGTTGGCCGGCGGGCTGGCGGCCCCAGGCGCCACGGGCTCGTCCATGCCGCGGCAGTCAGCGACTCTCCTCAGCTGCCCGGCGCTCGCTCTGCCCGGGGCGACCCCGCCGCCGCGCGCCGCGCGCCAGGCCACGCCCTCGCCTCTTCTATTGGCTGCCGATACTCTCAGAAGCCCCGCCCCGAGACGCGATTGGCTGTGCGATGCCTCGGAGAGGGACTCAGGGGGAGGTGGGGGCTCATTTAAGGCCCCCCCGCCCCCCGTTTCCCATTTCCCCCTTATTCCTGCGGCACTGCTGGTGGCCCCAGACTTCTGGGCGGGCTGAATGAATTCCCCCGCCCCAGTTCTGGGTCTTGAGCTCTATGCTTCTCTCTCAGCATCGCTCAGGACTCACCCCCTTTCCCAAAGAGCGATGCTGGGGGGGGGGGGGGGGGGGGAAGCTCTAGTCTCCGCCTCTTGCCCCATCTGCAGTCTCGGTATCCCCGTTACCAGATAGCTCCATCACCTCATCCCGGCTCCTGCATTCCTCCCAAATCTCTCTCGCGTCTCGGACGCGGCATGGCACCGTTGGGTGGCCGAGACCCTCTCTGGGAGCGGAGATCTCTGGGGGAGAACTCACGCCGGCCGAAGGCAGGACTGAGTGGAGGGTTGGCGTGGGGCGCTTTTTCTTCCCTGACATTGCTTTTCGGGGTTGCTCTTCTCTGAGCAAGTAGGGCATCTTCCTCAAGGGGTAAATATGTGCGAGCAAGCCCTCGCTCCTGGTGCCAGGTGCTTTTTCGAAGTCTTCCTTGAAGACTGTTGTACCCGGGGCAAGGAGCTGTGCAGTAACTTGACTATAATGAGTTGACAGTGACTCTTGACAGCTTGGCTAGAGGCTGCAGGTGCAGGCTGAGAGAATGAGGGGGACCAAAGGTGCGAGGCTAGGGCTCTGGTAAACTGCCAAATTGTTCAGCCTGGCACCAAGCACTTTTCAGATGTCTCCTTTCTTCACCAAGATGTCTCCTCTGTCACCCCCTTTTCACCAAGCCAGCTTTTCTGTTGGGGGAAACTAGGACTCCCAGATTCATAACTCCATGCAATTCCCATGGAATCACTTAACTCATCCTGGAGACTTGGAAATATATGTTGTCTCTTCTTGGGGTAGTGGTAGTGTTGATGAGGGCACACGACACTGTTCTTTCCTTGGCTAATTTCCTTTTTTGGGGGGGCACATCTGGTGATGCTCAGAGGTTAGTTCTGGCTCTGCATTCAGGAATCACTCCTGGAGATGCTGGGAGGGTGGGGAGGTGGGGGAACATATGGGATGCCAGGGGTGGAACGTGCAAGGCAAATGTTCTACCCTCTGTACTATCCCTCTGGCTTCATTTCGTGGCTAATTTCTAGTCTTAATTAGTCACAGCCTCCTCCAGAAAATTTTCCTTTCGGTTCTCCCCAATCCATTCAGGCCATGTTGGGGTCAGCCAGATATCTGGGGTCATTTCCCAAATCCTATTTTCCACTCTATCCCAAAGCAAGGGACCAAAGGAATTACTCCCACTTTCTATCCTAGGAATAACTGTCCCCATTCTTCACCCTCCTGCTTCTTCTCTGCTAACCAATAGGTGATAGATCACAGTCAAGACAGTGAGTATTCAACAGAGTTTTCTGAGTTCCTTTTCCATCCTCCCCTAGATCTCCATAAGGTTCCCACGTTTTTCTTTCCCATTCTCAGCACCCACCAAAGGAATCTGTATATAACTCTTTGGGAATAGGTTCAATGTTTGTTCCTTTTTTAAAACATTGTTTTTATTTTTTTGTTTTTGCTTTTTTGGTCATACCCTACGATGTTTAGGGTTGTTCCTGGCTCTGCACTTGGTAATTGCTTCTGGTGGTACTCGGGACCATATGGGATGCCAAGGATTAAACCCAGGTAGGCTGCATGCAAGGCAAATGCACTACTATGGTTCCGACCTCGGTTTGTTCTTCTTTTATTTTTTTGCTTTTTGGGTCATACCCGGTGATGCACAGGGGTTACTCCTGGCTCTGCACTCAGGAATTACTCCTGGTGGTGCTTGGGGGACCTTATGGGATACTGGGGATTGAATCCGGGTTGGCTGTGTGCAAGGCAAGTGCCCTACCTGTTGTGCTGTTGCTCCAGCCATGGTTTTGTTCATTTTTATAGGCCTCATTTATATATGTTTAACACAGGGCTCCTGTACTATCGATTGTTCTGTGTCTTGTAAGATGTTCAGCAAAACCAGCAGCCTCTCACCAGACGCTTCTCTCCCTCAATTATGCCAATCTCAAAATGCCCCCAGATACTATAAAATATCCTCTACAGGGCAAAATCTTCTGTGGCTGAGCTGGTTAAACAGAATTAAATTGATATGAACTTCCAAGAATTCATTTGGGCTCAAGGCCCAAACTAATTCTTGGGGGAATTTTTTTAAGGGCATAATTTGTGAAATTCTTAAAGATTCACACTCTGCTTTAAAATTCACAGCCCACGCCTCTCTCCGCACTGTTTCAGTGTGGCAAACCTGCCACAGCAGAGCCCACTGATGCTTCTTAATAAAAGAATTAATTATCCTACCCTCCCTCTTCCCAAATACCTCTCCTCCTAAGGAAGTCAGAGTTCTAGGACTGACAGGCCCAGAACTTTCTATTCCCTTTTGTGAGCTTAGTCAATCAGCAGAATTCTCAACAGAGTTGACAGACTGGAATAGATTTTAAGTTTTTTTTTTTTTTTCCTTTTCCAGCCTGTTCCTAGATCAGAGAGAGGAATCAGTTGGGAGTTGAAGTGAGGGCAGTTCTCTGGTACCTTCTGACCTCTGTAAAGTCAAATACTTGAGCCGGGAGTTGCATCTGACTTCACTTATTGGAAAAGAGGTTTGAAAACTGGGTGCTCTGAAGATTATAAAGAATCACCATGAGGAGAGGCCTCAGTGCATTATTTTCCCTCACTTGGAGGGGATCCAGGAGAAAAATCAGAGAAAAATCATCTATCTGCCATACAGGCCCAGACTTTTAGAGCTTGTCTTAAGGAGGATATCTAGAAACAACTCCTGGAAGAAAGTACAAGGTAGCAGATTGTCTAAAAATTTAGCAACTATAGGCGATGGGGTTTGCACACACTTTTTATCCTCCCAGTTTGCCAACCAAATGACAGCCTTGAATACCACTGACCACAGGTACCCAGAAATGTTGTACCTGGTAGCTAATTAGAGGCTGAACTAAATCTTTCTTACCAATAGTTCCAGAGCTGTAAATTTAACATATATTACGGTGTGAGGAACCAAACACAGACCATCACACATCCATTGCTGAGCTTTGTCCTTGGGCTCCTTTATGTGCGGTGAATTTTCAGGAGTCACCCAGCCTGCATTCCAGCCCACTGAACTATCTGGTCCCAGTGCTGTTAATATTACTTTTAAATCTATACTAATGCCTTTCCTTGTCCCCAAACTCATGTATACTGTATATTGAGCCTACTGGCAGACAGTTGGAGGTATAACTATGATTCAATATAAGAATCATTTTTCTCATATAAGGGTTCTGTTTTACTTTTGTAGTACCAGGGATTGAAACTAGGGCCTCACAGATCAGAGCCATATCCCCAGCCCAAAACAGCCACCCCAAAAAAAGATACATTTGACCTAACATTTTTTTTTTTGCTTTTTGGGTCACACCCAGCAATGCACAGGGGTTACCTCTGGCTCTGCACTCAGGAATCACTCCTGGCGGTGCTCAGGGGATCATATGGGATGCTGGGAATCGAACCCGGGTTGGCCGCGTGCAAGGCAAACGCCCTACCCGCTATACTATCTTTCCAGCCCCTGACCTAAAACATTTTAAAATAAACTGGTAAAATACCTTAAGATATTTAGGATAATCAAGCACTTGGGATAATGTAGTAGAATAGAATCCTTTCCTTTCCTCATGAAAGAAAGGTTTGCGTGTAATGAGGCTGCAGGGCTCTAGACTGAGACTAGAAATTGATGTTTACGTAGTACCCAGTGTGTGCCTGGTCTTGAAAAGCATTTTTTAGGTGTATGTGTGTGCTCAGGGGACCATATGGGATGCTGGGGAATTGAACCCACGTCGGCACCATGCAAGGCAAATGCCATACCCACTGTACCTATCGCTCCAGTCCTGAAATCATATTTTAAAAGGGATTTTGTGTTTGTGTGTGAGGGGGAGGAGAGGAGGGGACACATATAGTGGTTCTCAGGTCTTACTCCTGGCTCTGCACTCAGGGATCTCTCTTGGTGTTGCTCAGGGGACTGCCGGGATTGAATTTGGATTGACCACATGCAAGACAAGTGCCCTATCGGTTGTACTATCTCTTTGGCCTCAGGTTTTTAGAAAAGTTGGGCCACACATTGTGATACTTGGGAGCCACCAGGACCATATCCAACAGTGTTCAGGGTGCCTTGCAGAGCTGGGGAGTTAACTCAGGGCCTCACACATACTAGGCATTTGCACTGATACTTGGAGTAATATGCCCAATTCATCCCTATTAATAGCATTAAAAATTAAATCAGGGGCCAGAGAGACTCAAAGGACTGAGTGCATGTTCTGCCTGTGGGAGGCTTGGGTTTGATCCCTGGCACCTCATAGTTGCCCAACCACTGCCAGGAGTGACTCTGCACTGAGCAAGAAGCATCTCCTGAACACCAATGTATGTGGTCCCCAACCAACCCCCCGTCCCACCCCCCGAAATTAAATCAGGTCATTAAATCCTTACCCTAGGAGATAAGCCCTATACATTTAACAGCACACCCCACCCCCAGGCAAACTGAGACTCTGAATAGCTATATAATTTGGCAAAGTTGTACAACTTGTAAATGGCAGAGCTAATCAAGTCAGCCTGACTCAAAGCATATGCTCTTGGGAACCAGAGTCAGCACAGGAGTTAAGGCATTTGCCATGTGCAAGGCCAATCCTGGTTCAATCCCTGACACCACATATGGTCCCCTCAGAACTTCTGGGGGTGATTCCTTGAATACAGAGTGCCAGGAGTAAGCCCTGAGCACTGTGGGGTGTGGGCCAGAGTCAGAACAAGAAATTATATGCTCTTCCCTAATATCAGGAACAGAGAAACTGCAGACCAGTGAGTGGCTGAGGTTAGCCTGAGAGTCTAAAATTAAGACACAGGAACCTTCACAAAGGAGAAGCAAACCCTGTTGCAGGTGTAAAGGCTGCCAACAGCTACGGTTTCAGCCCTAGCCCTGAGCTATTACCAACCGCCCAGACCATTTTAGTCCATTGGTCCTTAGTTTAGATGAACAGAAGTCAAAGAGGATTCTGATTAGAAAATATCTTGCATACAGGATTAAGTAGCTTTAGTTAGGTAGCTTAGGTTGTCAACTATAGGTGGCTATCAGAAAGTGACTCAAAAATGGCTACTCTAGGGCCAGAGTGATAGTACACTGAGTAAGGTGCTTGCCTTGCACAGACAACACAGGTTCAATCCACGGAACTGCGTATGGTCCACTGGGCAATGCCAGAAATGATCTCTGAATGCAGAGCCAGGAGTAAGCCCTAAGCATTGCTGAGTGTAGCCCCCAAACAAAACAAAGATTCTATGAGATTCACCTCATTCTTACTTGAAGGTTGCCAGGTCCTGGTTGTCTGGATCTTTTGACTCTCAGTCATGGAAATCTGGCTTTGGATGCTCTTTAGCCCATAGAGGGCTGGTGGGACCTAAAACCAGGATTTGCTTTCTTTTTTTGAGGAGGAGAGGCAACACTTAGGGGATACTCCTGATTCTGCACTCCAGAATTACTCCTGACAGGCGCTTGGGAGACTATATGGGATGTTAGGGATCGAACTCAAGTCCTACCTGCTAAACTCTTGCTCTGGGTTACTTTCTTTGCCTTATGTCTACACTCCATAACTCCCTTGGGTTAAGAGCAATATCCTTTCACTGATAACTAGGCATGGCTTGACATATTAGTGGAATGACCACCATGAAATAAGGAACATGAAGTTCACATCAAACATGCCATCTGGTTATTGATTTTTCTTTTCATATCCTTGCCCTCAAGCTGTCTCTCCAGCCTGCTGCACCAAGACTTCTCTAATTTCTCAATTCCTAGTTCACAGAAGCAAAGAATACTTTCACAGCAAGAATCCATTTTAAGAATATTTTATTTTTCTTTTGAGATTACATAGTCATTATTGCTGATCTAATACAATCACTTAGACATAAAGATTTCAAAGAGCCTCTCAGAAATGGCGATCCTTAGAGGTTTTATATCCTTTCAATAAGATGACAAAGACAACTAGATGATTTATATATATATATATAATATATATGTATGTATGTATATATAGTTTAGAACTTGTCCACATATAATTTGCTGGTGTTGCCTATTTTCTTTCTGTAATTTTCCTTTATTAAAAAAAAAGTTTAACGCAACAATGCATTTTGATTTCTTTTTTAAAACCATGACAAAGTTAAATTTGAGAAAAACCACAGGAGCAGCAATTTCTGATCTGTTCAGAGGGAAGCCAAGCAGCACAAAAGCTTTGCAGGAGTGTGTGGCCTTGGGGAGTCGTGCTTGCATGATGGGGGGATGAGGACGTGCCCCCCACCCCTGGGAAGGTAGACTGGATACCTTTATTTTTTTTAATGGAAGAAAGAGTATTTCCATTAAGAAGGCAAAACAGACTGCCCAGAGCCAGTACAAATTCACTGTAGAGAAAATGAAGTATCCCACAGGCCAGGGTTACATACAAAGTGATCATGACTCTTTCCCAAGCTTCCTGATGGCTAAGATTCATCTGAGGGGAGAGCTTATAGGAACACACATTTGCTCTGACTCCAAGGTTAGAGGGAATAATGACCAAATCCCAACACTAAGGTGCCTCGGCTTCCTTTTTTCTTAATGGCTGCTTACAGGAGTCCCTAAGAAAGGAGAAAGGGTCAACTGAAACTCAGAGGCAAATACATCACCATGGGCAGCAATACTGGCAATCTAATTGGGAAGCCCAAAGTGGATTCTTTTGGATTTGAACAGGTGTCTTCACTCGAGCAAGGAGAAGGGAGAGCTGGTAACAGGAGTAAGCAGTTAACTCCACGGAGGGCCAGGCTTTGCTTAAGCAACAGGTTAGGATTTTTGATCGAAGAACAGAGTTCTAGAGTCAGAAGAGAACAGAAGTCTAGAGTTCTGCTAACAGCCTAACAGGATTTGCTCTGAATACAAGAAGAGAGACCTAAATCTTTTGTTGGAGGGATCCAATTATTAACACAAACCAGAACTGGGTAAGCAAGACGAAGGCTCAGAGGAGCCTTTATGATTCTCCTCATAAACAAATATAGCCAAGCATGAGGCTCTTTTCCAGCACTTGCTCAGATATATACTGAGGAACCGGATTCTATAGGCTGAGCCAACATGCTATTTTGCAGGCAAACAGTTATTTCCTCAAGGTGTACCTCTCCCGACCTCTGAAAGGAAGGTCACCTCCAGACTAGCTGTGAAGACGAAGGGCGGGAGAAGGTTGGATGTTGTGGGGGTGACTCAAGGTAGAAGGTTCTAGTGATCCTAGCTTCCTGGAGTCACTTTAATCTTGAGATTGAGGAGAACCAGCATAGGAAGAGAAAAAAGGGAAACAACCTGTGGGTGTTAAAAACTTTAGGAGGGGAAAAAGGGTCTTATTTCACTCAAAATTCCTAGGATCACTCTAGATGAACTCTTTGAACTAATCTGATCTCAGTGAAACCCTTAATAGCTCAGCCTTCAGGAAGGAAATTAAAATTTCAGGCTGCTCAAATTATTCATCTTTTTGGTTTATTTTGAGAAGCCAAATCTTGCAGTGTTCAGGGCTTATTCCTGGGTCTGTGCTCAGGGATCACTCCTGGTGGTGCCCGGCAAACCATATGTGGTGCCAGGGATCAAACAAGCATGTACAAGGCAAGTACCTTAATCTCTGTACAATCTCTCCAGCCTTTACTAAGTTTTTGTAATGCTGTAATTATGCGAGAAACTACTTTTAAAGCACAGAATCCTAAAGAGGAAGTGGCCAGAGTATAAAAAGAATTCCCAGCAGAGAAGTAACACCACAGGTTACATTGCAGACACTTTAGCTCTGTTTCATCAATAGCAATGCCCAAAGGGATGAATGTCTGAGAAGGTTCAAACTGGTCAGACTAGCCTTAGACACTTTCATCTGGATAGCGGACATTGCCATCTCATCTCTGTGAAGCTTACTCAGCTGAGATGCAAAAAGCCCATCCTAGGAGAGAAAAGCAATGTAATCTGCTTCTTTAAGGTCTTATGCTGGTTCAGAAAGCCCTATCGCATTCCAGATGCCTTGGAAAGCATGCCTTTCCTTGCTCAGTTTCAGAAGTAATTTTAGGCTGTAAGAGGAAGTTGCAGGAAGCAGTGTTTCTCAATAAGCCCTCCTTTTCAGTGAGTGTGTATTGGGAGGAAGCATTCTGGGAAAAGCATCCAGGTAATAAAGGAAATAAAACTCTAGGAAAGGGGCTGGACCACCCCCCCCCCCCCCAACTTCCTGGGCCGAGTTTCTTAGCTGGGTTAGAAAGATGGCCAAGCACATGTCTGACAAACACCAGAGCTGCTGAGGAAATAATGGAGGCACATTCTTTTTGGAACCACAAAATGTGAAAATGGACATATTCAAGGAGAAGAAATGAGTCCTGGGCAAGGAAGAGAAACTCCCAGGAAGCACAGGCACAGCTGAGTTCTTGGTATAGTAGTTTGCCAAAGCCTAACACTCCTTCCTTTCTAGCCATTTGATAAAGAAGGCAGTGACAGTGAGGGTCAAAGCCGAGAGCCCAGGCCATGCGAATTCTGTGGCTTCTAAAAGGCCTCACTGGGGAAAAGGCTAAAGCTGAGAAAGGCAGTTGCTAAAATTTATTCCAGAATACCCCAAGGAGTCTGGAATCTCTGGACTATCTCCTGAACCTGGACAAAAGATAAAACTGACCGCTGCTGAGGATTCAGTCAGTGAGGAATGATGTCACAGATGCACTGGGAATGGCTGCCCCATTTCTTTCCTTCTGCAGTCTGTTTTCTGTGGCTTTCCTGGCCCTTGGGGCAGTAACCACACTCTGGGCCAAGGCAATAGGAACAGGGTTCCGGATTTTAATAAATAAATAAACCTAACATATAGGATGAGCTCGGCGGATAGCTGATTGAAGAAGCAGCTTGCTGGGTTCTTTCCTGTATAGGAGTGGAGAAAAGACTTGGAGTTCTGTTCCTTAAAACTTCATCAGGCTTGAGTTTCAGGAACTTAATACCTGGAGAGACAAAGAAAGATGAGACCCTGATGTTATCAGTGAGAGGGGATTCTGGGACAGGAGGATCCTGCCTAAAGGAACAGCAGGAAGGCAGGGACCTTTCTGGAGTGTCTGGTAAGAATAGATCATTGGGTTGCTTTTGCACTTCAGTCAGAAAGACCTGTATGTGTTTCTGCCCCTCCTACCCCCACTGTTGAAAGGTAAAACGTTTTATCCCAAAGATGAAATGGAGACAGCCTAATTCAGGAAGGGGGGCACCCATGGGACTGCACCCATGTCCAGTGAAGGCCTGAAAGAACACTTTGGGGGGTGGCATTGAGTGGGGAGTGTGTCGATTCTTCTGAGTTCATGGAAAAATAATAATGGACACAAAGAACAATTCCAGCACAGGAACACGTCCCCACCCAAGGTTCCTTGTTTTTTGGGGGAGTCCTAGGCACCTGTAGTAATTAGGCTTGAAGGGCCCATTCTTGTTGAGTCCCAGGTACTTGGCCTGCTCATCTGTCAGCTCTGTCAGGTGGGCATCAAAGGTGGGCAGGTGTAGGCTGGCCACATACTCATCTGGAACAGACCACAGAAACTGGTGTAAGCATCCGACTCTTGGCTGGCTCTCCTCTTTAGAAAGAGGCTAAGTTTTCAAAAGCTGGATAGGAGCGAATTCTTGGAGGTGAATGAATAATGCTCAACTTTTGCTCACTGACTCTCATTTCCAAGAGATGGTTGTTTGCATTTCAAGCCCAGTGTTTTTCAAAGCCCACTACTTGCATTTCAAGCCCAGTACTCCCTTACTGGCTACCAGTCTTGAAACTTTCCTTCTCCCCATATAGACAGGGGGGAGAGATGAAAGATGAAAGAAGCTAAGACCTTAAGACCTAAAAGAAAGGCTGAGACAGACAAAACGGGGAACTAAAACAGTGGGATGCTTCACCAAGTGCTTTGTCTTAGACTCCGGACCCTCAGTCCCTCAGAAAAATGAACATCAGGGGCGATCAGAAAGGAACAATTAAGGATACTAAACTGCTCGCTTGGCTTTCAGCATACTTAGTTTTGTATGGTTTTTTTTTTACATTTTATTGCCTGAATATATTATATATTTCAGCACCCTTAGTTCTTATGGGGGTTCTTTTTACATTTTGTAACCAGAATATATTATATATATTATTTATTCAGAATTTTATGTCATTCTCTATGCATGTGTTTGGCTTCCCTATTTTCACTTAATTACATTTAATCAGAACAGGGGTTGTTTGTCCAATGTGTAGGTAAAAGAGAAAATATGTTCACTTTGAAGAGTTGCCTTGGGAGTTTATAAACACTGTATCAGTTCAAGTGCTTAAGGCAGGTTCTTTGAAAATTTAAGACAGTTTAACATTTCCCTTATATGAAACACCTACAAAAATAATCTCTTAACAGAAGCTATAGAGAATCTTTCTTCTGGCCTGAAATCGCAGTGCCAGGGTTAAAAGATACAGCGTGAGAAGTTTTGTTGGGTCTGAAAAGTTTGGGAGAAGCTATTTAGCAGCCTGGAACTAGAGTAAGTTAGTTGTCATCAGGTAGGTGGTGGTTTCATTTTCCAGGAAGATTTTTTCCTACTTTAGGGTTTTTACATATACTTTTTTTTTTTTTTTGCTTTTTACCCAGTGGTGCTCAGGTGGTACTCCTGGCTCTGCACTCAGGAATTACTCCTGGCAGTGCTCGGGGGACCATATGGAACGCTGGGGATCGAACCCGGGTGAGACATGTGTAAGGCAAACGCCCTACCCGTTGTACTACAGCTCCAGCCCCTCAGATATACTTTTAAGATACTCTTAAGAGAGAGAATATATAAAAGTAACAGTCATGTAATCCAAATTATAGCTATGCACTATGGTTTCAGTAGGGTAATCCATGTGGAAAATGTGATGTCAAGTGGGAGAACTACGAATGTAGCTTTTACCTAACAAAATCACAGTAGCTTCCTCTCCCACACCTTCCCCATCTGTAAGAGATGTCATTCCCCAAACTTCATGTACTCTGATCTGGAGCTATGGGAATGGAAGATTACTACATACTTACCCATTTTTTTGGGCAGCAGGTAGACATCCTGCTTATAGCGACCCTCTGGAGCATTGTAAAGTTCTATCAAGGCGAGAGCCTAAAAAAGCGGAGAGACAGATACTGATGTGCCATTCACAGCCACCTACCCTTGGCCCAGGGAATCCCAGAAGACCAGACCCCTCTGTGGCCAGGGCTTCTCCAGTCTGGAAACCTTACCTGAGTAGTAGCGGTGATTGAGAGCACAAAGGTAGGCACAGTGGAGCAGCTTAGGTTTAGCAGACGGCCCTGGGGAGCAAGGGTTAGGAAATGAGTGGGTTAGGACAACGTCTGAGACCTCTGGGGAATAAAGACAGAGTGTAAATGTACTTTTCCAACTCTGTGTTCCAAACAACATTACTGGAAAACAAGCAGGAGTGCAATCAACCAATGAACTGACTGGCATTTCAGCAAAACCACAATAGCTGGAAAATTTGAAGAAGACAAAGAGATACAGGATGAAGAGATCATCTCTGGAAGAGACAGCCACATGATACTGTCTTATGCAAAGACATATAACAGAAAGAAAGAAAGGGTCAATTTCGTTCTTCATTATTTTGGCTTTTTTGGGCCACACCCGCAATACTCAGGAGTTACTCCTGGTTTTGCACTCAGGAATCCCTCCTGGCAGTGCTTAGGGAACCATATGGGATGCTGGGGATTGAACCTGGGTCAGCATCTTGCAAAGAAAAAGCCCACCCCGCTGTGCTATGGCTCCAGCCCAGAAAGGGTCAATTTCTCTTGAGTTATCCACTAGCTACAGCAGCCTGTCCTCCTTTAAAGGGACTGGCATTCCTTTGCAAGGCCTTCCTCACATGATCTGGTTAAATCCAGGAGCAATCTCTCCAGGTTGGGAGGAGAGATATTGCAGTATTCAGGAAGCTATGATGTTTTTCTCTTGGCTGGTTCTCACAAATTCAAGGGCAGTCTTGTATCTCAAGGGCATGGTTCCAAAAGTACAAGAATTATAAAATAGGAAAAGACTAGAAGACTAGCTCCAGTGCCTTCCCTTGGTATTTGTTCCCTACAAAGCATAGCCACTTCTTTTTTTCCCTTTTTTTTAAAAAAAAAACTCAATGATAATAGTAAAAAAATTAGTCAAGGTGCTGGCTTTTGTCACCATAACTGGATGAGATCTCCTAAAATAAGTCAGGCTCAAGTCCAAGTAGTTAACAGACATTTAACAATTGCCTATCTGCTCCTCATGCATGCTCCTTTTGTGTAAAAAATAATGAAGTCCTTCTCCAAATACATTAATAAATATTTGAGAAGAGGTGAGTAAAGGCGCGGAAAGGTGAAGAGAACAGTGAAAATATTCAAATGTAAATCTTAAGAGTTGTAGATGAAGACTGTATATCTGCTACATAATTTTGTACTCTGTATAGTACTGCAGCACTGTTCTCCCATTGTTCATCGATTTGCTCTAGTGGGCACCAGTAACGTCTCACAACAAATTGTGAGACTTGTTATTGTTTTTGGCATATCAAATACACCAAGGGTAGCTTGCCAGGTTCTGCTGTGCGGGCAAGATACTCTTGGTAACGTGCCGGGCTCTCCGAGAGGGGCAGAGGAATCGAACCCAGGTCGGCCGTGCGTAAGGCAAACGCCCTACCCACTGTGCTATCACTCCAGCCCTTGTATTTTGTATAATTAAATTAATTTTTTGGTTTCGGGGCCGTACCCAGCAGTGCTCAGGGCATACACCTAGCTCTGTGCTCAGGGATCACTCCTGGGGGAACATAGATGGGTTCCAGAGATTTGAACTGGTATGGCTGCATGCAAAGCAAACTTTTCACCCCCTTTCCTATTTCTCTGGATCCTGTATTCTTTTTTATTAAAGTGTCTGAAAAGGAGGGGGTGAGAGAGATAGTACAGTGGGTAAAGCATTTGCCTTGCATAGAGGTGATGTAGTTTCAATCCCTGGCACTACATATAATTCCGTATGCACTGTCAGAAGTGACCCCTGAGCACAGAGCCAGAAATAAGTCTTGAGCACAGTGAATTTGGCTCCAAATCTGCACTTCCCCCACCTAAAACAACAAAAAAGGTTTGTTTGAAGTAGAAGAAATCAGGACAGGTAAACTATTACACAACCAATATGTAGCTGGGTACATACTACACATCTGGCTAAATTTAGGGAAATAGACATGCAAAAACAGGGACTCTATCAAGTCCCAGTTCTTGAAGAGACTTCTGACAGTCTTCACCATACATACCAGGAACATCTACTTTGCGCTTCCTGATTATATCAACCCACAAATGACATTATCTCTTTGTAAGCATCACTCAAGAAACACTGGCTCTATCCATTATTTCTTTCCAGAGCAAGAGTCATTATTTGACTCAACCTGCACAGACAGTGACATGGAGAGACAGGATAATTGGGAGAAAGTGGGAAGCCAAGAGAGGTTCTTAATTGCTGAATGAAAAGACTGTGCATAATTAGAGGTAAAAGCTGTTGGCAAAGAAGTTAAACTCCTTAAGAAGGAGCTGCAAGTATGAGCAGGAGTGGACCTGAGGATGGAAACGAGTCCTGTCAGGGTGAGGAGTCTCTTACCTCTGCCAGCAATACTATCCTTTTGCCATCGGGCCATATTACATGGTCAACTTGGGATCGGACTCGCTCCCAGGTCAGCTCGGGGGTCCGCAGACTCGCCTGGAACACAGACAGCAAGTACATCATCAGTCATGCTTAGTCCCACCGTGAGGAAAGAGAAATGATGAAGGGAACCATTCAGTAGCAAGTTGAGAGGAGCAACCGACATGCCACATGGAGGCCACCCGTTCTGGGTGGGTTAGAACTGTTCCACTTCAGGGAATTTATTGTTAGTCTGTTTTGCTTTGTTTTGTTTTGGGGCCAAGCATGGTGTCTCTCTGCTCTGCACTGTTCCCGGTGATGCGGGGCAACTTGCATGTAGCACATGTGCTCGGCCTGTTGTGCTTCACTCTGGCCCCCTTTCAGGAAGTTTAATCATCGGCCCAGCCAGGGGTGGATTACTCAGGTTGTCACTCCACTACAGACACTGCACATCCCTGCTCAGCACAGTAAAAGGGGCTATGAGAAATACGGAAGCAATGAAGTTTCTGCCTTCAAAAAAGACCCATACTTTAGTTGAGGACCCAAAAGAATAAGCATGGGAGGTGGGGGAGAAAGTCTTTAAAACACTTATAAAGCAGCATGCAAACAAGAACAAAGTAATACAGTGCGCACTGAGTCTGTAGGAGCTGCAAGAGACACAGAAAAGGAGGCAGAGAGCTGAGTGGCATGAAGTGAGTGGGCTCCAGACTCACTCATACAAAGTCCGCCACCTTGAGCCTCAAGTCTACTCTCCTGTTCTTAAAAAGGCTCCTTTTTCTCAGTAACAGTTACAGAAGCTTTGCAAAAGTGAGGCAGCCTTTAGAAAAATGCCCCAACTCTCCAAACTCTGCAATACTGACATCCCAGAAGGAGCACACCAGATTGGGTGGGAATGTGACATAGAAGCCAACTAAGCTCGACTAACAAAAGCATTAACACAGAAGGCTTAACCAGCAACAGCAGCTTAGTCAACCCTCAACAGGGACTTAATGTCCCCTGAGTGAGATGGAACTATTTTCACAGATTTTCTTTTACTGAAGTTTTTTTTAAATCATTTCATTGGCTATTTAGAGGTAACAAGTAATATCAAATAAATTGCTGTGGGCCTGCTATGGGGGCAGGCTTGAGGGGTGGTTGGAAAAAGGGAGGCGATGGTGGAGGGAAGGAGACAGTCGTGGTGGGATTAGGGGTAAAAACTGGAATACTGAATGCCTGTAACAAATCATCATGAACAACTTTGTAAACCTCAGTGTTTAAACAAAGTGGGGGGAAAACGAGAAAAAAAATGCCTGATGGTGATGTTCTCATGGGCTCACACTCCTTTCATTTTGTATTGTGTATTAAGAAAACAAACGTTTATGAACAGCAGCAATCAGATGGTTTTCACAGGGTTAGACTTATGACCACAACTTTCTTTTTCCAGTGAACCACTCTTAAAATAGAATGAGATCCCAGATTCCAAAATGACATACTAGCTCAACAGGTAAGATGGAAAGTTGTGCTAAATAATAGTTTGAGACAAACACTATTATACAGTGATCATTTACAGAGTGCACACTGGATTTGAGGCATTCGAGTAAAGACAATAGTATAGACAAGATGATGACACCTCCCCCCTCCCTCCCAACAACAAATAAAGGGTCAGGATAGAGCTTAATGGGTTGGAGCACTTGCTTTGCATTCTGGAGACCTAGGTTTGATCCCTGAGTACTGTCAAGAGTGGTCCTCAAATCCCCAAATAGCCAAAGCAATCCTTAGAAAAAAGGGGATTGTGGGTGGGCATAACTTTCTCCAACTTCATACTGTATTATAGTACAGTAGTAATCATGGTACTGGAATAAAGTCAGGCCCGCAGATCAATGAAATAGAACTGAAAATTCAGAAACCGAAAGACCCTCAGATATATGGTCATTTAATTAAAAAGGAGTAAAATATATATATGAAATGGACCAAGGAAAGCCACTTTAACAAGTGGTGATGGGAAAACTGTTCAGCCATATGAAAAATAAAAATGAACCCAGACCTGATTCTAGCAGCATGCACAAAAGCCAAATCAAAGTGGATTACAGGCCTTGATATCAGATCTAAGTTCATAAGGTACACAGAGGAAAACATAGGCAGAACTCTCCATGACACTGAAGCTAAAGGCATCTTTGAGGAAACGTCACTAACCAAGCAAGTGGAAGCAAAGATAAACAAATGGGATTACATTAAACTGAAAACCAGGATACAAAGATAGCCCATAAACTAGGAGAAATTATTTGCCCACTACTCATATGACAAAGGGTTAATATTCAAGATATATAAGGTACTGTTATAACTACAAGAAAAAAATATCCAACCCATCATAAAATGGTGAAAAAGAGATGAATCTATATTCCCTCAAAGAAGGAATACAACTGGCCAAAGGCCCATGAAATAGTGCTCTTTATCACTGTCAGGGAAATGCAAATCAAACTATGAGATATTATCTCATACCACAGAGACTGGTACTCCCAGTGTAGAGAACATAAAGCACCACAACCACCAGTGTTGGTGTGGATATGGAATAAAGTGAGCCTAACTCACGGCTGGTAGGAATGTCAACTAGTCTAGCTTTTTTGGAAGACAATATGGACATTTCTCAAACAACTTGGAATTGAGCTTTCACATGACCCAGACATTTCCCTTCTGGGAATATACTTTGAATGCACACAAACATAGTGCAGAAAAGACATCTGCACTCCTATGTTCATTACAGCACTATACACAATATGCAAAATCTGGAAACAACCCAAGCAACTGAAAACAGATGAGTGGATAAAGAAACTATAGTACATATATACACAATGGAATACTACTCTGCCATAAGAAAAGATGAAGTCATGAAATCTGCTGCTACGCGGATGGATCTGGAGTGTATCATGCTGAGTGAAATGGGCCAGAAGGAGAGGGACAGACATGGAACATTGTACGCCTGAAATTCAATCATATATATCCTTATCATATATATCCTTATAAGGAGGGAGGGAGGGAAGGAAGGGCAGAAAGGAAGGAAGGAAATAAATTCCTAGTAAGTGTAACTTAGTGGAGATGAGTATGAGTATGATGCAAGCAGGAGACCAGTGGGGTTGGCTATAAAAATATTAAAATTGTTAAATTATTTCAAGCAGTTCCAATAACCTAATAAAGTCTATCTGGCAGTCTGTAAAGTCCCTTGAAAAAAGGGTTTCCTCTGCTGAGCAATTTTATAAACTTTTCTCTTAGACCACAATCAATTGTCTTTACTGTGAACTTATACTCACCAAGCAATCTATAAAAAAAAAAAGATACCCTATGCAGACTGCCTTTTCAAACTAGATATATATCCCACTGCAAATGAACCAGTTATTACACATGCTTATATAATTAGTTATTGTATGATTCTGGACAGATTCTGAATGTAGATCATTTTTTAAGGAGCAACAACTGTGGTTCTAGTCCTGCAAAGGAGTAAAAAAATAGCAAGTTCCAGGCAGTAATTCTTTGGCTAGCAAAGTGTACTTAAATCATGGGTCTCTAAAGGTCTGATCCCGTGAACTGTGATGCTTACACTCACACAGGCTTCCATCTGATACATACAGGTAAGCAAGTCTTCTGTCTAGGCAGAAGATGAAGCTGAATTAAAATGGTCTACAGAGGGAGATGTTCAGAGGGCTTTCAGAGGGACGGTCCACGGACGACAATGAGAGTGGTTACTCAACAATATCTGCAAATAGTTGGTGTAGGCTCCGCTCTGCAGTCAGGGGGATCCATTTAAAATGAATACTGTCCCTGGGGCCTGGGATGGCTTGGGATACAACACCTCCTTGCAGGCAGGAAACTGAGAATTTGATCCCCGGCCCCAGCCTTCATGTTAAGTGTGATCCCAGCAGCACTGCTGTTTGTGATTTCTCTGTGCCAAAACAAAAAGTGCTTTACCATGTGTGTGAGTACTGCAAAGGAAACATGGAAATACCCTAACTGAAGTGTGTGTGCACCACAACCAGTGGTGCAGTCCTGGGTCACAAAAAAATAACAAAGGGAAGGGAAGTGGTGGGGTAGGGGGAAAAGATAAAGGTCACACTACTTTTGGTTTGTTTCTGGGTCACACTGGACGCGAGGTTACTCCTGGCTCTGCACTCATGAATCACTTCTGGCAGTGCTTGGGAGATCATACAGGATGCTGAAGATCAAGACTGGCTGCATGCAAGACAAGTGCCCTGCCCTCTGCACTATGCAGCTCCAATGTTCCACTTGTAAAACGGAAGTCAGGTTGCTATAGTCCTGCCAAGTTCTCTCGGAATAGAACTAGTTCTTACAATATCCTTGGGCTGGAGCGATAGCACAGTGGATAGGGCATTTTGCCTTGCATGTGGACAACCCGAATTTGATTCCTCTGCCCCTCTTGGAGAGCCCGGCAAGCTACCGAGAGTATCTTGCCTGCATGGCCAAGCCTGGCAAGCTCCTCATGGTATTTTGGTATTCAATATGCCAAAAACAGTAACAACAAGTCTCACAATTTGTTCTGAGGCGTTACTGACGCCCGCTCAAGCAAATCGATGAACAACGGGAGGACAGTGCTATAGTGCTACAATATCCTTGGAGTTCCCATGAAATCTGGCCATAACCTCTCCAACCTCATTTTTTTTTTATGTAGGAGTATTGCTATTTATTCAGCCATTGATTAGACTGACTGAATTGGGCATGAACTCCACTCCAGCCTCATCTTCAGTCTCCCCTCCTTCTCTCAGCCACGCTGGGTGGCGTCACAGCAAACCAACAAACAGACTTGGCCCATGCCTGCCTTTGCTCTGGCCACTCCTTCTAATGCTCTGCATTTAAACATTCACATAGAAAACCTCCTAAGCCTACACAAACATCACCTTCTTTTGTTGTTGTTGTTTAGTTGTTGTTTGTTTTATGGCCACACCGGCAGTGCTCAGGGCTTATTCCTGGCTCTGTGCTAAGGGTATCACTCCTGATGGCCTCGGTGGACCAAACGTGGTGGCAGGGATTGAACTTGGGTCAGTTGGTGCAAGGCAAGTGTCTTACCTGCTGTGCTATCTCTCCAGATACACATTACCTTCTTAATGAAATAAGATATAAGAAATAAACTTAAGATATAAGATATAAGACTCCTGTATTTAAAATTACATTCTAGAACCCCTGATTTGCCTTCCCAGAATCTTTCAGTCCCCCTCCCTGTGCTTTCACCTTCTAACATACTGTAACTATATATATATATATTTATGCTTTTTGGGTCACACCCAACGATGCACAGGAGTTACTCCTGGTTCATGCACTCAGGAATTACTTCTGGTGGTGCTCGGGGGACCATATGGGATACTGGGAATCGAACCTAGGTTGGCTGTGTGCAAGGCAAATGCCCTACCCACTGTGCTATTGCTCCAGCCCCACATACTGTAACTCTTACTTACTGTTTTTGTCTTTCTTCTCACTAAAACGACTCTTTTCCTATTTTGTTCACTGTTTTCAAGCAACTTGAATAGCACATGGCATACATCAATCACACAACAAATATTTGTGACTGAAGGCAAAATCTCCCAAGAGATTTATTTATGTCTGGGCTGCCTTCAGAGGAGAGCTTATGATTACAATTTGTAGCTAATCTAAAAATTGCAAGGTAATTCTAGCACAATATGCCAATAAGCAAAACAAATCAACTGAACTGAAGTTAAAAAAAACAACAATCACCATAACCTGTACTTTAGATTGCAAATTAATTTTTGATATTTGTTTTGGGGCCACCACGGGCTGACTCAGCCTTACTTCTAGGTCTGTGATTAGGAATTACTCCTGGGGGCTCAGAGGACCACACGGGATGCTGGGGATTGAACCCAGGTTGGCTGCGTGCATGCAAGGCAATTGCCCTATCCACTGTACCACCTCTCCAAACCCCTAAATTGATTTTTAAACAATGCCTATGAGTATCAAAGAGACAGCTCCAGGATTAGAATGCATGCCTTTGCAGGTGCTTGGTACTGAGTTTGATCAGAACCTCATGGATGCCCGAGCTAAACTGAGTACAGTACTGGTGACTCTAAAGCACCACCAGGTGTGGCCTACGGATTGCTGGGGTGGTTCAAAAATAGCAAAAGTAAAAGAAAAAACCCCCCACAATGTATACAACTGAACAATGTGCCCAACTTCTTAGTTTCTCAACTGAAAAATCAAGAAGAACAATGCTACGTGGGGTAATCATGATGAAAAAAAATGCACTGGAATAATCTTTTTATTTAGTCATACCCGGCAATGCTCAGAGGTTGGTACCTCTGGCTCTGCACTCAGGAATCACTCCTGGTGATGCTTGGGGGACCATATAGGTGCAGGGGAATGAACCTGGGTCAGTCACATGCATATGCCCTACCCATTGTACTATCAATTTGGCCACGGGAATGACTTTTACTTTAGGGCTTCTTGAAGATTTATACGGAAATAGTAATTCTTTCCCTTCCTTTACTCAATATTTCTTTGTAGCAAGGTGTGTATGACCACTTACTTTTAGATTTTTTCCCATCTGGGGACTCTATAAGTAGATTAATCCAGAAGACAATCATATGCTACATAGTTCAGAAACATAGTAAGTGTGTGCATTAGTAAAGGGGCAGCGTGGTACCTTAGTGAAATGTAGCAGACAGAATCAGCTAGAGGCCACAGTGGTAGTACAGAGCGTAGGGCATTTGCCTTGCATGCGGCTGACCCAGTCTGATCCCTGGCATCACTTATGGTCCCCTGAGGCCAACCAGTGATCCCTGAGCCCAGGGCGAGGAGTATATACTAAGCACCACAGGTATGATCCCATAAAAAACAAAACAAAAAAAATAAACTTAAATTATTCATTGCAAGCAAAATACCATAGTAAGACAGAGTAATAGTCATACCACTTACAAATTTCAAGGAAAGAAACAGACTTGGGTAGGTTGTTTTTGCCATTATTTTTGGTAACAGAGGAACAGAGCACAGAGTTGAAAAAAAAAAACCTTCTAAAATAGATATTATAGGGCTGGAGAGATAATACAGTGTATAGATACTTGCCTTACATTGTAGCCAACCTGGGTTCTATCCCCAGAATTCCATATGGTTCCCTAATCCCTCCAGGAGGATTCCTAAGTGCAAAGTCGGGGTAACCCTTGACTACCACCTGGAGTGGCCCAACAGCCCCTTTCCTCCCAAAATAATAAAATAAATTAGATATTATCCAACAGGCCCTCAATAGATCAACTGATTCTTACCTGGAAATGATGAAAGCAGAGATGAAAGCATGTTTGCCTGAGGCATTTACCCAGAGAGAAATACAGTTGTGTCATAAAATACCAAGAACGGGCCAGATCAATAGTATAGTAGGTAGTATAGTAGGTAGCTTGCCTTGCATGGGGTCAACCGGGGTTCAGTCCTACATGGGCTCCAGAGTCCACCAGGAGTGATCTGAGCGCACAGCCAGGTATAAGCCCTGAGCACTGCCGGGTGTGACCCCCAAATAAAGAAACAACCGAACAACAACAAGGAAAAGTCACGAAAAATTAAAACCAGAGTGAAAGTCATACTGAGAGGTACTCTGGTAAGTCTGAAAAGAATAATATTCCCATTAGTTTGGGAATTTACACATATTATTTTGGACTGGAAAATTCTATGGCGAATATAAACAATTAGGGAACCAAGTTTTCAGGTCTGAGAAACATAGCTACTAGACTGTGACACAAATACACCCAATTACAAAACTTTGTGAAGTAAGTTAAAGAGTGAGCGAAGGTTCAATCAAAGTATGTAAGAAAAGAAAAGCCACCATACTTAACAATCTTCAAACTATATTTGAATCGCAGCCCATAAATTTCTCTCCCTTGACTTATCCCTTGAACTTACCTATTCATCTCACCTTTCTGATAAAACTCAAAACAATAGAATATTTACTTCTACAACTAGCTCACATTTAGAATCATTTTTGTAGTTTTGAATTTACCTCGGTCTTAATCCTAAACATAAAGATAAAACTGCTTTTTTTTTTCTTTTTCTTTTCAGTTTCGGGCCACGCACAGCAATGTTCTGGGCTCATTCCTGGCTTTGTACTCAGGTGGTGCTAGGGGACCATTTTGGATGCCGGGGATTGAACCCGGATCGTTCGTGTGCAAGGCAAGTGCTCTACTCGCTGTACTATCTCTCAGGCCCCATAATAAAACAACCCACAGCATAAGTCGGTGTCAAAGTTTGTGTGGAAGAAAACTATCATTTAAAGGAGTTGAGGGACTGTAAGTGGAGCACTTCTGGGGTGGCCCAGGGAGACCCCCGGAGTAGCATCATACCCCTGGCCCCTTGCATTGAACCACTGGCCAAGTAGGCAGAGAATCACAGATGGGGGCCTAGGCTTTCTGAGCACTAGGACCCCATAGGTGGAGACACCCCTTCCTTCCCTGCCCTCCAGCAACAACAAAAAAATGATTAATTGAAACAAAAAAGGGATTGAGTGTCCATAAGCACAACCATAAGGCTTGTAAACAAATGGACTGTGGAAAGTTTTGCCAGACTGTCATGATTTGGATGGCTGGTGGTTCTGGGATCACTCCTGGTGGGGCTCGGGGGACCATATGGGATCCTGGGGACGGAACTCAGGTTGGCTGTGTGCAAGGCAAGCATTCTACTCGCTGTACTATTGTTCCAGCCCTATTCTATTCTTTTCTAGTCTGTTTTTAGGAGAGGACAGAAAAGAAAAATAAGTACCAAATGATGAAATGATGAATCACTTGATCTTACCACATCAATTTCTGTGTTGGAATGCCCCATGTTACAAACGATGCAACTATTCTTCATCCGGTCCAAGTGCTCTCTGGTTACCACATTCTTGTTACCTTAACAAGAGGAGAGTTAGTCACATGAAAAGGAATGATGTGGGACCCCACACCTGACACCATATGTAAAATTTAACTCAAAACGGGTCAAAGATGTAAGTCTTTGTGAACTTAGGCAATGATTCTTAGGTATAACACTTACAAGTATAAACAACTGAAGAATAAAATGAACTGAGTTATGTCAATTTTTTTTTTTCTTTTTGGGTCACACCTGATGATGCACAGAAGTTACTTCTGGATTATACACTCAGGAATATTCCTGGAGGTGCTCAGGGGACCATATGGGATGCTGGGAATCGAACCTGGGTTGGCCGTGCGCAAGGCAAACACCCTACCTGCTGTACTATCACTCCAGCCCCGCAACATCAAAATTAAAAAAAAAATTGTGCAACAAATACCACCTCCAAGAAAGTAAAATGACAAGCACAGAATAGAACAAAATATTTGCAAATCAAGTATCTGACAGAGAACTTGTATCCAGAATTTCTAAAGAACTCTTACAATTCAATAACAGAGACCAAAGAACCCAAGTTAAAAATGAGCAAAGGATCTGAATAGACATTTCTCATAAGAACATGAGCAAATGAAGATGTGCTAATGTGCACAAGAAAAGATGCTCGATATCATTAGTCATCATGGAAATGCAAATCAAGCCACAATGAGATACCACTTCACACCTACTAGGATGACTATCATAATAATAAAAAAAGACAGACAATAAGTGCTGGCAAGAATGTGAAGACATTGGGGGCTGGAGAGAGAGTATAGAGGGTGAGGCCTTGTATTCGGCCAACTGGGGACTGATCCCATATTGTGCCCCAAGTCCCTCAGGGAGTGATCCCAGAGCACAGAGTCAGAAGTCAGCCCTGAGCACTGCTGGGTGTAGCCCAAAAACAAACAAAAAGTTACCATATGAGGGGCTGAAGTGATAGCACAGTGGGTAGGCCGTTTGCCTTTCACATGGCCAACCCGCCAACATCCCATATAGATCCCGAGCACCGCCAGGAGTAATTCCTGAGTATATGAGCCAGGAGTAACCCCTGTGCAACAATGGGTGTGACCCAAAAAGAAAAAGTTCTATGATTCAGTAATTCCACTTGAAGGAATATACCCAAGAGATAATTCAAGTGTCCATCAACTGATGAAGGAATAAAATGTGGTATATCCTTAATATGCATATTATCCAGAATAGTAATAAAAAATAAAATACGGACACATGCTACAATATAAATAAATCTTTAAAACATTATGCAAACTGGGTTTTTTTTCCGGCCACATCTGGCTCTTCTCGGGGATTACTCCCAGCTTGCAGTAAGGAATTACTCCTGGCTGTGCTAGGGGACCATATGAGGTTCCAGGAATTGAACCCAAGCTGGCCGCATTCAAAGCAAGCATCCTACACACTGTATTATGACTCTAACCCCCATTATGCAAATTTTTATTAAGCCGGCCACAAAAGATGATATGCTATTATGATTCCATTTATATGAAATGTCTACAATAGGAAAATATATACAGAGGAATTAATGGTTGCCAAGGGCTAGGGAAAAGGTGGAGGACAAAATGAGGAGTGGCTATTAACAGTATGTTTTCTTTTCTAGGATGACGGAAATGTTCTAAAATTAGAGGCGTTGCACAACTTTACTAAACCACTACAGTGGACAATTTTAAAAGGGTGGGTTTTATGGCATGAGAGTTATACCTCAATGAGAAATTTAGTTTGTATTAATGGTCGTATAACCTTGTGAATCTGCAGGAAAATATTGTATTGTAAGCTCAAAATAGGCAAAATAAGAGGTTGGAGATACAGTACATGGTTTAAGGCGCATGTCTTCTTGCATTCTGCCAACCAATGGCGCCATAAGGTCCCCTAAGCACCTTCATGGATCACTCTTAGGAGCAGAGGCCCTGAGCACCAAAGGGTGTGCTTCAAACACAAAAACAAAAGGATAAAATGTATGACATGTGTATTACATCTCCATAAAGCTATTAAAACCAAAAACTGAAGGGATTGATGTGAAGCAAGAATAGTTTCTTATGGTCCCTCTTTTCTGCCCCCAGTTTTCCCTGAGGCTACAAATATATTTTTATTTTTAAATATTCATATTTTGGCTTCTAAAATAAAATTATGAAAGAAAACTAATGGTTTAGTGCATTATGGTTCTAACATTATGATTACGTATCTCAGTCCAAGCTAAGTAACTTTTTCTTCGTATTTTTATTAAAAATCAAAATTGGTTGTGGGGGGACAGAGCAATTGTACACCAGGGAGGGCTTTTGCCTTGCATGCTGCCAACCTGGGTTTGATCCCTGGCATCCAATATGGTCCCCTGAGCACCATCAGGAGTAATGAGTAACGCCTGAGTGCAGAGTCAGGAATAACCCCTGAGCATCACCAGATGTGACACAGAGCCCCCCCCCCCCCCAAAAAAAAGGATGTGTGGGGTCGAGGGTTTGAGAGATAGTACAGAGGTAAAGTTCTTGCCTAGCATGTGGCAAACTGGTTTGATTCCTGGTGGCCCCAAAACTAAAATAAAAAACCTTTTTTTAAAAAGGGCCAGAGAGATAGTACAGCAGGTAGGTGCTTGCCTTGCATGTGGCCTGGGTTCGATCCCTAGCACCCCATATGGTTCCTTGAGCTCTACCAGGAGTAATTCCTGAGGGCAGAGTCAGAAGTAAATCCTGAGCACTGCTGTGTATGGTTGCCCCTCTCCCCTGTCAAATATGACAAGAGGTTAAAGTTCTAGGGGCTGGAGCGATAGCATAGCAGGTAGGGCATTTGCCTTGCATGCGGCTGACCTGAGTTCGATTCCCAGCATCCCATATGGTCCCCTTAGCACTGCCAGGAGTAATTCCTGAGTGCTAGAGCCAGGAGTAACCCCTGTGCATTGCCGGGTGTGACCCAAAAAGAAAAAAAAAAGTTCTAGCCTTGCAGCTGAGACAATGGTTGAAATCCCCACACCACACATGGCCTTTCAAGTATCACTAGACATGACCACTGAGCACTGCCGAGTGGCCCCAAAATAACAACAATAAAAACCCAAAATCGACCTTTTTGAAAATGAGCACAGCTACCTTTCCCTCTTTCTCTAACGGTGTTTTCTCTAGACTTGCTTTAATCATAGTATATATCTCTATGTGTTTGTGTGTGTGTGAGTGCATGTGCATTCATGTGTATGTATTACACATATCTAGAGATAGATATAAAACTTTAAAGGTAAAAAAATAAGAATTGAATATATTTCTTTTTGGAGGAGGGGTTGGGCCACTCTCAACAGTGCTCAGGGTTACTCCTGGCAATTCTTGGGGGGGCTGTATGAAGTGCTGGGAAAGGAATTGGGGATGGCCACATGCAAGAATATACAACAAACTTAAGAGTAGACTTTCCAAATCATCTCTAGCCTTCCTTAGATACCTGAGGATAAATGGATATACAGAAAGGTTAAAAGTGACAGCGAGGACGACAGAGACAGCTCAAAGGATTGGATTTCATGCTTTGTATGCTAGCACTTGGGTTTCCTTCCTGGCAACACATGGGCACCTTAAACAATGAGCAGGAGTAGGTCCTGAGCACCGTGGGAGTTGGCCCCAAATCGAGGAAAAAGGAAAAAGGATGGAAGGCTGGAGAGATAATACATGGGGTAAGGCACTTGCCCTGTATGTAGCCAACCTGGGTTCGATCCCTGGTATCACATATGGCCCCCAGAGCACTGCTAGGAGTGATTTCTGAGCACAGAGCCAGCAGTAAGCGCTGAACACAGCTGGGTGTGGCTCCAAAACAAAAACAAAACAACAAAAAAGAGATGAAGAGAAACTTTCTTTTAGGGATGTTTTAGTGATGACTTAGTGATGTTTTCTGGTTGGAATATTAATGATATAGGAAAAATGTAAAAAAATCAGCTGCTTTTGTGGACATATATGATTTCTGACTTTCAGAGCTTGAATTTTCCAGAACACTTTCAGTCATTCTTCACTTGTCCCATGAAAGTGTTCTCAAGTGCCATCTCTCATTTCGTATGCCATAATCATACCTGTACAAGTAATAACAATGTCCACTTGTCGGATGACCTCATTTAATTTCACCAGTCGAAATCCATCCATGCTGAAGAAATAAAACATGATACATTAACCTTAGCAGGCAGCCGGGGACCATTTTGTCACAGAACTTCAAAAGTTTCTTTGGTAACTAGTCACTTCTCAATATAGCTGGACTATTCTCAGCAGTGAAAAAAAAAAAAAAGCATTTCCTCAGCTCATACAGTAGAAATAAAAGAAACCTGTGGCATCATTGGAGCATAATTCTTCCTGACAATAGGAAGCTGGGGGTTAACAATGAGCTTCTCCCACTGAGTTTTAAAATGTGCCATGAGACTGGAGCGAATAGGGTGCTTTCCTTGCTCATGGTCGACTGGGGTTCAATCCCTGAAACCACATACAGTCCCTGAGACAGCCCGGAGTGATGCTGAACGCCGCCAGAAGTAAGCTCTGAGCACTGCCAGGTAAGCTGCTCTCAACTCCCTAAAAAAGTGTAGTCACAGAGCTTATTATCCCACTGTGACTCTCACCCAAGATCATCAATATCTTCCTCAATGCAAAAGACTAAATTTCTGTACCCTTAAATTACATTAAACATTTTAAAGTTTAAAACTTGAAAATTACATTAAACTAAATTGCATTAAACTTTCTGCAACTGGAGAGAGAGGACAGTGGGTAGGGCATTTTTCTTTCTTGTGTCTGACCCAGGTTTAAGCCCTGGCATCCCATACAGTCCCCTGAGTTCTGCCAGGAGGAATTATTGAATGCAGAGTCAGAAGTCCTGAGTATCCCCTGGTGTGGCCCCTAAAACAAAAACAAAAAACAAAAACCCCAATACATAACTTGCTTCCAGAAAACTCTCGACCCTAATGCCACAACATTGTTTGCTGGGGTATCGCCTATTTTTCTGACTGCTCCTTTGAATAACAATGTTTAAATGTTCGATATGCCAGACACAGTAACAACAAAGTCTCCAATGGAGACGTTACTGGGCCCGCTCGAGCAAATCGACGATCAACGGGAGGGCCTTTACCTTTACCTTTACCTTAAATGTGGATACTCTGTATGGCTCTTTCTGTTGTTTTGTCACTTATTCATGCCCTCTTCTCCCCTAATCTCTAAAAATTACCCTTATAAACTTTATAAATGTATTTATAAATTTATTTATAAATCTTTTTAAAAAATGTGGGGGCATGGCAGTGGTCACACCTAGTGAAGCTGCCCAGTGATGCTGGGGGCTAGGGGACATGCTAGGGCTCAAACCCAAAGACTCATACATGCAAGACATGGGCTCACCTTAGCCACATCCCTGGACCCTGCACATCTATGGCCTGACTTTAGATTACCTTGAAGTTTTGGAGTCATGGATCAAACTATATTCTGGATAGCTATTCCTTAAAACTTATGTTTGATTTTTTGTTTGTTTTTGGCCACACCCAGCAGTGCTCAGGGATGACTCCTGAGCTTGAGGTAACCCATGGGGTACCCCATGGGGTACTGGGGAATAGAACCGGGTCTGCTGCGTGCAAGGCAAGTGCCCTGTCAGCTGTTCTGTCTCTCCAGTCCCAAACTTATGTTTGAAAATAAATTCAGTACCTTCTCCCTAGTGCTGGAGCGATAGCCCAGCGGTTAGGGCATTTGCCTTGCACCTGGCCGACCTGAGTTCGATTCCTCCACCCCACTTGGAGAGCCTGGCAAGCTACAGAGAGTCCCGCCAGCACGGGAGAGCCTGGCAAGCTACCCGTGACGTATTCAATATGCCAAAAACAGTAACAACAAGTCTCACAATGGAGATGTTACTGGTGCCCGCTCCAGCAAATCGATGAACAATGGGAGAATGGGAGAACAGTGCTACAGTGCTACCTTCTTCCTATATCCCTCTCTAACTCTAAGTAGTCTGTCTATATTTTCTACAAATTCCCCAATTGTATAAGCCCAATAAAGCAATTCCTCCCTCTCTTTGATTCCTTAAACTCTCTCTCTCTCTCACACACACACACAGTTGTGTTCAGGGGTTACTTCTGTCTCTGTGCTCAGAGATCACCACTGGAGGGGCTAATGGGACAATACGCGGTGTTGGGGATCAAACCGGGATTCTGTTGTGTACAAGGCAAGTGTCTTATTCACCATATCTCTCTGGCCTCTCCTTAAAATCTCGTCAATCTATCTCCTCTTCTCCATTCATGCTGACCTTCCTTATATTCAGATCTTATTAGAGCTTGCTTAGATTGCTAGAGCAGCTCCTTGTCCCAACTTATTTCCTCCAGGTTTCCATCTCTAATTCATTTTGCGAGTGATTTCTTTAAATGCAGTTTGAATTAAGTCGGTTCTATGCTTGAAATACTTCAGTGAGATTATACATTCTCAGAGTAACACTCAAATTCTCTTACTATGCAATATAATGTAATTATACAGATATACGATTCCTTCCAGTATTCCCACTCTCTTTTTTGTATTTACTTGTTTTGGGACTGGATCTGGCAGTGGTCAGGGCTTACTCCTGGCTCTGTGTTCGGGGATCACTCCTGGTGGACTTGGGGGACCATATGGGATATCAGGGATTGAACCCGGGTCAGCTGCATACAAGCAAGTGCCCTGCCGGTTGTACTATTGCTCCGGCCCCTACTGTAAAATCTTTATGCCATGTCTCATTCTATCCCAGGCAACTTCCTCTGTAGGATTAATGTAAACATTGGGTAAATTATTCAGTTTCTGATACTCAGACTCTGAAGTAGTTTCCAGGGGACCATGGTATGTCCATCTTGTTGGAGATAGCAAGAATAATAGCGACCATCTAGTGAGTATTTATTATAAGAGAACAATTCTGCACTTTATGCATATAGAAATTATATACTGTATAATTGTAGTAACTTTATCAAATATTCACAACTACCTACCGTTTATAGATGAGAAAGGAACTATTCCTTTTTAATACCTTTTACTTTTGAAACAATTTCAGGCTTAATAATGACAAAAATAATATAAACAATTGCTGACTCAGACCCAGCAATTTTCACCCTTACCCTGGATTTGCCTGATGCTGCCCCTGATTCTATTTCAGTTACACATTTTTTTGTGAGAAGTGGAACCAAAATGTTTTCTTTCTTTTTTAGTGTATCATAGCAGAAAGGATCTGGCATCAGTCTATTTCTTTTTTTGTGATCATTCTTTTCCAAGGGAGAAGGATTACTTATGGAGAAAGCACGGGCGTTGCATGTTTTCTGGTTCACGGTACCCTGTGACTATTTCCACAGGAATTCCGCGTTAGCTTCTCTGACAGTCTCTGTTCTCAGAGTCTGAGCTGAGCTCCCTCGTCTTTGAGACAGGAGCTTAGAGTTAATAGCAGCTCTATCTTGGGTTCCTCTTAGATAAAACCTGGCATTAACTAGGCTATTCGCTGGAGGCAGCTCCAAGCACGTTATCTAGAAAGGGGGTAGAGGGACAGCCAGTCTCCTCTGGCAGGCTTACCAGGCTTGCAGAGCACAGATGGGGTCAATCTCGGTGACATAGACGATGGAGCCCATGGCTTTCAGAGCAGCACAGCACCCCTTTCCCACCTAAAGAAGGGAATCATGGAAGGAAAATCATGAGAAAACAGCTTCTCAACTCTGATACCGTGCACCCCCAGGCCCCCAAGGAATTACACTGATTAGATTCATGTTTGGGTGGGGGGAGAAGCAAAACAAATACATGAAGGCAGTTCCAAAGCAAACTCCTAGCCCCTGCTTAGCATAAGCATGTGCAGAAGAACACCCACACCCCTGATTTATAATCAAAACATGAGCTAAAAGAACATCACAAACAGTGCTCCAGAACAGTCAGAAGAATCAACTTCATCAAAAATGGGCAAAAACGCTATGGGGAAAAAGACCACGTCAACCAAAGGTTCTCAAAAGTCACGCCGCCCCCCCCCCCCCACCACAAAAAGTGGTTCCTATATAAAGTGAATGTGCTCCTATGTTCAAACAAATGAAAACTCTAGTGTATGTCAGCAAGGGAAATTTTAAACACCTAATCCTCAAAAGGTTAACCCTTACCTCTCCGTAGCCACACACCACCACCTGCTTTCCACCAAACATCATGTCAGTTGTCCTTTTAAGTCTGAGGAGAAACACACACACAATATTCGAAAAAAATCTTTTCTTTTTCCTCTTTTGAATTTAGATAGGATCACATTGCTTATTTTCTTTCTTTTTAATTTCAAGTCTGGTTTCTCTCTTAGAGAAATTATTTAAGATAAATTAGAAAGGCTGAGCAAAATATGTATTTTTTTCATTCTTTCTGCTATCAAATCAGCTCCATCTCTGTGAGAAGTTTTTATTTTCTATTTTTCACCACCTGCTCCCCCTGCCTTGTCTTGGGAATGGAGCAAACTATAGAGGGAAGAATCTATAGTCTACGAATAAACTTTTAAATATAAATGTACTATGCATAAGAATCAAAGAATAAAAACAATACTTTTCTTTTTTTTTAAGGAAAAAATGAAGATCTGGCTTAATAGAAACATTCTTCTAGTTTACTGGAAGACATGGAAATGTTGAATTATAACTGATAAATGAATATGGCATTCAGTGGTACCAGCATGGGTAACAGGTCCCACATTATAAACAACATGGTGCTGAATAGCTTGGAAGCACAACTACAATGGTCCACAAGACTGAATTCCTGGGGCTGGTTCTTTCTCAAACATGTTTTAATTCTTTGTCTTGGATTTTCTAAGAAGCTAGAGGAAGGTTCTTACTGTTTTCAGAAATTCTTGGAAAAACCTGAAGGATCAGTTGCTGGTTTCTTTTGGGGTTCTTTCTGGGACTCACTGGCTAGGCAGAAGAATGTTTTTAACTCAGATAAGCTTATTCAAGGTGGGAGAGACAGCTCAAAGCTTTGAAGCACATGCTTTTTTGCATGCTAAAGCCCTGGGATGAGAAAGAAAATTCATACAAATATTTATAGGTCTCTTTTCCTCACTTATCTATTTATCATTCCCCAAGGACAACACACTTTTTTTTTAAAAAATGATTTGACAACTTCCCTCAACAGGAACTGGTTTAATTCCTTGAGCCCCAACAAAACTCAACAAATGTCACAAATGTCAATTAAGTGCAGATGCAATTAATATGGAGTAAAGACAAGATTGGCTGGGCTTCAAGTCTACTGCAGTCATGGCTTAGGAGAATGGTCCTAGAACAGTTAGCACAGCAGGGAAAACCAGTAGATCGTATTTCTCGATCTCCATTTCTTTGGCACCTTCACCTTTTCTGTCACTCTTCACAAACAAAGCAAGATGACTCTCTCTGGGTCACTACACAATACTGTGTGGAACAAAGGATAACGTCCATAGCACGGCCTCTCTGAGAATGACAAGCTGACCGACCTGGCTGCATTTCAGTTAGGCAGTAACTTCCTTGCAATCTTAGGAACTCTTATCTGCCCCAAGATTCTATTTTTTATTTTTGCGGGCCATACCTGGTGGTGCTCAGGGGACCACATGAAGTGCTGGGGACTGAATCTGGGTTAGCTGCGTGCAAAGCAAGCATCCACCAGCTGTACTAACCTCTGGCCCGAGATTCTATTTTCTTTTCTTAAAATTGGTCTTCCTGAGCAGTGTGCAGGATGCCTGGAATGCCCACAGATAGTTCTTTGTATGCTGGGAAGGGTTCACTGCAAGGGCCTGTGGATGCAGCACTGCTCAGGGAATCTACAAATTAATGAAAAGACTTCAGGGCTGGGGAGACAGATTATTGGGTAAGGCAATGCCTTGCATGCAGCTGACCTGGATTCGATCCCCAGCATCCCAAATGGTCCCTGGAACACCGCCAGGGTAATTTGAGTACAGAGCCAGGTGTAACCCCTGAGTGTGGCAAGGTGTGTTCCGCCCCCTCAAAAAAAGAAAAGAAGTGAAAAGACTTCAATCAAGGAAGGCCTTTAAGGGGCATGGGGTTAGGTTGTCTGGAGACATATATAAGTCACTTCAAGTTTGACTTTCCTCTAGTTCTTATAGGTCCCAGAAACTTCTGGAAGAGCTCCTGAAATATTCCCTCTATGATCTGAAAATTACAGCTGCGCTCCTTTGGGAAATTCTTATTCTTCCTCCCAAGAGGAACTTCCATCTGCAGATGTGCTCGACTGCTTTTGTGGCACCGTGGTCCCTGACGGGACAGCCGGGAGCCGGCAAGGGGAGTCCTAGCCAGGGTGCGGGGCAGCTGTTCAGAGCTCCAGGTCAATCAGAAATGCCTTCTGTAGGGGGGTTTTTGGCCTGAAGGCCTTCTTTTTATTGCAGCCTTCCCTGAAGAACACTCCTTTTTTTTTCTTTTCTTTGCTTGCTCTCAACTCTGGGAGGAAAAATCTGTCCGTGACTCAAGTGGAACTTTTTAAATTTACCATTTTTTCTATTTTAATTAATTTTTTAATTGAATCACCATGAGATACACAGTTACAAAGTTGCTCATGATTGAATTTCAGTCATACATTATTCCATCACCCATCTCTTCACCAGTGCACATTTCCCACCACCAATGTCCCAAGTTTCCTTTTCCTCAGCCTGCCTCTATGGCAGGTTCTCTCTCTCTCTCTCTCTCTCTCTCTCTCTCTCTCTCTCTCTCTCTCTCTCTCTCTTCCCCCCCCTCATTTATTTTTGTTTTGGGGTCACACCAGCAACGATTCTCAGGGGTTAATCCTTGCTCTGAGCTCTGGAATCACTCCTGGCAGCACTCAGGGAACTACATGGATGTCCAGGTTTGATCCTGGGTTGTCCGTGTGCAAGTCAAGAGCCTTACCCGCTGTACTATCTCTCCAGCTCCACCAAGTTATTAGCTGAAGGTACCAATAGGTTTCTGAAGAATAGCTGATGTTCTTCTATTTCTTTATTAACTTTAACTCATGTTCCACTGTTTACATCTTACTCTCACTTTTATATAGTTATGACATCAAAGAGTCTTTTATTTATAGGGTAAACTGTGCTCAGGAGAGTCATTCATTTTTATAAATTAGTTCAGGTACCTCAGATATCCTTTTTTTTTTTCATGGCGGGGGTAACACCTGGCTGTGCTCAGGGACTATATGTGGTACTAGGGATAGAACCTGGGTAGGCTGTGTGCAAGGTAAATGCCCTTCCAACTCTTATCTCCAGCCCCTCAAGGAATTCCCTACTGAACCCAACTTAGGCAACTTCTAGACTTACAGATTTTGGAATTTAAGAACCTAAAAGATACTTAGCTGTGTATGACTGAACATCTTAGTGAGTTAATACCCATATTACTATTGATTTTCCAGGCTCAAGGGTATTTAATAACACATGTTATCAATCAAAGTAAGAACGATAGATTGAGAATTCAAATGTCCAATCCCTTTGATAATATTATTGACTGAATAAGTAAATAATTAACAGTAGTTTAAATCTGAATTTTTTTTTCAAAATAAAAAGCTTCCCTTAAGATCTAACTCATTATCAGAACTTATTGTACAAAGTTCCAGAAAGAAGGAACAAGAACTAGCATTAGGACATATGACTAAGCTCATTAATTTTCACTCCATGAGGCTGTCATTATTACTGATGAAGAACAGAGACTTTAGAATAAGTCAAGGCTTTACAGTTAATAAATGATAGAGTCAACAATAGTTTAACCAAGGTCCTTCTGGCTTTAAAGCCTGTGGTGTCACAACTTCCTGGGTCCAGATTATGGCCCATTGGCCTTCATTCATTTTTTGTTAATCTATACATGAATGGGAACTAATTTCATATTGCAATACTCTAAAATCAATTTAAGTTTCTATCTGAAACTTAACAATTTCAAATAGAGAGTTCCTTAGTCATACAAGCAAAAATGTTTTGTTTTGTGTTTTCGTGTTACATATGGCAATGCTCAGGGCTTACTGCTGGAGGTGCTCAGGGGATACGATTCAGTGCTGGGGACTGAACCAGGGTCATACCAAGTACACGGCAAGCACTTTAGCCACTGTGCTATCTCTCTGGCCCCTTCTTAACAAAAATGAAGTGATATGTGAATACAAGTGTCAAGAGAGAAAGTAAATTTCTCACTTGCAGGTATGAAAAACTAGAAATGCCCCTGGAGATTGATTCTGTGAACCCCAAATTGCTGAATTATATGCAAGTATAAAAACCTAGAAATGCCTCTGGAAATTGATTCTGTGAACCCCAAATTGCTGAATTATATGACAGGGGCTGGAGAGATAGCACAATGAGTAAGGTGCACTTAGCTGACCCAGGTACCCCATATGGTTCCCTGAGCCCATCAGGAGTAATCCCTGAGCACAGAGGGAGGAGTAAGCTTTGAGCACCATTGGATATGGTCCGAGTTTCCGATTCCCCAGAAAGAAATTAAGACAGTTAGAACTGTTGGGGGTGGGGGGGCTGGAAAGATAGCACAGCAGGTAGGGCATTTGCCTTGCACACGGCCGACCCAGGTTCTATTCCCAGCATCCCATATGGTCCCCTGAGCACCGCCAGGAGTAACTCCTGAGTGCAGAGCCAGGAGTAACCCCTGTGCATTGCCAGGTGTGACCCCACCCCCCCAAAAAAAAGAACTGTTGGGGGGGGGGGAAGAACTTAGAACTGTTAAGAGGACCTAGAATAGAGATATCATAAAAGTTTCCCAAACTATCAAATACTTAGTTCCCCCCCCCCCAAAAAACAATGCTTTTATTTCTTCCTTTAAGGGAATTAAAGTAACTAAAATATTACCCTTGGAAGAGAGAACCACTGGTCTCATTCACAAATCAATCACAAATCATCCTGTTAATCATCTATTGCCTTGAGCAGGCCCCAGTAACGTCTCCTTCATCCTAGCCCTGAGATTATATTCAAGGCTCTTTAGGAGAATGAGACCCATCACTGTTACTGGTATTTGGCATATTGGGTACGCCACAGGGAGTTTGCCAGACTGCCCTGTGGGCAGGCTACATTCGGTAGCTGGCTGGTCTCATTGTTTCATAAAACAAAGAATGAAATAATATGAGGCACTTCATCTTTGGAATCAGACAAACCTGAGCTTGCGATGTCTAAACTCTTTGGAGGAGAAAAAAGCAAATAAAAATTGTGACTTTTTTTTGTTTTGTTTTTTTTTTGGTATTTTCTTGCCTTTAAGAGCTATTTTTTAAAAAAATTTTATTAGTGAAACACCATTAAGTACAGTAGTTGTGGACTTACAAGCTTTTGTGCTTGGGTTTCAGTTATACAATGATCGAGTACCCATTCCTCCAACCAGTGTCCATTGATACTTAGTTTTTTTAACTGAATGTCTCCAGTTACTGACTTTTGGGCTGTTAGGATCTCAAAGTAAGAACTCTGCCATCAATAGATAGGGGCTAGTCTGATTTCTTAATAGAACGGATTTGTGCAATAGTAGTAGTTCTGGGTTATGAAACATTGAGTATGATGTAGTGACAGATTCAGTGGTGCTACATAAAATTGTTTCCAGAAATAATCCAAACAAACAAACAAACAAAAAGGGAAGAACCTCAATTCAACAACTCAAATTCATTCAAAAGATGAAAAAACATTACCCATCAAGGATTGATTCACGGCAACAGTAGAGGTTATCAAACTTCTGCTTGGTTACTGAGTCATTGACGTTCATGGCAGGAACACACAACTTCCCAGCTTTGGAGAGTTGGTACAGTCTGAAGAAAGAGGAAATTAAGAACATAAAGACACTAGCTATTACAATCTGCCAATTTTACAAAAAATTATGGAAATATGCTTATTCAATAGTCTTGGGAGCATCTGACACAACTAGCTTTCACCTATTAGATGTATTTAGAGGTGAAGACCATCTTTCTAGAGTTTGTTCTAGAGTTTGTATACAGTGCAGAAATAAAGATCTTAGTCAAAAGGCGTGTGGGGAAAATCCTTGACCCATCTATAAATATCAATGATTAAAATATCAAATTTTGGGGCTGGGAGATAATATAGTGGTTAGGCTGAATGTCCAGTACGATCCAGATTTGATCCCTGGCACCTTATGGTGCCCCAGACATTATCAGATGCAGGCCTGGAGGCCTCTAGGCGCCCCTGAGTTGCCTGGTGAGCCCCAGCACTGCAGGGCCCAAGCAGTGCCCTCAGGAACTCTCACTGGGTTGGTTTCGCTGGTAGTTCTACCACCCACTCACACACATCCCAAATGCTAATGTAAAGTTTGGAGTCTTTGGGTGCAGCTCAGTAGGAGAGAATTTGCCTTACTATTCTGAGTAAGTCTGACACCCTGTTGTGATCTTTTTGATCCCTGGATTTGACGCTCAGCAAAACAACACACATGCAAGTGAGCAACAAGTAAAATTAAAAATTGCTATTTTAATCTAAAAATATAAAAAAAAAGCGGGGGGGAAGGATAGCCACCCTGGCAATGCTCAGGTCTCAATCCTGACTCTGCTTAGAGATCACTCCTGGAGGGCTTAGGGGCTGGAGAACAAACTTACGTCAAGTATGTGCTCTCTCTCTGTCCCCTCATAAAGTCTCAATTTTATCATCTCAATATGCATGCCTATAATTATATACACACACGTAAGTATATATGAGTTTCATCTGATTGGTCCAAAGTGAGAAACTGATCACTTTTTTTTGGTATTTGGTTTCTGGGCCACGCCTGGTGGTGTCCAGGGGACCATGTAGTATCTGGACCTGAACCAGGTTCTTATGCGTACAAAGAATGCTCTCAGCTCATTCAGCAGTCTCTCTGGATGCCAAAATGGGATTTGATTTAGCATGTACCCTTTTCTCAGAGCCTGAAGGTACTGTATAACCCACAGTCATTGTGTGTGATCAAAAAGATCACAACAGGGTGTCAAGAACGTGGCCCAGTGGCAGTGTACTTGCTTGCCAGACATAAGGGTTTGATTCTGGCACTAAAACAATCAGAAAACCAAACCGACAAACAAAAAGCTTCAAAAAGATCTTAACAGACTGATGTTGTGATAGTGGTTTATTCAGTTTACTTCTCTGAGCCATTTCTTTCATATGTTCAATTCGTTCTAGTTGAATAATAATACATAGAAATGATTCATTTTCCTGAGATGATAAGGATAAGGACATCTCTGTGCAAGGCTAAGCTACACAAAGACGCAGGTTTTTGCCTTTTGTCAATGCCAGATCCCTAGCACTGTTCCTGAGCAGTTCCTGGCGCATTGGAGAAGTGGAAAACACATCTGGAGAACAGAGGTATTTCCTCAAAAGGGGGTAATCAGTCATAGCAGCACTGGACCTAGATAACAGGAAAGTTGCATTTGATTCTTTACCTGTGATTCCACAGTCCAGAAATTCAGTGTGTGTGTGTGTGCGTGTGTGTGTGTGCGCACGCGCACGCGTGCTAACAGAAAAAAACAAGGCCATCTCCAAAGCAGGCTCCCTATTTTTGTTTTGTTCTTTTATTTTTAGGCCACACCTGGCTCCTGCTCAGGGGGCCATGTCGGGTGCTGGGGAACAAACCCAAGTCAGCCATGGGCAAGGTCTTACCTGTGGACTCCAGTCACGCTTTCTTCTACTATGCCTTTGATTTTCTTAAACATATTGGGGTATTTCTTATAAATCCAGTGAGTGAGATCCCCTCCATCATCCAAGATCTGCAATAATAAGCACAAATAACGATGTTTATTTTGCTGAAGGCTCAAGGCTTTCAGTGCTTCTCTGGGTCTTGGGTCCTAATTTCTAATAGCCCATTTACAGAAATTTAAATTTCCCATAGTTATGCAAAGTAATGTAAAACCAACATAAAAACCAAGCAATCATAAGGAAATAAAAACCAATAAAGGGTGGAAGGCCAGTTTTAATTCTCAACCTTCCCACATGACTACAATATCAAAAACCACAGCTGTGCAATGCACATCCTCATATGGACCAATAGCTTAAGTTGCTATCCAGACCAGTGTTGCTCAGTTCAGGGTCCCCAGGGTATTCCTGGGGGCCACAGTCCAGAAAAGGTTAAGAAACACTACTTTTGACAACTTTTTTTTTTTTTTAACTTTTTGGATCACACCCAGTGATGATCAGGGGTTATCAGGAATCACTTCTGGTTGTGCTTGGCGGACCTTATGTGATGCCGAGGACTGAACCCAGGTTGGCCGCATGCAAGCCAAATGCTCTGCCCACTGGACTATCATTGCTCTGGCCCCTAGACAACTAATTCTTGAAAGTATAATAGATATTTAGAAAACCTAAACTTGACACTGGTATTGTTCTACTGGTAAGACTTGAAATACATTCAGTCAGTCTAGGTTAAGTAAGTCTTCCCAGAACAATGGCTTATACAATGATTAGTTAATTTGCTGCTTCTCCCTAAGTACAGGCACACAACTACCCAAAATATCAGGGCGCACTGCATGGTTTTGCCTAGTGCAACCTCACACTCTCTATAAACCCAATTAAAAATAACCAGGAACTGAGTGCCGTGTAGGTGTGTGAGCATGCCTGGGAACAGCGCGTCACTATTTCAGGTTGGGATTCAAGACAAACGCAATGCTGTGCCCACTGGACTTTCCATCAGTGAGGCCAGTTCCTGAATTATAAATAAGCTGAAGAAAGCCCAGCCTAGACTGCTATTAGGCAGCGCCACCGGAGCCCCTGGCCGGGTGATTAGCAGGCTTGGCAGGACTTCCTGAAGGGTTACCCCATATTCCTGGAAAAGGACTGAGTTGTCCTTGACTAGGCAGGCCCACTTTTTCTGGACCACAAGTCACCAAAATGTCATCCTGTAATCAGGGTGCACAAACTTCACACCCCCCCAGCACCCTTCACCTCAATGTGTACTACCCGGTTTCTGTTTTGCCTTTGCTTCTGCTGTTGGTCTATTTTCTCTAACTCAGCTAAACCCTATTTGTCAAAGCAGGGGTCTCATTAAAACTGATACTCGCTCTCTACTAGAGGTCAGTGTTGCATTTTTCCCCAGTAGAAACCTTCTGAGTAGGTCCCTGGAGAAACAGAAAGGCTTCTCTGAATACCTTTCCCAGTACTGCAGCCTCTGCACCCCAGTCACGCAAAAAGGTCAGAGACAAAAAGACCGAGCAATTGGAATTGTGTTTGAAGCTTACTATTCTTGTCCACTTACATTATTTATTTGTTTGGGGCTACACCTGATGCTGCTTGGGGGCTGCTCCTAGCTCTGTGCTCCAGAGTTCCTCTCAACAGTACTTAGTGAAACGTGTGATGTCAGACACTGAATCCGAATCATGCAAAGCAAGCATACAACTAGCGCTTCGAGCTGTCTTCAACCCCACTTTTCCTTTTTATCTAGGTAGTTGTACTCCTTATATTTATTAAATGAATGTAATTTCACTATAGAAAATTCTTATGACTAGGGAATTTTCCTGAGGTTAGAAAATAAGAAAAATACTAGATCCTGACACAGTCCAAAGAGCGTTTTCTGGATAGAAGTGACAACTCAAGGGGTGGCTGTGTTTGTGGCTCTATAGTCTCTATAAGGGCATAATCTCATGTTCCCCCAATGTTCATGTTTTTATAAACCCCTAAACACTGTTATAAAACTATTATAAAAGTTTTTGTTATAAAACCACAACAGAACTGGTATTACCAAAAAGTGAGGAGTAGAGAAAAAGTGTAAGGGGGGGGGTCCAACAGACTGTGGTAGAGGGACATTGGCACTTTGATAGTTGATGTAACACTATACCCTTGAAACAGAAACACTCGTGAGGAAAGGGTGTTGGAATATTATATGACTGAAACCCAATCATGAACAACTTTGTAACTGTATATCTCACTGTGGTTCCAAAAAAAAAAAGCATATAAACACACATCTATGATTTATTCCCGGAAGACACCCCCCCCTTTGAGCCCCCTGTCCCCCATTCCACCTCAGCATGTCTTCTTTGGCATCTGTCACTCTGGCTCTCTCCTGCCACTGTGAAAACTCTGTTGGGACGAACGGTACAGCCAACTTATCCCTCCTTTTCAAGACAGGAGGGTTTTAGAGCAGTTCTCGCCAACCAGCACTTGGTGGAGGGGACCTGAATCGCAGAATCTAGGAAGAGGTTGCTTCATTTTGGAAATACTGGAGTCACGAGGGGTTTTGACTTTGGTGTCTGGTGGGGAGAGGGAACTTGGGCCACATCTGGCTAGGTGCAGAGCTGGGGATCAAACCTGGAGCTCCCCCATGCTGAGCAGGTATTCCAGTCCTTTCAGCCATCTCCTGACCCAGGGATTATTAGATGATTCCCTAATTTTTCTTCTTCCTCATATGCACACATGTCCACAGAGGAGGAGTGCCTCCACCTTTGTGCAGTTCTAAATCTTTCTTTGTGAGTCTTTTTGTTTGTTTGGGGCCACACTTGGAGGTGCTTGGGTTATTTTTGGTTCTCCAATGCTCAGTAATCACCAATGCTCAGGGGATCATAGGTGGTGCCAGGGATTTGACCCTGGGTTAGCAGCATGTAAGCCAAGCACCTTTTCTCCCTGTGTTCTCAGACCCATGTGGATTTTTTCTTAAAATAACACCGCAGTTGCTGGGTGACCATGAGGTGATGGGGATCCAACTCAGAAACCCACATGTAAAATAAGCACTCTAGCCCGGCTGAGCCATCTCTTCAGTCCCTAGTTATCTTCCTTTTTCCTTTTGTTTATGTGTATTTAAAATTTTTCCCTTTTATTTAAACACCCTGGTTTATAAAGCTGATCATGATGCATTTGTTACAGGCATTCAATATGTCAACACCAATCCCACCACCACTGTCCTCTCCACCACTCTATTTTTCCAACCACTCCTCAAACCTGCCCCTGTAACAGGCCCAAAATAATCTATTTTACATTGCTTGTTACCAATAAGGGCTGGAGCTACAGCACAGCGGTAGGGCGTTTGCCTTGCACCAGGCCGGCCCTGCCGACCCGAGTTCGATTTCTCCACCCCTCTTGGAGAGTGCAGCAAGCTACCGAGAGTATCTCGCCCGCACGGCAAAGCCTGGCAAGCTCCCCATGGCATACTCGATATGCCAAACACAGTAACAACAAGTCTCACTATGGAGACGTTACTGGGTCTGCTCGAGCAAACTGATGAATAACGGGAGGACAGTGACAATGAGAGACAGTTACCAATAAACGGCTAATGGAATGATTAAAACAAACGAAACTACTCCAGTATAAGAAAACTTGTTCTGCACTCATTTGTGGAGTATAAAACAACATAACATGAGGCTGACACCTAAGGAAAGTTGATAAATGGGACAGGTAAATTGCTCCATAGCTGGAAGCCTGCTTCATGAGCAAAAGAGAGAAGACAGCTGGAATAGAGAAGGGATCACTAAGAAAATGATGGCTGGAGGAATCGGTCAAGATGGGAGATGTGTGCATAAAGTAGATAAAGGACCAAACATGACAGCCTCTCAGTAGCTATATAGCAAAACAATGCCCAAAAGTAGAAAGAGAATATGGGGAAAACTGTCTGCCATGGAGGCAGGGGGAGGGTGGGAAAGCGGGGTATACCAGGGATATTGGTGGTGGGGAATGTGCACTGGTGGAGGGATGGGTGTTTGATCATTATGTGATTGTAACCCAAACATGAAAGCTTATAACTATCTCACAGTGATTCAATAAAATTAAAAAAAAAATAAAAAAGAATTTGTGAGAATTGTTATATCTCACCAAGGAAACATTAAAACCTTGCCTGAGAATTTACTAATTGTTGCTAACTTGTTGCTGGTTGAGACCTCCATCTTTCCTTTCCTAAGACTGCCTAATACCTTGCAGTGCTGGGTGTTACTTCCAGCTTTGTGCTTGGGTGGGGGGGGGGTCGCTCCTGGAGGTGCTTGGGGGACCACAAAGTTAGGTAGAAGTGGTGGGGCAGGGGTGGGAGTGACAGGCAGGAAACTGAACCAGTTGAGCTGCAAGCAAGGCAAGGGCGCTAACTCCTGTGCTATCTCTCTGGCCCTCTGGTCATCTTTCTTATGGTAGGTAATGAATAAAGAGAGACAATTTCTTCAAGTTTACTATAAATTTATCACATAATCCTAGAGAGGAAGCTAAATTCTATATAATATGTGTATGTGTATAGTTACATCTTTTCATTATTACTGTTCTTGTTAGCTGGTGGTAAGCAGTGGTAGAAGATGACACTTTATTATCTTGCTTTTCAGCTAACGATGAATGATCTGAGAAGTGTCCTTTTTTTTTAAAAAAAAAGAAAAAACTAATTAATTTTTCCTCCTTTCCTTTACTTTGTTGTTGCAGTGACAGGGAACTGTCCACACTTCAACTTTCTGGGCAGTTTTTAATGTTGTTAATAAATACTAATATTTCTAAGACCAACAACAACAATTGTAGCACTCTGAGACTGTTCTGTTGGAAGATAGAAGAGGTGGCACCTTCTTTTTTTCCTGTTGTGAAGTGATACCCTAACGCTCCACTGTCCCAACAGAACCTATTTCCATCCCTCCAGAATGATGCCAGCAGAAATCTAACCCACCATGTTTGGCTGCCAGCCTTCTACATTCACACATCTGTCAATGCACCACCAGAAGTCATCCTCTGATTCTCCTTTCCATGCAAAGACAGGAAATCCTAAGAAAAAGAGCAAAGAAAAACCATTAAAGCCCACCAAAAAGGCTGATCCTAGATTTTGCAAAATTGTGTTCCTTAGATGGACTTTTTTTCACTGATTAGTACTGTCCTCAGCCCTTTTCTCACCTATCCCTTTGTTTTTGGTGGTCATTTTTCTCATTAGTCAAGGACTATACACACAAGGAATGAGAATATGATGGATGCTAAATATATGACTAATGAGAAAAAGAAAAGAAAAAAAAACAGTACTAAGTACATCCTGATCCAGTCACCCAGAATTTCCCTCAGTCCCCAACTATACTTTGATCTTTCTTACGTCTATACTTTACCATCATGTCCTCTTCATCTGGAAAACACATTCTTCTCTGTTAAAATGTTACACTTCATGGTTCAGTTAAGGGTCATGTTCCTGACGAAGCCTGATTAACATAACTGGAAATAATCTCTCCAGGAATCTGAACTGGATTTATGATCTGTTGTGGCATTTATCACACATGCCCTTATACTATCATTGTTATTTATAACTGTCTTCTCCAGTATAAAAGTCGGAGGGCAAAGTCATGGTCTCATTTGTCCTTATGTCTTTTCAAGTACATCAATAAGCATTTGTTGAAGAAATAGGAAAAAAAATGTGTATATATACATATATATTGCTGGGCATGTATTTAATATTTATACACTTTTATTTAAATATTTTATACATTAATAAAAATCTTGTAAATGAATTAACATAAATATAAGAACAAATGAAATGATGAAAACGTCAGCAAAATGAGAGATTTGCTACCCTAAAACACTTCCTCAGGATTTCTCAAGAGCCCTGAAGCAAGTGTTTGGAACTCTGATACAAGGGAGTGTAGGCAAGAAATTGGTAAAGTACAAATTTTTCATTTATTTTGTCCAAGTGCCAGTGGCCCATCTAATCAAACATGAATTTTCCAGGACGAGTTCTTTTTACTGCTTAAAGCAGAAAACACCAAACATCACATCAGAACAAGTTACTAGAACTAGTATGACCATAAAATTATGCCTAAAGCAATTTTTTCCTAAGCCATATTATTTAGAGAGTGAATAGCATTCACTGGTGCTCTAATATTAGCAAGTCAAGCAAAGCATTAACAATGCACTGTTAGACATAAGATATTTGGGGATTGTTTTAAAAAAGTTACTGGGGTTGGAGCAATAGTACATTGGGTAAGGCGCTTGCCTGGCAAGCAGATGACTGGGGTTCAATCCCTGATATCCTATATGATCCCTTGAGCACCCCCAGGGGTAATTCCTCAGTGTAGAGACAGGAGTTACCCCTAAGTATTGCTGGGTATGATCCCAAAACCAAAATAAATAAAATAAAATAAAATTGAAAGTATTTAACAAGAAAAGCCCGGGGTTGGGGGAGGGAGGTGGGGCGATGGGGAGAAGTAAATGTATTATTAAGAACAGGGATCCTTTTCTTCCCTGACAGCTCCCTCTATGTCAATTTTCCTGAAGGATGTATATAGAAACGAGATACAGAGAGAAGCGAAAGACCCTACCGCTTTCTGCGAGAGCAGCAGCCACTTCGTTGAGAGTGGAATAGATGTTGCAGGCGGCCCAGCGGCACTGTGCCCCCAGGGCACCCAGAGTCTCCATCAGCACCTGTGTTAAAGAGAAAGCAGGAAATAAGTGATGCTGGGCCCAACAGTTGCTCAAGAAGACTTCAGTTTATATACTTTTTTTTTGTATTTATGTATTGACTCACTTTTAATTTTTTTTATAATTTTATTATTATTTTTTAAAATTTTTATTAGTGAAACACCATGAGGTACAGTTGTAGACTTAAAAATTTTTATGCTTGGGGGGGCTGGAGTGATAGCACAGTGGGTAGAGCATTTGCCTTGCACGCAGCTGACCTGGGTTCGGTTCCCAGCATCCCATATGGTCCCCCGGGCACCGCCAGGGGTAATTCCTGAGTGCATGAGCCAGGAGCAACCCCTGTGCATCACCAGGTGTGACCCAAAAAGCAAAAAAAAAAAAAAAAATTTGTGCTTGGGTTGACAATGAGAAAGTACATCAGGAAGAGCCAAGACACATGATTTCCAGTTGCATTCTACAGAAACGTCTCGGAATGTTGAGAAGAGGATAGGGCTGGGGGCAGACACAGGAAAGGCTCCCGCTGATATACTTTTATGATTTAACGTTCAGTTCCCCTGCCCTCTGGGGGAAGGGCCTATAGTACAGTGGGTAGGGTGTATGCCTTGCATGCAGTTGACATGAGTTCAATCCCCACCATCCCATATGGTCCCCCAAGCACCAATAAGAGTACTTCCTGAGTGTAGAGCAGGAGCAACCCCTGAGCACCACTGGGGGTGAGCTCCTCTCAAAAAAGCCATGTAGTCCCCCTCAAACAGTTAATTATACCACGGATTTCAGAACCAAAACTTTTTTGTTTGTTTTGTTTTGGGCTACACCCAGCAATGCTCAGGGCTTACTTCGGGTGGGTTCAACACTCAGGGATCACTCCTGACAGTGCTGAGATCAAACCTGGGTCAGTTGCATATAAGGCAAGCATTTTACCTGCTGCATATATCTCTTTGGTTGCCCCAAACATTTTCTTTTTAAAGAGAAACAATTTAATGTTACGCTTCTTATTTTAGACTATAGAAGCTGCAAGAGAAGTTACCAAGAGAAAAACTGGGCCTAGAGAATTCAATGCACTGAGTGCATGGTTCATAGGCAGGGGGCTCGAATCTGATGTCCAGCACAGTACAGTGCCCTGAGCACTGTTGGGAGTGACCCTTGAGCACAGAACTAGGTGTGACTCCTAAGTGTGACTCAAAAACCCAAAGAAACAAAACAATAATGAAAGAGAAAACCAGATTAAAAACTTGACTTTTCTGGGGCCTATCAAACTGCTGACATGCAAACCAACCAGGGGAACTGACTCCAAAGGGTGAGAGATTCCTTCTAGAGAAAGGGGTCAATGTTTTGCCTTTGGCAAAACATGGGAGGAAGAGGTGTCTGTCACCAGGATGGCTATAAACAAAATTGCTTAAAAATCTTCATGGATTTGTAAACTTGAACTCTGCGTTTCTGGTCCCTCCAGTCACACGCACAGGCAGGCTCTTTTTCTATTTTTCTCCAGTGCTCATGAGCAAGGCAGGGAGCTGACTGGCTGTGCTCAAACACAGGCATGACACTGAGCCTGTGCCCATACTATCTCTTGAAGAACACAAATGCTGCAAGTTATTAGAAGAGGAGCAAGAATCAAGTCTGCCAGGGCCTAGAGCGGGTAGGGCATTTGCCTTGCACGCAGCCAACATGGCCGACATGGGTTCGATTCCCAGCATCCCGTATGGTCCCCTGAGCACTGCCAGGGGTAATTCCTGAGTGCAGAGCCAGAGTAACCCCTGTGCACTGCCAGGTATGACCCAAAAAGCTAAAAAAAAAAAAAAAAAAAAAGGAAAAGAGAGGTTTGCTAACACCAGGTAATAGCAGGCGTCTGCGAGAAATTTTGATGCCTGAGGTATGAAAAAAAGCCAGAAACGGAATCCGGTTCAATTCATGACAGCAACGGAAACTAATATATGACTCAGTCAATTAAAATTCCAAGATGCACGTGAGCGTGTAGGAAGCACCACTGTCGAGGAATGAAGCATTTAAAAGAACCAAACTGGAACTGAGCTAGGTATCTGATCGCCAGTAATTTTAATTATGATTAGTTGACAGATCTAGTTAGGATTAATAACTTGACACATCTAGAGGAAAATATAGACATTGCCCATACACCAACAGAAATCCCTATGATGTGAAAAATATAAAAATTAACTCAATAGAAAAACTTTTATAGCTATCAGGGAGCTGAAGAGTGCAAGGAAATTGTCCTGCATGCAGCCAACCAGGATTCAGTCCCCAGCACTGCATATGATCCCCTAAAAACTATCAGAAGTAATCCCTGAGCACTGCTGGGTGTGGCGTAAAGCCCAAACAAAACATAAAGATAAATAATTCCTTTATGAGACTCAGCATTTTTTTCATTTTTTATTTATTTTTTGGTTATATTTATTGAATCACTGTGGGAAAAGTTACATAGCTTTCAATATTAAGTCTTGGTCATACAATGATCAAACGCCTTTCCCTTCACCAGTACTTATTTTTCATCACCAAGGAGACTCAGCATTAAGTTGGGAATAACTTAGGATAGGATCAGTGAACCTGAAGATATAATAATAAAAATTACCTACCTGAAACAGAAAAACTATGGAGGACACACACACACACACACACACACACACGATAACCTATAAGACTCAAATGGGGGGCTGGAGCGATAGCACAGCAGGTAGGGCGTTTGCCTTGCACATGTCTGAGCCGGGTTCAATTTCCAGCATCCCATATGGTTCCCTGAGCACCGCCAGGAGTAATTCCTGAGTGCAGAGCCAGGAGGAACCCCTGTGCATCACCGGGTGTGATCCCCTCCCCCCAAAAAAACCCTCAAATGGGGTTGGAGGACTAGATGGCAATAATAAACTTAATTTCCTAATCTCAAATGATTCAAGTGGCCATATAGAAAAGCATCCTTGTCTGTGGAAAACACACATATTAAGTATTTGTGAGTGAAGCAGCATCTGTTAGCAGTTATTTACTCTCAACCAAATCAGGAAAAAACTATAAATCGGTGTCTATTTCAAGTTTCTTTTTTCAAGTTTTTTCTTCTTCCAGGTTTTGAGTGCGCTCTGCAGTGCTCAGAGGCTCAGGGGACTGTGTGGTGTCTGGAATCAAGCACAGGAATGCCTACATACAAAACTAAGGCTTTTCCAATTGAGCCATGTTACTAGCTTCCTCTGTTTCAATTTTTCAAAAGTGTATTTAATAATTTAATCCACTGATTAGATCTTGACTTTTACTTGGGTACATAAGCTGGAATTAGCAGTTTCCTGAAAAAAGGGAGTGTGTTACCTTAACACTTCTGGGAGTTTTTTAACCAGAATACAGGCAATTAAGTGTGTCATACACAAATAAAGGGTGCTGAGGGCACTCCTTCAGGCATTCCTGAAGGTGCCCTGGATCCCTCCCAAGAAAGCTCAAGAGGGATGGGTGGAGACCTTTCTCCATCTCCCTTTCTCTTTTGTTCAGCCTGAGTTAGTTACACTCTGATTTCTCAGTCTGGCCACTGAACGCCTGCTTGGAGCACTGGTCCCTGCTGACCATCTTTTTCTCTTCCTCACACCGCCACTTTCAGGCTTTGTGCTAAAATTGAGTCTATAAGAAGAGTGCTACAGAATACCAGCATTGGTCAGCCAGTAAGAGCTTGAAGGATGGCTGCTGGGCTCCAGACACGAGTGTTAGGCTTAGCAAAATTAACTCTAGAGAAATCCCCTACAACACCTTTGGGGCCCTGCTTTCCTTCCAAACCCTGTCCTCTCTTCCCTCTCTACCCTCCCGGGTTAAGCAAAATCACCACAGCCCAGGTGAGTGGCACTCGATCTCATGACACATCCATGTCAGGAATAGGAGAGGTGAGGTATATGGGGAAGGTTGTCAGGAGAGTAAAAATAACAGGTCTGCTCTGGGAAGGACACGTGGCATGGTTATCCCTGTGCCAACTTCAGCCAACCCTGTTGGACTCTGTTGGGGGGGTGGAGAAGAAAAAGGAAGAAAAAAGTGTGCCAATGATAACAAACCCCAGGACTTTGACTGCAGAACTGAACACAGGATGGGTGGGGGAGGGGGTTTGAGACTTATCAACACAGCAAGGAGTAAGGAGGAGATTAGAGGTGACATAAGGACAACAGTGAAGGTTATTTGTCCTGCCCTGATAACTGTTTTTAAAAAAGATGTGCATTGAGTTGGAGAGATAGTACAGTGGGTAAGTACTTGCCTTGCATGGGCCAACCTGGGTTCAGTCCCAGATACCATGTATGACCATGTATGACCTGAGCACTGCTAGGAGTGATCCCTGAGCAAAGCTAAGTAAGCACTGCTCGATGTGGCCCCCAAACAATACACACACACACATACACATAATAAGATTTCTATAGTAAAAATAGCTAATTAAAGTAAGCTAATTAAAAATATACTTGCAAACAGGCACATGGCTCAAAGTCTGGAGTGCATGCTCTGCATGGGGGTCAGGTTGGATCCTCAGTATGATATGGTCTGCCAAAGCACCACCAGGAGTGACCTGTGAGCAATGTGCCAGGCATAGTATAGTACCTGAGCACTGCTGGGTGTGACTCCAAATTCAGTACACACACACACACACACACACACACGTGTGTGTGTGTAATATATATATATTACATACATATGAATACATATATATGCAAACAACTCTAATCCCTCAAGTAACCTGTTCCAGCTATAATAAATTAATAATGGAACTATTTGTATGTCTTCATTTCTAGTCCATACTAACTTTCAATGTCTGATCCCACTTTTTTCCTCTCATTTTTCTTTTTTTGGTTTTTGGGTCACAACTGGTGGTGCTCAGGGATTACTCCTGAAGAGCTCAGGGAACATTATGGGGTGCTGAGGATCAAGCTCGGGTTGGCCACATGCAAGGTAAGTGCCCTACCCTCTGTACTATCTCTCCTGTCCCCTCTCTCATTTTTCACCTAAACAAATTTATTTTCCTAAATGTAGGATTCTGAATAATGATTTTGAGACTTATCAACACAGCATTGTAAATTAGGGCAGTTATTAAAATCAAGAATGTAAGAACCAGGGCTGGAGCGATAGCACAGCGGGTAGGGAGTTTGCCTTGCATGTGGCTGACCCGAGTTCGATTCCCAGCATCCCATATGATTCCCCGAGTACCGCCAGGAGTAATTCCTGAGTGCGTGAGTCAGGAGTAACCCCTGAACATCGCCAGTTGTGACCCAAAAAGAAAAAAAAAGAATGTAAGACCCATTCAGAAAACAATGAATCAGAACTACTGGCTGGTAGGGGTCAAGCACAATGAAGGCAGGTGGGAGGAGGAGCTAGATCAGATACTGGTTTAATCAGATTTTAAATCATCACCTAGAAGGCACAGTAAGGAAATAATCTCATCAGAAGACATTGCAAAAACATGTCTAAAGATTCAAATAGATCTACATCAACTAGAAATATGGGAGAACCACTAACTGAGTTATTTCTGAGACTGGGATTATAGGAGATTGAAAAAAATTATTATACTGTAGTGATGTTATTATAATGTTCATTATAAAATGAACTTAAACTATTTCTGTATGACAGTGCCAGGGACCAAACTCAAGACCGTACACATGAAAGGTAAGAGCTTGGCCACTATACTACATCCCCTCCCCAACATCCAAAAAACAGCTTTGCTGCTGAAAAAGAAAAAAACAGTGATTAGAAACAAAACAAAATTCCTTTGTAGCTATTTTTTTAGGGAAAGGAAAAATATGGAGTGGAAACAATAAATATTCAAATTGGGAAACTAATTTTAATTACTGCATTCAGGAAAAAATAGAAAGGAACCTTGAAGGGTGGTAATGTTCGGTATGCCAGGGGGTAAAAAAGAAACTAGATATAATTTAGCAACATGAGACAGTACAAGAGCACTTACTATTTTAAGTCACCACACTGATGTCTCATGTCCTTAACTGAAGGAAGACCAAAAGAGCTGCCAAGGGTAGTTTTTGTCGTCTCAAGTATTAGTCTGAGGCTCCAAAAATAATAGCTTTTCAGGGCCAGGGAGATATTCAAAGAGCAGGAATATATGCCTTACAAATGGGAACCCTGAGTTTCATACCCAGCACCTCACAGTCTCACCTCACCTCCAGCACTGAGCACTAATAGGTCTGACCCCAAACAACAAAAAGAAGAATTTTTTCAATTGAATTTTGGGCCACCAAGATCATCTTTTTTTTTCTTAGAGAACAAATCGCCCAGAGAAGTCTCCCAGTATAACAGTTAACAAGAGCTGTCTGAATCTCTGCTGTTCTTAATCGGGAACGTGGTCACACAGGGGGTGTGCTTCAGGGGACAATCTTCTGAAAGTTGACTGAGTCATGCAGATGACCTGGATCTGCTAAATCCCACGAGAGACTCCAGACCATTTCAGTACACCAGCTTCCGGGACTGGGTCTAGTTACGACTGCTAACTCAGTACCTGTTACAACTTTTTGTTGATTCTGGACTACGCTGGCTGTGGTCAGGTGCTATTCCTGGTTTGGGGGTTGGGGGTGGGTGTCGTTCAGGCGATCACGTGGTGCCAGGGATCAAACCTGGGTCTGTTGTGGAGTATGCACCTGAGCAGCTCAGCCAGCTTTCCTGGCTCCCTTGTAAGGTCTTTAAAGGCGACTCTAAGCCAGTCATTGTGAACAAAAGAGCTTTGGGAAAACAGTGGAGACAATTTTGGTTGTCAGAACACTGGGAGAAGATTTACTTCTTTGTTTATTTGGGGGGAGTGGGCCACACCTGGTAGTATTCAGGGCATATACCTGGCTCTGTGTTTGGAGATCACTCCTAGCAGTGCTTGGGGAACCAGACTGTGATGCTGGGGATCAAACTGGAGTCAGCTGTATGCAAAACATGCACCCTAACTTTTCTATTCGCTTTCCAGCCCATTCTGTTGATATTTAATAGAGGCTACCCCTGAGGACACTTAGTTTGGTGATTTGGTGCTCAGGGTTCACCAGGGCTATAGCAGCAAAATTTGTGGGATGGGAGGACTGGATGGCAGGGATGGAACTTGGGTTTCCCAAATGTGCTTTACTATTTAAGTTATACTCTCAGACCTTTAGGTTTTTATTACTTATCTACTTTATGCGTGTGTGATTTGGGACCACACCAGGTGATGTTCAGGGGTTACTTCTGGCTCTGCATTCCGGAATTATCGCTGGTAGTTCTTAGGGGACCCTATGGGATGCTGAGGATCAAATCTGGGTCAGTCGCATACAAGGCAAATGCCTACCTGTTGTATTATTGCTCTAGCAACTGGATTTTTAAAAATGTATACTTACCTAGATGCCATAACTGAGATTCATTTCATGATAACAGAGACATTTTATGAAAAAAAATTTTTTTTCAAATAAGAGGACAAATATGCTAGGGGCAAAAATCCCAGACAAAAAATAAACAATTTTTTTTTCTTTTTGGGTCACACCCGGCAATGCACAGGGGTTACTCCTGGCTCATGCACTCAGGAATTACCCCTGAAGGTGCCCGGGGGACCATATGGGATGCTGGGAATTGAACCCGGGTCTGCCACATGCAAGGCAAATGCCCTACCCACTGTGCTATCACTCCAGCCCCCAAAATAAACAAATTTTAAAAAATCTTTTTTTTGCGGGAGAGTGTGAGGAGAAAAAGAATCACTGTTCTAACTTAATTATGTTTCCCAGGTCAACCTGGTGGGGCATGGGCATTTGATCTAGTTCTTTCCAGTGATTCTTGATGTTATGTTCTGAAGACTTCTTGGAAAGGTGTCCTTGCTCTTGTGAGAGAGAAAGAAACGATCCTTCATCTTCATGTCATTTGGGGATAGCCTGAAGAACTGAAACCATCTTGCTACCAGACTGAGGATGAAGCAAGCGCAAAGGGGACACAGCTCCTCGAGACCCAGAGAGCCATAGACAGATGAGACTGGAACGCTGAGGGGCGCCATGTGCAGTCTACCTTACTTCTCGACATCCAGCTAAGGAAATGAACTCCCTGATGAAACCAGGAGTTCTCTTACTTGCAGCTGAAAGCAGCCCAACACAGACTTACCTTGTTGAGATGCCACCAGAAGGGGAGGAAACCAGGAGAAATGAGAGAGCATATTAGGGCAGGAGAGACAGTGCAGAAATGAGGGTGACCCGAGTCAATCCCTGGTGCTACAGATGGTCCCCTGAACCCTGTGAGCGGTGATCCCTCAGCCCAAATGACCTTGGACAAATTATTTATCTCTGAGCTCCAACTTCCTTGTTCATCAACTAGAAAAGGGAAAACCTTCTTTAAGTGGCTCATATGGGGATTACTGATTAACACAAGAAATTACTGTTATGTTCTTAACCTAGTGCTTGGCATATTGTGCGCACTCAGTAAATAGTTGGGAGTGTTTAAAATCGCCCCTATTGAAGTAGAACTGTTTACAGGCTGAAGCTATCATTACTGTACCGTACAGAAAGAAAAAGGCACTCACAGCAGTCTGGGCAGTGATGTGTGTGCAACCCACAATTTTGGCTCCAGCCAGCGGCTTTTCTCCTTGGGCTCTCTTCCGCAGAGCCATAAGCGCAGGCATTTCTGAAAAGGCCGATACATACACAGCGATATTAGCAGATGGATGATAGATAAAAGAATAAACAGCAAAACCCACTTTCTTTTTCTGCTCCCCTCAAGTAACTCTTTTAAGCTTAAGATTTTTCCCTTAATTGGGTTCTGTTACCTTCTCTCCCTTCCTTCCTTTATTTATTGAATCACAGTGAGATACACAGTTACAATGTTGTTCATGATTGGGTTTCAGTCATATAATGTTCCAACACCTGTCCCTTCACCAGTACACATTTCCCAACACCAATGTCCCCATCTTTTTTTCCCCTTTAACTTATTTATATTTTTATTGAATCACCATGAGAAGCTCAGTTACATGCAAGCTCAGCTACCCACCCTGTTCCAGAGACTCATAAATAAATCTTGAAAAAGACCAACCAGCCCCCGAAAGTTTTCGGACACCTGCTTATGGATGTTACACTTTCTTAAGCCTCAAGACATTAAGTCTGATTTTCTTTTCGAAGGAATTTTCAGAGGCAAATGCTCCAGGGTCTAACTCCTTATATTCTAGTCCTTATCTAGTCTCTCTTTCATTTTTTTAAGGCCATACCTGTTATGCTCAGAGGCTACTCCCAGCATGCCACTAGGGGGTCACTCTTGGCAGTGCTCAGAGGACCATGTGGCACTGGGAATTGAACCAGGCTTCCCTCATGTACAGCATATGCACTAGCCCTCTCAGCCATCTTCCTGACCCCTAAGTCTCTTTCCCTTTTCTTTGTAGAGAAGTTTCTTGTACCTCCAGCACAGTTCACTCCCCGCCCCCCCCCCCCCCCCCAGTGTCTACTGAACTCAGATTTCTTCTGTTATTAGTATCCTTAAACAACTTCACATGCTACTTGATCTCAGCACAGGAAAAAAAGGGATTAATGCAGACAAAGAGAGACCTGTGGCGTGAATGGGAAGAGACGCATGCTTTCTTTACCTTGCTCAGCGATTTCAATTTCTCTTCGCCCAAACTCCGCCTGCTTGATGTTCTTGACACAGAAGTCACTGCTTCCCTTCGAGTTCTTTTGCTGCTTGTCCCTGGGAGAGGTCTCATCGTCAGAGCTATCTGTGTATGAAGCCGCTGGAATGACAGAGGAAAGCCTCTCAGGAAAAAAATGGATTCTTCTAAACTGCAAACCTTGGAGCCAATGGAGACTCTGACTGCTCACATTCTGCACCTTAAATATCGCATTTTTGCACCTTACATATATGGTAACAGGTACTGTTATAGGAGCGTGGAGCTCTCTCAACCATCTACGGTCAGGTATTAGCCACTGGTCAGAAGGAGGAAGCTGAGAGGTGATGCCAAAGACATTCCTCCTGAAGAGCATTAACTGGCAATCTATGCTCAGAAAATGCAGAGGATTCTGACGGTTCAAATAGAGAGAGGTTACACCAGGTTAACAATAGGTTAAAATTCTTAATGCAAGATCATGGTAATTAACCTAGGGATTTCTAGAATCCTAGTTACTTCTCTCTATTGCTTAAATGTCTGACGTAATTTGTGTTTCAGTAAAATAACCAAAGTGATAAGACCTAGAAAATAAAGAACTCATGGGAAAGTAATTAAGACCCACACAACAACTCTTTGTCTCACTTAACAGTTTTCTTTTGAAGGCTACCTTAGATGAAGCTGAAATATTTGAGTGCGGGCCCAATTAGATACTAACAATAAAGACCCCTCTTTTTGGTTTTGGGGTCACACCTGGAAATGCTCAGGGCTTACTTCCTGCTTTTACTCAGGGAGACAAAAAAAGTAGTATTTCTTTCATCTAATAATGCTCTGAGAACTAATTCATCGAGCAATATACACTGGAAAGTGAAAGGGCCTGAGACTTTTTGTTGCTGCCAACAGGCAAAAGTGCGCGTGGATATTCGTGTTCAGCTGAAGTTTCTTGGTCTTTCTAAAATTCTGCAGCATTAATTACTTGCCGGATAATTTGTGTTTATTTTCTTCCTGAATATGACTTTCTCGAAATGGTTTATTCCTAAGTAGTCTTCAAGAAGTTGGGGGAAAGGGGAATAGAAAGTAGTTCGGAGCATGATACGCTAATGCCATCAGTAGTTCCACCACTTTTAAGGGGGGAAAGCTACAAAAGCTGAGTGTTCCTAAAGTCTATGGTGCACTGATTTACTTATATCCAGAGAATTAAGGCATTTCTGGGATTTCTGAGCAGAGGGCCTATCACTGGGAGGGCTGTACAGGGCAAGTCTGACCTTGCCCGGTTAATCAGGCGTGGCACTACAACATGTTTGGGCAGCGGGGGCCCAAGGATCTCTTATGGCGCTGGAAAATGACCCCAGAGCAAAGTCCCAACACGAGGTAACAGGAATGAACCCGGGCACCAAGGGAGGTGAGGAAATGAGTAAATCCCCAAAGGGACTTTTGTTCTTCAAAGGAGCTAATCTGTACACAAAGTTTTCGGTTCTCCCTCCTAGGGTGCGCAAGAGCTCAAAGTACCTTTGGCAACAGAGCCCAGAAACAGCTCCCCGGAGAGTCATCTGTCTCACTAATCAATACTCAGAAAGAGCTTCGGAGCCAGCGGTGCTGGGGAATGTTGCTTCTATCATCTGGGAGAAGAACTGTAATAGCCCCCCTCAGCTATATCGGAACTTACAGGAATGATTCCTCTATTCTCTTCCCTCTGTGGGTGTGTGCGGGGTGTGCTGGTTGGTGTAGGCTTGTTGCAGCACAGAGCCCCAAACTGGAGGCTCAAGCACAAGGCAAAAGTGCCCCCTGTGCAGCTCTCCCGGGGTCCCAGGATAACCACTGTTGTAGAAAGCATTTATATTCAGAATATCCTAAAAGTTCAAGATCCCTTCCTGAACCACAATGGCTTTTGTTAGTTTCGTGGCCATACCTGGCAGTGCTCAGGGCTTACTCCTAGCTCTGCACTCAGGGATCACTTCTGGTGGTGCGTGGGGGACCATCGGGGATGCCAGGGATCGAACCTGGGTTAGCCACGTGCAAGTCCTACCCACTGCAGCCCTGCCACAATGACTTTTATGTTCCCCAATGGCCACTGCAAAATAGTGGTTATGCGTTCTGGAGACAGATTAGACTAGTTGAAGCCACAGTATGTTTCTGGATGTATAAGTAGAAGTGATACCAGAGCCTGTTTAATAGGGTTGTTCATTCAGAGAATTCACACACTCAACTGTTTATGCAATAATATTTTAATTGCACAACTACTAGGTACCAAGCACAGTCTGGGGATATAGGACAGATATGAACTACTTTTACGGAATTTTCAATTTTGTTTTTGTTTGTTTGTGGGCCATCCCTGACTATGCTCAAGGTTTTTTTTCTGACTCTGTGCTCAGGGAACCATATGTGGTGCAGGGACTGAACTGGGATTGACCAAATAAAAGGCTAACACCTTTTCAACTGTAGCATCTCTCCAGAATTTTCCATTTAATAGGCGAGTCAGAGGTTAAGGAATTAATAACAAAAGTCTTTCTTTCCATTTGGATGCACTGTGTCATATAAGGCAGACTATGATTTTAAAAAAAGATATGATTTTTCAGAGACAAGTTATAGATAAATATAAGTAGAGTGAAGAGAGCAATGCTTGTTGTAAAGATAACCAAAAACTAATGTTTGCACATACTTATAAAAACATAAATATGTATACATATTTGTTCTTTAAGGCCACACCTAGAGGTTCTCAGGAGTCCATGTGGTGTGGAGATGGAAACTGGGTCTCCCGCCTGCAATGACAGAGCTCACTCTTGAGCCCATTCACTGATCCTGCGCAGATATTTAATTCAATACCACAATAACCACATAAGCGTTATACCCAGCTTTAGGATTTTCAATAGGAAACGACTTTCTCTCTCTCTCTCTCTCTCTCTCTCTCTCTCTCTCTCTCTCTCTCTCACACACACACACACACACACACACAGAGAGGATTTCTTTAGCACTGTTTCTTTTTTTCTGCTCCATCATCTACTAATCTATCCAAGCAGCAGGTGGTTGGCTGGCAGTGGTTAAAAAGGTTGATACTGAAGTTCTAACTTTTCAGAATAGATTTCTTCTTTTCTGATTCTTAACTTTCTAAGGCTGAGTCAGGGTGAAAAACAAATAAGTCCCCCTATCCCAACAACAAAAACATCTAAATTTATTAGAAAGCACTCCAGTTTTAAGCTTGAATCATTTTCTTACAAATGGAAATATATTTGTTAAAATATTATTCTACTATTCTAAAAGCTGGGGAAAAAACTCTTTTATTTTCAAAACAATAGCCAAATAGCACTAGTTCAACCAATGTTTTTCTTTGGACCAAAATTAATTTGCTTTCAAAGAACTCTATATTCAGACCTATTAATAGGTGAGAACCAAAGTATCAGTTGTGTAAGATTATACCAATCTGTGGATGCAAAATGCCTGAATGACCATTCTTCAATCAGAATGACATGCGTATTAATCTAATATTTACTCATTTCTGATACTATATTTAAAGTAGTACATTCAAGAAAAGAGTTGAAATATATCAAAGATTTCTTTTAAGGAAATTTAAAGAAACCCACTCAAAGGGACACACATGCTTTAATAGATTCTGAGTATTTATATTTATGACTGAAGCCCAGAGACATAACTTAATTGAAAATGAGCAATCAGTTGGCACGAAGAGATAGTACAGCTGGTAGAGCACTTGCCTTGCACTCAGCAATCTGGATTCGATCCCCAGCATCCAATATGGTCTCCTGAGCAATGTAAGGTTTGATTCTTGAGTGCAGAGCCAGGAGTGAATCTTAAGTACCACCTGGTGTGCGCCCCCCACCCCATGCACACACACACACACACACACACACACACACACACAAAGAGCAACTCATAACTTAAGTAACTTGTATTGACATACAAGTACATGCTTGAGATGTTAGCTCCAGCTTCACCTCTAATGAATTAAACGATGATATATGATATATGGACTAACATCTAAAGGTTTAATTTCTGGATAGAAAAGTGAAGGAGGCAGTTAGGACTGAGAAGAGATCATTATGGCAATGATAATAGGAAATGATCACTCTGGATAAGAACTGAGTGCTGATAAGTGGTAAAGGGATATACATGATAATACATGGCGTTGCAAACCATAATGTCCAAAAAGGGGGAGCGGAGGGAGGGAGAGAGGGAGGGAAAGAAGGGAGGAGGGAGGGAGGGGGAGACAGAGAGAGACAGAGACACAGAGACAGAGAGACAGAGAAAGAAGAAACTGCTGTAGAGGTAGGCTTTTGGTGGTAGCAGGAGGGAAATTGGAACACTGGTGGCAGGAAATGTGCACTGGTGAAGAGATGGGTGTTGGGACATTATATGACTGAAACCCAATCATGAACAACTTTGTAACTGCGTATCTCACTGTGATTCAGTTGGAAAAAATTTTAAGAAAAGTAAAGTGATACAACTCTCTCATTTGACATTCTCATATCATGATTTCCCTGGGTTAAAATATAATTGGATGAAGCATGAAACAGCCTCCATACCCGGCACATGTTCAGCTCCAGCTGGTCTGCCTTTCTGCCCAGCAGCTATGATACTGCTGCCATTCACTAGCAGAAGCAATTCAAATCCTGATTGAGTTAGTTCTGATAGACTAAAATTCAATTATTCTTGTTAGACTAAAATTACAAAATTTCTTTTTCTTTAATTGAATGTTCACATAATTGTTTAAGTAAAACTAGTACTTGTAAGTAAAATCTTTAAATTCCAGCAATTGTATAAGATCTAATCAGGAAGTGAATAAATAGTTTTTTTGGGGAGTGGAGGGCGCTATATCCAGTGGTGCTCAGGGCTTACTCCTGACTCTTGGCTCTGCACTCAGGGATCACTCCTGGCAGGCTTGGAGGATCATATGAGTCCTGATCGAAACCAGATCAATTGTATGCAAGACAAGCATCCTACCCGCTGTACTACCTCTCCAGTTTCAATAACTAATTTTTTGTTTGATATATGGAGTACACCCAGCAGTGTTCAGGGATTATTCCTGGCTCTCTGCTCAGAAGTGATATGGGCTCACTATAGACGGTGCCAGGGATCTAAACAGGGTCAACCACTTACTTGATCTCTCAGTCCAGGAAGCAAATCACTAGATAGGAAGCATGAATCCTATTATCCATACTATGATGGGATCCACCTTATTCAAAACGCTCCATGGACCAGGGAGATGACTCAAAAGGCCGGAGCACATGTCTCACCTGCAGGAGACCCAGGTTCAATCCGTGGTACCACCGGAACAACTCTTTAGCACTTTGCCAGGAGAAGCATCATTGGATGTGTTCCCCAAAAAAGCAAAAGCAAGACCCAACAGAAAACCTAAAATGCTCTTAAATAGGCCAGATGGCCATTTGTAAGGGCCACCCCTCCATTCCAAGGTAAACCTAGCATCCTGGAATAGAAAAGGGATCACTAAGAAAATGATGGCTGGAGGAATTGGTCGGGATGGGAGATGTGTGCTGAAAGTAGATAATGGACCAAACATGATAACCTCTCAGTATCTGTATTGCAAATCATAATGCCCAAAAATAGAGAGTATGGGAATATTGTCTGCCCTGGAGGCAGGGGGAGGGTGGGAAAGAAGGCGTATACTGGGGATATTGGTGGTGGGGAATGTGCACTGGTGGGGGATAGGTGTTTGATCATTGTGTGATTGTAACTCAAACATAAAAGCTTGTAACCATCTCATGGTGATTAAATAAAATTAAAAAAATAAATAAATAAACCCATCATCCAATGAACATATAAGAATTAATCTTTAGGCTGGAGCAATAGCACAGCAGTAGGGCGTTTGCCTTGCGCGCAGCCAGCCCGGTCAAGCCGGGTTAAATTCCTCTGCCCCTCTCAGAAAGCCTGGCAAGCGACCAAGAGTAACTCTCCTGCACTGCAAAGCCTGGCAAGCCACCTGTGATGTATTCAATATGCCAAACACAGTAACATGAAGTCTCAAAATGGAGACATTACTGGGCCTGCTCAAGCAAATTGATGAACACTGGGACAGTGCTACAATGCTACAATCTTTAGGTTATTTTCCATTTCTACAGTATTCTGAATGCAGACTCCTGAATTTAGTATTTGAAAATGGGTTATCAAAGACTTTCTCACTATAAAATGTAAATTGTATAGAATTCAACTTAAAAGATCCAAGTTTTCAGGGGTTACATCAATCAGTATCATCAACCAGTAGGCAAGAGCAGACAACTCTGAGTTCAATTAAAAAAAAAAGTCAAGAGCATTGTTCACACTCAACCTGGCAAACACATCTCTTGTGAGATCTGCCTATGGGTGTTCTGCTGGAGGGCAGACATGGATTTTTTAGGCAGGAATAGTGGAAAACATGAGCCTGGTGGGCAGGGAATACACTGAACTAGAAGTAAACAGAATCCGACACTGAACTAAAATACAAACAACCATCTACCCGACTGTATAGCTTCCCCAACAAGTTTCCCTCAAATTTGTATAACAGACTACTTTCCTGTTTGTGAGAAGAATAAAATTTTCTAATAAGTATTTCTATTTATAATGCAAAGACATAAGTAGGGCAAAAACTCAGCTTCCTACGCATTCTAACACAGGAGAAAATTAAAATAGCTCCCTCTTCTACAGATACATACTAGACTTGGGACACTGTCACAGAAATGATCAATGCCTTCCAGGAGTCCTGGATGGTAAGAGTTCACCCGGCATTAAATTATAACTCAGTCCCATGAGCCATATGCAAAGGGAGGAGTAACAAGTCCTTCACTGTCACAGTTTAGAAGAAGGAAAAATCCCACTTTTTGAATTAATTTATTTTTGCTTTTTGGGTCATACCCGGCAATGCTCAAATGTTACTCCTGGCTTTGCACTCAGGAATCATTCCTGGCGGTGCTCAGGGGACCATATGGGATGCTGGGAATCGAACCCGGGTCAGCCACGTGCAAGGCAAATGCCTTACCCACTGTGCTATTGCTTCAGCCCCAGATCCCACTTTTTAAGTTAGATACATTGTTTTTATTTTGGGGGAAATTAATGTGCCCATTAATTTTCAAATTAATTAATGGGGCACATAATTCCACCAAGTGGAAGGCCAAAGAATCCCTCTTTTATTTTCTAGGATGGGAAAAAGCCAAGGTCTTCACACATGCTATTTCATGAAGGCCAGAAGTGAGCCCTCACCTACTGAGTAAGTCAGAAGTCAGTTTCCTGAACTTTCCTTTCTACCATTAAGGAAGACGAGATTGACATTAAACCCCAATTTGCATTTCTCTGAGGAATGAAAAGATTTCACCCGGAATTTGGGTCTAAACTTATACTTAAGAGCCAAAACTCTGTTCCAAAATATAGGCTTCATCGTGTTGAGTTGGCCTTGGGCAGAGAGGGGGGGTTCAATGGTGACAAAGATGGGGCCAGCACTGCCCGGCACGCACCTGAGCTGTAACTGTCGGTGGATGACTGAGAAATGGAGCGAGACAGGGAGCGACGTCCTATCTTGGTGGGACGTTTGTTGAACTCTTGCTTCTGGTCGGCAAACTGGATCTGCTAAGAAAAAGAACTCAAGTTAGAGAAAGGAAAAGAACCTCCATCTTGAGACAACAACTCCAGGTCTGTCTGAGGACCTGACCTGGCCTTGCAATTCATCGAATCATACCAATTATACTTGTAACCTCTGTGGAGAGAAGAATGGTTTTCTATCAATATTAAATCTTTGGTTTACTTTTTCTGACTATAGCTGTAACAAAATGGTGATTAAAAAAAGAACGAGGTATTTCTGGTTATAATAAATTTTTAGAAAGGTGAGTCATAGCCAGAAATCTTTATATAGTTTCACAGAAAATTAAAGCTGGAGAGAATCTGAGACTTTTCTAATATTCATAATTACATGAGAAAACATCAAGGTACAGAAAAGTAAAGGAGGGGCCTGGAGCGATAGCACAGTGGGTAGGGCATTTGCCTTGCACGTGGATGACCTGGGTTCGATTCCCAGCATCCTATATGGTCCCTCAAGCACCGTCAGGAGTAATTCCTGAGTGCATGAGCAAGGAGTAACCCTTGTGCATCGCCGGGTGTGACCCAAAAAGCAAAAAACAAAATCAAAAGCAAAACAGAAAAGTAAAGGCACTTGCCTTCAGGTTTCAGGGGTCTCGGGAAATAGCACGGTATAGTGAAAACAATCTTTCCATTCAGAGAGAAATTTCGGAAACTTCACTCAACTCCACACTAGAAGACTCACTAGCTAGGAACTTACCCAGAATAATAATGCATTTAGTTAGAGAAAAAGAAAAAAGATATTCTTGAATAAGTGATATGAACTTGCAAAACCAACCTCCAAAAGCAGGATAAAAAAGTAACATTGAAAGAAAGTTTTTGTCTGTATATATTGCCCCAAAAGTAATCTCTCTGGCATTGGTTTATACAATCTTAGTCACCGATTCTTTCTATACATTATACGGTACTTAATAAATGTAAGTATATACTGCTTGTAGGTATTTTGATACCAAACATAAAATAATTAGCATTTGTGGTTAATTATTATATTATATTATTAAATATTACTATTAGCTGGAAAGCTAGTTAATACACTTTACAAAGACTTTAGAAAGATAATTGATAAGGTCTGAGAGATAGTTGTGGGGAGGATGCTTGCCTTGCACTCAGCAGACCCCCAGCACTCAGGGTCAACCCTCCAGCATTGCCCAGAGTGATCCCTGAGTACAGAGCCAGGAGTAAGCGCTAAACATTGCTGGGTATGACCCAAAAGCCAAAAGAAAGAGAGAAAAAGGAAACTAGAGTGATTCCCTGCCAGAGTAACACTGAATGCTTAGGATGTGGAGGGGCTTGCATTTACTGAATCTCTACTGTTTCACAGTTGACATATTTTGATTGTTTCATTTAACCTGTCTCTTAAGTAAAACTTGTGTCCTAAGTACTTTCACCTCTGTTGTGAATGTTGAAAAGCTCAAACTAGTTTCCCTAGCCAAGCTTTCTTCTGTACTAAGCCTTGTTCATTAACATCCCATTTTATGAAAAAGATGAGAAGTCCCAAAGTACTCTGACCAACAAGGTTAAGCACCATAAAATAAGCAATATTTTTTATTTCAATAACAGGAAAATTCATTGGCTTGAAGGTCTCTGTAAAATGAAAAAAATGACCAAGTTGATTACATGGCCCAAGTAACAATTTTATATGAAAAAATGTGCCCTTTCATCACTCCCATGGCATAGACATGAACTTCACATGCGTGCTCACAGCACTTACGGCTCTCTACTGCATCCAGAAGCACAGGAGCTACATCATTTCTTCATCTTTACATGCTCAGGCACCAAAGCCTGGCACATGGCAAAGCAATCATATGCTTGCCTTGAATGAACCCCACGTAGCCCATTTTATCTTCTATTCCTGGATGAGTAGGAAGTAAATATGGGAAGCTAGCCAAAAGTTAAAGAGAAAAGGCTTTTAAGGGTAATAAAGACGAGGCTGGGTGAAAAGATGGGGAGTGGACAGCGGACAGATGGGGCTCAACACTCAAAATGGGCTTCCATTTCACCAACCCTGTTCAAGGCAATGACACGGCTGGGCTGGGCTTGGCGGGAGAGTGCCCGCCGCGCATGCCTGGGTTCCAACCCTGCCACAACAAAACCAAACACGAAACAAAAGAAACTTCTTCTGCAGGCTGGGACATGGTTCAGAGGTAAAACATTTTCCTTGCATGTGGGATGCTCTGAGTTTGACTCCTGGCACCAAAAAAAATCCTCAGGGTTTTATTTATTTATTTGTTTATCGAGGGGGGTATTGGAGAGACAGCTTAAGAGGCTTAGTGCATACTTTACACGTGGGAGGCCTGGCTCTGACCGTGGAACTCCATGGTTCTCCTAGCACTACAGGGAGTGACTCTGGCAGCGCCTCAGCACTGGGAGCTGTGGCCCCAAACAAGAACAAAAACGAATAATAATATACCTTTATTCCTTTTTTTCAGAAGTCATATAGGAAAAGGAGTAGTGATTTCCAAGGCTACAACAAATCACTAATTTCAGCAGTGTCTCCCTTTCACAAGACCAACAGATAAATGCTGCCTCAAAAGCCACCTACACGCCCCCCTCTGGCTATCAGACCACTAGATGGGGCCAGTCCCTCTGCCTTGCTACCTGTCGGGTTCAGGGTGGGCCTATTCCTAGGCCTATTCCTACTTACGCTCCTAACACCAAACCACCTTACCCAGATGCCATCAAGGTCAAGCAGTATCCTTAACCAAACTCTCTTCTCTATTAAGTCTTGTCCATTCAGAGCCGTTTTTCTCACCCAGGTCTCACCGGGAGGTCTCTTAGCGCTAAAGACTAGAGAGACTATGTAACCTTTCTTCACTCAAGAGACATAAGGTTTTAAACCTTGTCTACTTATTCACTAGACAGAGAACTCAAGTTTCTTTAAGATGTTAGAAAATTAGAGATGAACAACTTATACAAAATAAGCCATACATTTTCCCCAAGAAAGAGCTATACAGTTTACTAACAAGAATGCACGGTGTAGCAGGTGATCCCTGGTCCTGCCTCTCTCTGACAGCTAAATGCCAATCACACTGTTCACACACATTTGGCCATCCCAGTTGTAATACGATGACAGGTTCTACTCCCACTTCGTCCGAAATCAAAGAATTCTTGGGGGCTCAATGATCGAGCACATGCCTCGTAAATGTGACGCCTCGGGGTCTGATGCCCAGCCAAAAGAAAGAAAGGAAAAAGAGAAAGACTTCATTAAGGAAACCCTCCTTTTACAATTCAATGCAAATGGCCTAACTGCAACAGATACCAAGGCAGAGGAGGAGGAGAGACCGTTAGCGGAGGGACAGCTCACCTTCGGCCAGAAGTAGGAATCAGAGCAGGAGAGGAGGGGGAAAGCAGCCGGCCCTTTATAAGTAGCGGCTATAGCAGCAGCAAGTCTGGTAAACAAGAGCTTCGCCTCACCTGGGCCTTAATCCCAGAGTTGCCATTGACAATGTACTTCTTCCTGCTGCTCAGCATAGTGACATTCCCAGCCCTCCTGCCACCTCTTCGGTCCAGGGACCCTTGTGGCTAGGCCTTTAAACTTTCCTCCTCAGCAATTCCGTTGGCACTGGTTCCAGCTAGCTGCTTTTTTGGGGGGTGGGGGGGGGCGAAGTGGGGGGAGCTACCTTTCCTGGAATCCTTGAAGCAGTTTAATAAGGCATTTCTGTTAGTGGTTCATCAGCTGCTCCTAATTCTGGCTTCAGTTTTGCTTTTATTATTATTTTTTTCCCCTAAACACCTAATTACACAGATTTTCTGACCTCTAAACCTTAACAAGTCCCTTGACAAGGCCCAACTTGCATGCACATAACAATAGCTTATTTATATAACCGGAGCACTTTTTGGTGTGCTATAATTAACTTGGTAATTAGGTTCCTTTTAAACCTTACCTCCTCCTTTTCCATGTCAGATGATTTTAGTTAACCTAGTCTCATTAGAAAAAAATTAACTACAGAGTCACTAAAACAATGAGGAAATTTATCAGGACAGTAAGAAAAAAGTTTCTAGTGTCAAGTGGTCAGCTCCTACCCTACACACTTATGTACTGGGTACCTGGGTTTCAGCTCTGACTCCAAGAAAATCAACTGTCTCACTCTATTGCTTTACTCTTTTTTTTTTTCTTTTTAAGCATTTGGGCCATACCTGGCAATGTTCAGGACTTACTACTAGCTCTGTGGTTAGGGATCACTTCTGGCAGAGCTCGGGAAACCATATGAGGTGCCAGTGATCAAACCCCAAATTAATGTATTTGGGGGTTCCTAAGCAATGCTCAGAGGCCCATTGGTAATTCTTGGCCAACTGGGCTAGTAGTTTAGTACAAGGATCAGAGATTACATGCTGCATCCAGGGATCACCTAGGCCACCTTAGCAGTGTTAGAGGCCTCCGGGAACATGCCTGTCGGTTGCTGAAGGATTTCCAAGACTACACTCCTATATTTAAAGTACTATGTTCTGCAAGGATCAAACACAGGATGGGTGCATGTTAGGGTGCAACCTAACCGCTGAACCATCTCCTGATCCTCTTAAATGTCTATCCTTTATAAAGGTTTTGATAGTTTCTAGTTTCATACCACGACGTGGATTCGGTGTTAGGTGTGTTTTGTTTTGTTTTCCAAGCATGTGTTCTGCAGGTGTGACTACTGTGAAAAGTTGACACCTGTGAAGTCATTTAAAAAATGGAATCTGGGATTTTTTCCACTCTGGAGAAGCCCATGTCTCGCTTGAACACATGTTCCATTCTTTCTTTTCCTTCACATCTAAGTAAGTTCCATTCAATAAAAACTACTTTGCTTCACTAAATAAAATAAAATAAAATAAAAGCCATATGTCACTGGATTCTCCAGATAAATAGAACCAAGAACTAAGAACCAAGAACTGCACGCACATACCCGTGTGCGCGCACACATACATGCACAAACACACACATGCATACACACAGACACACACAAACTAAAAAAACAGAGCCTGGGGACCAGGAAGATGGCTCAGTGGCTTAAGAA